ATTTCACCTTTAGGCATAAATCTGACCTGAACAAACTGGTTAGCACTCACGAGGTGTGCAACATAGATGGCACTGGAATTGAAACCAAGTCGGAAATTAAATATCTTGGCGTCATTCTATCTTCTGATCTTTCCTGGTCGTCTCATATCGTGATTATTTCTAAGAAAATATTCCGTCTTACCCTCTACATCAAGAAGTTAAGACATTCTGGTATAACCCAACCCTTACTCCTACAATTCGTTAACTCTCGCATTCTGCCTATTATTTTCTATTTTTCCTCCTTAGTTTTTCCTGGGCTACTGAAGAAAGACTATACCTTACTACGCAGGATGTTAAAGGTTGTCAGCAGGGTGAGCAACGTGCCACTTGTTAATATTCTGGTTGACAGGCACTTGGACTCATGTGAAAAATGGGCTAAATCCATTTTATCTAACTCACACCATCGTCTTCATTCACAATTCTTCCCTTGTATCTCATCAGGCAAAACAAGAAGCCTATATACAAAGCTATATGCTCGAACTAGTAAGTACAAAAACTCAACCATACCCTACTTAGCTCGTGTTCTGTGCGATAAAGAAAGCATTAGGCGTGATACTTATTAAATAGTCAGTAGAACAACTGGATCTCGTCTTTCTAATTCATATCTTTTATAGGTACAACGTTTTCTTTCTTTCTTTTCCTTTTTTCGGTTATGTGCTGCTTTGTTTCTTTCTTCTGCTTACGCCACTAAATATGCTACCATCTACTTTTCTAACACCTTCAAACACTCTGTTCAGTTTTTGGCTTTGCTACCGACATGCCAATATGTTGTTGTCATAATGAACTGAGATTTCCTTAATCTATCTGGAATTTTATTTATTGTCAATGTACTAACTGGATGCAATACTGTAGTAAAATACTGAGAATTCTATTCTGTATCACAAGTACTGTTTTGGAATAAAGCAAATTATTATTATTATTTTGAGTTAAAAATATTTTGCAACATTTTATTTGAGATTGCATTTAACCAGTTACATGTATCCGTCAAACTACACGCAAACAGGAGGCCTATGCTTCAAAGACAAGATTATCATCAACCGCTTATGATTTTCTTGACGTGTGATATGACGTCTACTTTTTATTCTACTCATGCTCAGAGAAGCTAACTTTATTAAAAAAAGATCTAAGACGTGTCTTCATATATTTTTTTTTTGATTTTTTTTTTTTTTGATTTACAGCTTGATTCCACACTGTTTTTTCGGTACAAGTATGGAATTTTCAGCATGGATATCGGTAGCCCAAGTTTTGCAGGCCGACCATAGATATCTGATGTGCGTCGGTGGGGGCTCGAACCCCGGACCATGTGCATGGCCAGCGACAGTCCTAACCACCCAATAATTAGCCTTGAAATACCTCGTTTAGAAACTTTGAATAATATTTTAGTCTCTCCTTCTCCTTTACTTATCATTTTACTTTACTTCAGCTATAAACGGAACTTACTCAAGCTTAGTGAAGTCTTTTATTACTACTGAATTCTTAAAGTTTCACTAACAGACCACAAATGTTTTATATCTTCGTCCTTTCCATGAATAGGCTGTATGCACTTCAGAAGAACCTACCTTCATACGATACAAATAGCTAGACGGTGTATACTGGAGTTAGATATGCGTAGCTGGAGACCACTGGTGTCATCAAATAGTGTGGTAATTCGGGTTGTTACAACTGTCAATCTCAGTTGAGCTTATCGGCAACGAGACTTTTATTGAGCTCAGACTTAAATGAGTGAAAAACACCCACTCGATATTCCATTCACAATAAACTGACTAGCACGTACTACTTGTATATGTTAGTGAACTTCAGCTACTCTTACCAATCATTAGTTTATGCCATCTGGTTATTTTGCATGCTTTCTTGATTATTTATTATGTACGGTGTCGCATAGATCACATACTGTTGTCATATGAATAATTTTTGATTTCCAAACTCCACCATGAAACAATTGGGAATAAAAGGATTTTGCTGATTACAATATCTTTTCTTTTGGATTTTCGAAAATTGATTGATGTTCGACTGGAAATATACAAAAATTTCTTCTTTACTCTCAAACTATTATACATGTTGTTACATAATGAAGGAATAAAGTACTCCTTTTTTCCTTGGCCTCTAAGGCTTCCTATCCTTAAAATGAATAATACCGAAATATAATTCAGCATCATCATATATAAAGAGTACAATGAAATAGACATTACCACTAGTTTGGATAGAATTCATTTTCATTAACAAACTTCTTCATTGGATAAATTCCCTAATATCCTCCCTATTAAGGTAGCTTTCTTTTTGACTATGTAGAAAGAGTAAACTATTATTCAACTCCTACTTCTATTTCCAGGCGGCTGACAATGAGCCACGCCTATTGTCTAAGCATTAATGATATTATCTAAACTGGCCAAACCTCAGCATGCGGATGTGAGGTTCAAATAGTTGACCCACTCACTGATAGGGAGTTGAACACCCAGACCAATGAACCATGCAGGTGGACACTTATTGTTTATATCTCTAACATACTGATATAGGATAATGTGAGAATGAAAAAGAAGGTCTATTCATATGAAACTCAAATGTAAGGACAAACTGAGAAGTTTCCACAACTGGATACTAATTGAACGAACGCGCAACCTAATTAGATCTCTTGCAACTCGCGTCCAACGCATCTGCAGACATGATGCTCAGGAGGAAAAGTCAGACATTTTGAAAGCAATCTTCATACAAAACAGATATTCACCAAGATTTATTGACGAGAACATTGCGCCGAAGATTCAAAGACAAGTGACGTTATTAGTGCCAGAAAAGGAACTTTACACGAACAATGACTTAAAAGACGATTTACTAATGATATTCTTGAGAGAAGAATGTCAACTTCTTCTTGAGAAATTTCTTCGCAGCAACGCTAAGAGTAGTGCTCTCCATTAGCCCAGTGGTTTACGGAAGTCCAAAGGACAAGACCTCGCATGTGACCACTTCTCTCTCTCTCAATATATATATCAGCTCACCTGTTGCTGTAGAGTAAGGTATATTGGTCGCTCGACATGAGTCCTGTTTAAATGGTTTCAAGAACACTATCCCGCGTGGCTGCACAAAGTTAGGTGTACCTCTATAAGAAGTGCAATAATCGAACACCTCGACAACACTAGGCATTCCATCTCAACAAATGCCTCTCTCTAAAAGTAATCAGCAAAGTGAAGAACAACCTGCTAAAGACATTACGCTTTCTTTGCATTGCTGAAGCTGTAGCCATTAAGTTAGAAAAACCTGAGCTCTGCATACAAAAGAAAATTATTCAACCACTTCTACTATTATGGCAACAAATATTTTAGTTTCTACTGACCTGCTTTTTGTTTGTTTGCTTTTCTAACTCCTTATAACTCTTGTATTTCTTTAGAACGTTTACGTAATATCGTATCTTTCATCTTCCTATGCTCATTCTGATTACAACTCATTCATTAAATTATTCATCTTATTACGTAACTCTAATACACTTATTCAACTCCTCTTATATAATGACTAATATCCTTAAATATGTTTGTGACAACTCACCACTTTTGTTACACTACCCTCTCCCATGAAAAGGAGATCGTGTATATGGAATACGACTGTACAGCTAAAGGGGGGAGGGGGGAATGAATTAGGCGAAAGGAACCTTTTCGACGAACTACTTGTCTTATCTTTCATCAGTGCAGTGCTCGGATGGGAATTTTCACGAGAGAATAAAAAGAGCATGACTAGAGAAAATGAATAATGTTTTCGTTTTTTTTGAAGGATTTATTCAAAAATTTGTTTATCTCTGATATAATTGTAAATAATGAATTCATGTATATAATAATAATAATAACTGGTATACACTTGAAGAACAATGAAATAGGAAGAAGTCCACAAGGAGAGGAAGAAGACGAGCATGTGCAGTTATCCCAATGAGAACACAACATAAATTTCCATGTGTACATTATCACAGCATAATAATCAAACAGATGAAATTGTTACAAAGTACAAAAAAAAGAAGCGAGTAAAAAAGACACAACTGTATGCATGTGTATGTGTGTGTATGCGAGCCCACGTAAGTTTGTTTGTTTGTTAGTTAGTAAAGGTATTCACGTTGTCGATGATGGTTGGGCGAATGATAAATTATAAACCACAAGTATTTAGTATAAACCTTCAAAAGAATATGATCACTTTCGAACAGGAACAAGAACAACAAGAGAGAAAAGGTGGCAGAATAGTAAAGTGAGAAAAGAAGAAGAAAATCTAACAACACACATACACTGCATGATGTGATAATATTCCTGAAAATAGAGCAAAAAACAACCATAAGACAGTATATGCGTAGCAGTCAATAGGGATTCTATACAGCAACAAACAAATACACACACGCGCGCACACACACAGTTCAAAGCTCGATTAGATCGGACAATAATAATAATAACAATAAAAAAGGCAGTGCAAAAAGGCGAGAAATGATATTTGGCTGAGAAGCAGGCAACAGGATCACCAATTCAATAGTAATGGGCTTTAAATTCAAATCACTGTGAAGAATAAATCTTATATGAAATGGTGTAATATACGATGGTTGAGTGACTACTCAAGAGAGGACATCAAAAGACCATATATATATATATATATATATATATATATATATATATATTTGAAGACGGAATGAAAAAGTTGGAAATAAACAAGTTGATAATAGCACAGAAAGAAGATGAAGAGTAGTCACAGTTATGTAATTTAAAAAAAATGGGACAAAAGACAAACACTGACTATATATATAAATATATATAAGACTTATGCTAGTAATTAGAATAAGCCATGAGATTAATTCAGTTAGTTTACTTAAAGTTACGAAAGCGTCCGGAATTGTATTTCTCTTTGTAAATGTTTGTTTATTTTATATATATGCATGTATGTACATTATATCTCATAAAATTAATAATAATCATAATCATAATTTTACAATGGCATTTTTATTATTATAGAGGGGCAGTTGTTTCACGATTCTGTGGAGCTTGAATTAACTTCAATACATTATAACATGTTTGACATACACGTACAGGTTTAAATAGTCTTAGACGATAAATTTCACTTTCAAATCGACTACATCTAGAAAAGGATGAAAATAAATTGTGTCAGAAAATGACAATAACAATAATACAGTTTTATTATTTAGAAATTATTTACATAGATAGGGATTCCAACTGAGAGCGGGAAAGACTAACTGACTGACTTTCAACATAGAAGCTCAGCAGTTCAAGTCGCTACATCCCATATAGCATAAACGATAGACAAAAGACAGAAGAAGGAAATTCAAAAGAACTAGAATAACCAGAAATGTCCGGGAGAAAGAATAGTAGTAACACATGGAAGACCAAAAGGATCTCACGGATCTGGGAGACTAGAAATAGCGTGAATGCCTCTGAACAATTTGGAACGATTTTCAGACATATCATCAATAATCTTCACTCATAGATTCACAGCATCACGATGACTACAATCAGACAGTCTACACCTCCCCATGTGGATTGATGCCATGTTTACGATTTGACCATCCATAACCTTTTTACAAGCCGATCGTACGTCGGCTAACATTGCTCTATAATGGGCTGGGAAGTGTAATACGAGTCCTGGCCATCTCAACCGATGTAGCTTTACAACCTTATCTAATGATTTGGCCGTCTTACCTAACACTCTACGTCTAGCCATGCTAACCATTTTATACTGTGGTGGTGTGATACAGACAATGTGTTCCAACGGAATACTATTCTCACATATTCCCACAGTTCGATATTGCATAAGCAACAGAATACTATATATATATATATATATATATATATATATATATATATATATATATATATATATATATATATATATATATATATATATATATATATGAACATTCTATTTCACATCGTTTAATGTAAACCAAAATCACATGCTCAGTGAATGGTTAAAGAATATAAAACACTGTAGATATAAATTAGCAGTTTGATCACTTGAAAAGAAACCTTGGCTTCCGTATCTTAGTTTCTGCTGTTACAATACTACCTACCACAGTAGGGGGAACGTAAATATCTGTTGCCTTTTCATACCTTTCACTTTCAATGATTATGTCTCACAGTAATAAAGGAGAGCAGAGAGAACTGTTGAACAGTATATATGTCTTTTGGTAGAAAACTATATATCACATCTACACAAGATATGATATAAGTTGGTTAATGATGGCAACAATTATAATTAACATACATAATACATAGTATTATCACATTATATAATGAAAGCAAAAATTAACTCACTTAGAACAGAATACTTTACCACAGTTTCTACAATGATGTTTTCTTTCAGTTAACGAGAATCGTGTACCACAACCATCAGCTGCACAATTTGTAGCACCTTCATCTTTTATCCATTGGTCAGTCATACCACCTCGAGAATTATCTGATGGTACAGACCAAACAAATACTCGGCCAATAGCATCACCAACTAGTACAGATCGATGATCACGAGATATTGCCAAGGCTGTAATATCAGCTGGTGTTTTATTATCTGAACGTTCATAAGCTGTATGCATAGTAAGTTTACTGCGAAATATCAAAGCTCGAGTCCACTTTTTATTATTATCTAAAGATATACAGGAATTATAATAATATTTTATAGAATATATTATATATGTATAACTATACACAGAGCATTTTAAATATCTTTAATATATCTTTAAAATATTTTAAAAAAATAACTGGGTTGTTCAGGAAGGTATGGGAGACTGAGAGTGTACCCTCCATGTGGAAGGAAGCCATTATCGTCCCCGTCTTTAAAAAGGGTCGACGTAATTCATGTGACAATCATAGGGGTATCAGTCTGCTACCAGTTGCGTCTAAAATATTGGCTGCTGTCTTGCTTCGCGGGCTGTGCAAAATACGTGAAGGATTGATTCGCGAAGAGCAGGATGGGTTTCGTTCAGGTCGTGGATGCATTGATCATATGTTCACCCTCCGTCAGTTGTTGGAACATCGCCACACGTATTGCAGGCCAACGACCGTTGTGTTTCTTGATATTAGGGCTGCCTTCGATTCGTTGGACAGAACTATGCTCTAGAGCTATCTATTAGAGAGAGGTGTACCTGATAAATTTGTTAACATCTTGAGAGCCCTATACAGAAACACCTCAGGTAGAGTGAGGGCAAACAATCAACTATCATCACTGTTCCCAACCAACAATGTAGTTAGACAGGGTTGCCCAATCTCTCCATTTCTCTTTAACTTTGTCATCGATGACATTCTGGAGTCAGCTCTGAAGGATGTGCGTGATGGTGGTGTAGATCTGCTACCTGGGGATGGACTGTTCGACCTCAAGTATGCAGACGATATCGTCTTACTGTGCGATAGCATGCAGGCTGCCCAAATTTCACTTAATCAGTTGGCCATCAGTGTCTGTAAGTATGGTATGTGCTTTGCGCCGTCTAAGTGCAAAGTACTGTTACAAGATTAGCAGGAGCCTGTACCTGCACTCACTGTTGCAGGTGAACCGCTTGAAGTTGATGATAAGTTTGTGTACCTGGGTAGTTGTGTGAGTGCTGGCGGAAGGGTGACGGATAAGATTTCCAACCGTATAATTTTTTTTTTGATTACAACTTGATTCCACACTTCATGTTTGGTACAAGTATGGAATTTTCAGCATGGATATCGGTAGCCCAAATTTTGCAGGCCGACCAATTGATATCAGGTGTGCGTCGGCAGGGGATCGAACCTCGGACCATGTGCATGGTCGGCGAGAGTCCTAACCACTGTGCCACCGACGGCATACATCAACTTGAGCCACCTCTGGCGCCATCATGACGTTAGTCTGGCTGTGCGGGCTGTTTTGCTCTACGCCTGTGGAACCTGGCCTCTCTGAGCTGAGGATGTGCGGCAACTCTGCGTGTTCGATCATCGCTTGCTTTCGATGGTATCATTGTGTCAGTAATTCTGAGGTTCAGCGGCGCGTGTTTGAACACAGCGGAGATCACCATTTGTTGAGTGTCGTCATCTGGGAACACTGGCTTCGGTGGCTTGTACATGTGCTACGAATGTCATCCCAGAGGCTTCCGTACAGGTCTCTGTTCGCTAGCCCTGGGACGGGATGGAAAAGGCGGAGGGGTGATCAGTCCATGACACGGTGTCGTTGGATGAAAAATATTTGTGTTAGGCTGGCATCGGTTGGTGTGTCACGTCTACCTGGTTGGAGTCCGAGAGATAGCTCGAAACGTTATCGGATATGGCCAAGAATCGAAATCAATTGCGAACGTGTTGCAATTTCCTTCTTTCTTCCCTTCCCGATGACAGTTAGCGAATACTGTTTGAACTTGTTAAGCATGACTGTTTCCCTTCCAGATGAAGTTTTTTATCCGTTCTCTACTTATATTTTTTTCTTACTTGTGACCTATGTTGTTTTATTATTATTGTGTGGCGCATCTTTCTTGGTGCCATATTGTACCAACTTTTTTCTGCATTTAAATAAATAAATAAAATAAAATTTTAAATATTCTACAAAAACAAGTGGGTTCTATCACTGACCGACACGGAAATCCATGGAGTTTTTGGTAGTTATTTCGACCTACATTGGGATTCCTCCTCAGTGAATACCTGTGACTTAGCTAGGGATAGGATTGAATCACTTCCTGTTGTGAGAACTCGCAGGATTTCAACAGACAAGGGATTCTAACTTTGTTATTTCATCATATACCGCCACCACCACCATCTTATGGTTATTAAAGAGTGTCTGTTTTCACGGCCGACCTAATGAACTCAACGGCATCATGATTTCTTGTCAGATTCTCATCCCCAAGTTAATCACTAGATAATGTACAGTGAATTAATTCTCAAATCATGTGAAATACGCTATAAGAATGGCATTAGATATATTACAAAAGTTGATAATAGTGAATAAAAGGAAGAACAAGGAGGGAATGTTAAGCATGAGGCTGCTAGCAACCTCACCTGCTAAAAGCAACACTAACACAGCTACTGAAATTTTGAATACTGAAGCATCATGATGTTCCACTCAGAAAAGAAGAATGAAAAGTAAAAATATTTTCTTTTAGAAAATAAATTCTGTATAAATCTATTGAGATCTCTGAGTTTCCTATTGCTCGATTTCACTGAAGCATAAATTCCAAGTCTGCGTTGGGATACCGATACCTTATATAAGGTAAACGACTTGTTATTTGATTATTGATGTTTAGTAATGGAGTCCGAAACGCGTGTTTCCTCTTGTTTGGATCTCGTAAAATGGTTATAAATGCATCGAAGTGAGGTGTGCTAACTGTTCCTCGGACCCAGCATCTATCGTCTCAAGCACCAAACGTTGGCCAGCAGGCTACTGAGCCCCCACAGCCACATCTACTGAAGTGTTTTGCATTTACCGTTGGTTGATTCTATTGGAGTGAAAAGCCCGGTCAATGTTCCCCAATCGACTCCGATAGTGCGTTGACGTAAACTTGATTAGTCCTGCATTTTACATTCCTAATCACCACCAGCCAAATAATATATGTGTAACTGAATATTCAAAAAAAAACATAAAAAGGGGAAAAACTCACTTGGATCCTTTATATTAATATTCTTTGACGATTTATCACTAGACCCAAGAGTTGAATCAATTTCAGATGTGTCGTATGATGAAACGGTCTGTAAAAGATCACAATGGTAGAGATAAAATGAGTAGGTAAGTATGTACATAAAGAATATGAAAGAATATAATAATCTATTTTCATTAAAAATGATTTTAAATGAGTCATCTTGGCAATTATTCTTACCATGGTTATCATATAGATAACCCATTGCTGTTAACATATCCAGTCGTAAACTGATTAAACACCTGATCAAGTGTCAACAATATGACTACGGAAATAAGTCAACTGACCATCCACATGGTCCGGGGTTCGAGCCCACGCCGACGCACACCTTGATATCTATGGTCGGCCTGTGAAATTCGGGCTATCGATATCCATGCTGAAAATTCCATACTTGCACCAAAAATACTGTGTGGAATCAAACTGCAATCAAAAATAATAAAAAAATAAAATAAAATAAAGGCTTATATGCCTAATTGGCCAGTCCCATCTCCAGTGTCCTCAACCTGGGCAACTGGGTTGTATCATCAGGCATCACACAATACGTGTGTATCTCATAGTTTATTCCGGGAAACTGACTTCCGAGATAAATAGTTGATACAATAACCAAGATGACTTTTACAATGTTTCCTCAGTAGGAAGTGAAGCGCCATGGCAACGAACATTTGAATCTATAGGTCACGTCTAAAGTGTGAATGCCTACAACACATTATTTCAATAGTTTAAATATAGACAGATTTGTGATTAAATTAGTGCAACACAATTGTTTTTGAATACAATATTTGCTTTGCCTTTTCTGTACCACGAATGTCAAAATGTCGCGACAAACGAACCATTCTCTGAACCCCTGACCCTATGACTAGCTGGGAACTTACTAGATAACGTTAACCATTAACTGTGTCTTCAAAGGTGTGCAAAAGCATCAGTTTATGCAAACAAACCGTCTCTCATAATTGCTAAAATAAATAAATAAAATTACACCAACAAAACAAGTTCATTTTCACCACACAGCATGACCAATTAAAACGAAACTGGTGATGAACTGAAACTGTTGAAAGAGAGAAGAGAAACATAAAATCCCACGTAAGCAAATTCATAAAAAAACACAAAGTGTGTCTGATTCATGTAATTTACACCTACTGATCGCATTATGTTACGATTCCAATATGTCTTTCTTTTTCCTTACTTGAGTTTTGAGCGAAAAACACACGGCTTCAAGCTTTAGAGTGGCAATGGCGTTATTTTATTTTTTTTTTTCTGATTACAGCTTGATTCCACACCGTACTTTTGGTACAAGTATGGAATTTTCACTATGTGATATCGGTAGCCGAAATTTCCCAGGCCGACCAATTGATATCAGGTGTGCGTCGGCAGGGGATCGAACCTCGGACCATGTGCATGGTCGGCGAGAGTCCTAACCAGTATGCTACCGACGCTACACGAGATTGGGGATATTTGCAGCATGCCCAACTTTCCAACTGTATGTTGGGTTTATTACCAGTCAGTTAACTACGCGAGGTGTAGGAGTGAACCAGGCAGGAATCGAATCCTGTTGTTAACAGATACTTAAATGTGAATAAGGCAAGAACGACTAATGTACCAGGATAATTTGTGCTCATGTTTTTATTTTTATTTCGTAGATTCTTCTCAAGTGGTGACAATCTGAACGAAATTATAAATTAAATCAAAAATGTACACTTACTTCTTTGCAACGGTAATGAGTAATTGATTAGAACTGAGAATAATGTAAGGACTAATTTAAGAGTGAGAAGAATAGACTATTTATAGAAGAATTGCATGACTAAGCTTGGAAACAAAAGGACAGAGTTCAACAAATGTTTTGTGGGTAGAAACAAAGTTTAACTAGATAGAGTATAAAAAGTAATGAGTTACGTAACCACAGAAGGACACGTTTTCATAAAATAGACAAAAAGGGTGGAAGCGGGGGTAGGATGAGACATGTTTAACCGAAAAATTCAAGCTTTCTAAACAGGACAGAAAATGACGTAGTGAAAATCTTGCACTTTGTTATCATCAATCCAGTGAAAGATTCACCACTATCTTTTTCTGCGTACATAGATTTGGTTTTAGGTGTTGGATGGCGAATGCTTCACCGAAACGAAGCAGGCTAGGTTTCTTTTGTCTGTTGATTATTTTGAATTCCTTCATGTTGTCCACAACATGGCCAGTGTCTATTAAATGACGTGTAATCGTACTGTTTAATGCTTGTGGGCCCTTTAATCTGGACTTTTTTTGGTATGCGTTCACCGATGCGGACAATAACTCTTCCATCTGTTCCTCCAATGTATGTGTTTCGGCACGTACATGTAAATTGGCACAGGCATTTGGAGGTAACATTGTAACAACAGAGGGAAAGACACGGGAGCCAAGGGATATTTTTAATTAATCAAACCGCTGTTTAATATATCTACAGTTTATATTTTGAGCAAAGCTTCCTTACATGATCAAACAGTGTTCTCATTAATCCCTTTTTGTAACTTATAGGGTAGAAGCTTTTGAAGTTCAGGTAAATCGCCCTCCATATCTCCTTTCTATAGATGTAACTTATGATTTCACCGCCTTTATCACGTCCAATGCCAAGGTCGAATAAGTGAAACTTGTCCTCATCTTTATACTCCATTGTAAACTGAAAGAGGTTGGGTAAGGTCATCATTGAGGACACTGAATACTATCATTATTGAGAAATTTTTCTTTCCACCTTTTCAGAAGAGTGATTTAGACTGGATTTATGTTCATATGGGATATATATATATATATATATATATATGGTTTTCTAAGGACACCAACTTAGCTAGTAAAAAGATCGAAACTAAAACGTAAAATATTTGACGTACTTTAAGTAAAATTATTGTATAAGAATTTGCAAACTACTGATTGCAATTGTTAGTAGTAATAGAGAATAACTCAAAGTACATACCGAAATCTCTACTGTCCGAGTTTCCTCTGAAGAATTTTCACAATAGTCCTCCTTGTAATCGGTTCTACTTTCATCTGAATTATTATTGCTCTCATGATTATCAGCGTTATTATTATTATTATTGGTGTTATTGACACCAGCAACAGTACCACGCAGTCCCACACTCCCACTGCCATTATCATCATTCCCATCGTTGTCTTTTGTACATATATGCTTCAGACACCACATCCGGACTACACCATCAGAACTACCAGTTATAACTACATTTTCTGCATCCCAGTCATAGAGCTGTTTTATTATTAGAGAATAAAAATGTTGAAAAAAAGCATTACGCAATTACCTCCAGTAAATGAAAAGAAATTTCTAGCGCAATTGTTTGACGTAAAAAAAAACCAAAAAGATTTTATTTATACAGAAGCTACGAATGTATAGTAAGACAACTAAGGTCAGCCATTTAAAAGATGATTATAGTATGTATACAGTTGGAGACGCCTATAAAAAGCTATTGTTGCCATGAAGCAATGCACGCCAAAATCGACGCATCTAATGTTTTCTATCGAAGGGAAAATATTAAATGCATTTTTGTAGGCTACTGGATTAATTTCAGCAACCAGATTTCGTCACGAACCAACATCATTTAGAGATTATCGAGAATCAAAAAGCACTGGACAGTTACTTCCTCCAACTTAAGGACTTTTCAGATACTTACATCATAGTTTTATGACCCGTGAACTGTAACTTAGTCTTTGACGAGTACCCACTTCATCTTGACTCGGTGGACCCCGCTGGTCACAACTTCTTACTACGGGTTCAGCACGTCCATCCCAGTAGCAATCAATGAGCTGGTGACTAAGATTTTTGAGGGCATTGATTGAAGGTTGCCTTATGTCACAAACTGATTACGTTAGAATTCATGGGTCACTGAATTTCGTTCGAAGAGGTTCAATGGTCAATGAGCTTGGTCTAACAACGTGATAAAGAGCTCCTGTCCAGCTACTCCCTGGATTCCAAAGATCTCTCTAACTGATGATGGTTCACGAAAAAATCTAACCACTGAAATATCATCTGTAATGCAACTACGGTTTGTCTGAAACATACTAAAAACAGCATGTATATGCGACCACCAGTCAATATCATTGACGAGGATTCGTCTTCACTTCCAACCAGGTGGGCCCCATTGATCACAAGTTCTCACTAGAAACTTAATTCAACTTCGTCCTGATGCTCACCAGTGACTGGCTGCAAGACTTTATGTATGCACCTGTTTATAATAGTCTGCAATAGGCCGTTGGAAATGCTTTTCATCCCGTTAGGAGCACTTACAGATTCGATATTGATGCTGGAAATTCGGATCTTGTTCTTTATGATGACTTCTACACTGATTTTAGAGTAATGAAGGTCTGTCTTAGTTTTCAAATTCTTGCTTTGATACATCCTCATCTGTGCCGCCTGTAATTGAAATGATGCTATCTAGTTAGCTGAAAGAGATGACTTCTTTCAGGCTTTTCTCCTGATGATGATAAATGGTGTTTGTTGTGATAGTCGGGGATAATTCCCACCCAGTGTTGCACAGGCTAAGTTAGGTGAAACAGTATTGGAACCAGGAAGTTATCTGGCTAAAAGCCAAGTGATGAACTCAATAATCTGTACATTTACAATCAATATGTTCAACAAATTGGTCCCATTTCAAATGAAGGTTGATGAGTAGCAAGAGAGTTGTGCATTTCATAAAGTAGTCTCAATTTTTCTTTTTAACTCACCAATCGATGTATTTTTCACACTTTCTGACCCGTAAAAACATTTCTGTTTGCCATTAAATTCTTCTGATTTTTGTTTTTGAGTTAATTTTAATTGGTAAAAAAAGGAATTTCAAACTAGTATTCCCTAGCTTTCAAAGATCCTCTACTAACTGATGTAAATTAGTGATATAACCTGAAGTCGACCGAAACCCTGACAACTAATACTTGAAAATATTTAGATATGCTGCTATGCTTGGTTGGTGAAAGTTGATGAGAATGATTGAAAGCAAACATATGCATTTCATAGTGAAATATATCTTCGATGAAATTTCGTCACCTAGACGATAGAAGCCATGAGACTGATACATTAGTAAGTTTCAGGGTGATGAACAGAGAAAACACTTCAAAACTAGTTTGAATTACTGAGACTGTCACCATTCGAAAAGCGGGACTTGAACTGTGTGCTTTCAAACTTATTAATACCTTGGTAAGCGTTGATTCCTTCACTCTATATCTCTTCTACGGAGAATTTGTTTCCCTTTACTGGTAACCTGCGACATACAGTCACTGAGCTTGAGCTTGCCCGCTTCAGTAGTAATGGTAGTATTTTCACCGGCGTAGGGATACTAGCCTCGCACTCAACATTGTCCTTTTTTCGGGCTTACTACTGACCAGGAGAAGTTTAGCAGTGTGTCGACTAGGAATCGAACCTGCCCCTTCTAATAAATAAAAATATACTACAGTAAAAAAATACGAAAACAATAAAGAATCAGTACAAAATTTCCTGGCAGCGATATACTGGCTTTGTGGCCCAAGTGGTCGAATGGATAACGCTTTGTGCGTCGGTAGCATAGCGGACCATGCACATGGTCCGGGGTTCGATCTCCAGCCGACGAGGCACTACTTCACCTCGCCAAGCCAGAAATAATGCTGGCAAAGAGGAAAGGTTGGGCATGAGGCTAGCAACCCCATCCTGTAAAATAAATAAACACTGCTACAGAAACTTCAAGCCATTAGCTTGAAGCCTTATGTTTCCTGGGGAACGTGAAGGAAATAAATAAATAAATAAAATTTCCGTCTTGTACACCATAGTTTTTTCAGTCTGTTTCACACTCTTCTATAGCATTGTCAACATTTTATAAAGGGATAATAAAAAGACGAAACGTAATTCAATCATAATCTCCTATCGAAACTTACAGTACTCATACAAACACATAGAATTTGTTTATTCCGTCCAACTGGTGTATCCGTTGAAGCGACTGGTTCACCATTACAGTTCCATAAGTATAAACGTGTTCCAGCACAACTTGCTATATCTCCAGTAGCTTCATTAATACAAATCGCAGCAATCGGTGCAATATGATTAGATAATTGGCGAAGAAAGCATAGACGACTTAAATCCCATAGGATACAAGTTCTATCACGGCTACCGCTAACAATTAGATTAAATGCATCTGAGGCAGCTAAACAGGTTATAGCATCAGTATGTCCATAGAGTGTTGCACGTAGTTTAAGACGTGAACCACCGGATAAATGGCAACCACCATAGGCAGTAGACGATGAACTGGATGTGTTTAATAGGCCAACACCAGAAGAATTATTTGAACTTGTTGTGTTGTTGCTTACATCATGAGAACTAAGCTATAGATGTATACAACAAAGAAGTAGATGATTAAAAAATAATTTAGCGAAAACAAACAAACAACAACAAATAATCAATCATATTATGGTAAAAGTAAAATAAATATTCTAAATAAACAACAAAATATAATAGTAATAATCTTTATTATTATTATTATTATAGAAAAAATTTGTACTTCCCAATGCTGCTGCTAATAGCTTTATTAAAATCGCAGATTCACAAAATCACAGCTTATATACAGTAACTGAATCATACTTGTTCAGCATGAGGTAATTTCCACGTTGCCAATTGGATGAAATCGTAAAGATAAGAAAAACCAGATTTTTTGGTTTGATATATGCATGAAATGATTAAAACAGCATGTGTCTACATATAATGAAAGTGTTTATCCCATTCATCAGGCGATATAAAAATTTATTACGATAATCAACCTCCTATAAGCACCCAATGTCCAAATTTTTCTTTTCAAACTATTACGTGTGAAATTGATTTTGGATATATGCAATGAAATATAATAAATAAAGTAAGAAAATCATGGAGTACTGGTCAGCTATTTCATCCTTTTTAGGAACTCTTCATCAGTTTACACCCATGACCCAACCAGGGAGCAAAGCCAGGACCTTGAGGTTGCAAGGCGAGATCGTAGACCATTTAGGCCATTACATTCCAGTGTTGAACTGACTGATTCACTCACAACTTCAGGAAGCAGGAAGCCTTGAACCTAGGTTTCATGCTTGACAGGATTCACTCTGCACCAGCACCAACGTCTAGACACATGATATTAGTAACTGCCTAGTGTCCAATCAAAGTGTTCAACACATATCCTCAGAAGGTCAACCGCCAGTCTGAATAGCTCAATGGTAATGTCTCTAACTGCAGGTACTGAGTGACACAGGTTCGAATCTCAGAAGGGACATCATGAACTCCTTCAGGATTGCAGATATGTCTTGGTGATTAGTGCCAGGAAGCACGGAACTTAGGTTCAAGGCTTTCTTCCTGCCTATTGCCTCCAACCATCTAACAGACAATTAGGATGCTTGAAGGATAGCACACTATACCCGGGGAAAAAACTATACACCATCCATAATTAAGAAAAAGGCACTTACAAACCATACACGTATGACAGTGCTTAAACCAGCTGTAATAATGGTATATTTATTAGGTGATGTACAACACAGAATTTCATTTTGATCCACCATTTCAAATATATAACGAACACGTTCATTTGAGTCGAATAATGATCCTAAGCGTAGACTGCCATCAGTGAAACCCCATGCAAGATAATGCGTATAATTCGGTGGCAGAAGACATTTATTTTGTTCAACAGCAATAATTGGTCCACCGATTATAGTTGTTGTCATTGTTTGATAAATAGTTGTATTACCAGAACTATTAACATTTTTATCTGATATTAATCCAGGATTACTATTATTATTAGTATTATTGTTGTTGATGCTGCTATTATTATTAGCAGAAGACAAGTTAACATTCTCATTATTCATATTATCTGAATTAATATTTAAGCTGAGTATTGGACGATTAACTGTAGCACCAGTATTCATATTATTGATATTTGTTCCACTCGGTATAAACTGTGGGTCTAATTGGACAATTTGACCAACTGCATGTTTCAATTCTATGATAAAAGTAGGAAGAGAACAAAACAAAGGAAGAGATAATAACAAGACAAAAAAGAAACAGGAAATGAATACCCTACAGATTATCTATTTGCTTATTGAAACAAACCCTACCTGTCTTGTCTTTGTAGGAGGCACTTGAGGCTGAGATTAACGACGGTCACTGCTGACTTTTATTTATTTATTTATTTCCCTTCTTCTCCTTCAAGTCTTGATATCTACTTGTAAACCGTCTCATCATTAGACATAATCATATCAGTATTAATTCTATTAAAATGGGTGGTTGAAATCTCAGCAGCTACTGACTTTTCCATGCAGTTGACAATGATATTGTGAGAACCACCTGGCTGTCCACACATACGTAGGTGAAGCAGGATTGAAATCAGTGGTCAGAAGTGGAGCGTCTCTAGACCAATGAGCCAGAGAGCAAAAATTTCATTAAACATATTTACATTAGTGTTTAGATAACAATATGGTGGTATATCACTCATCCTCAGTATGGATACAGATACGCCGTCCCTGGCGTAGACGTGATATCCGGCTATCAACTAAAGGGCAGGTGTACTGCTCATCAGTCCACTCCATCCTCCTTTATGGCTGGCTGTGAGACCTGGCCATTGAGAGTGGAAGACATGAAAAGATTAGCTGCCTTTGATCATAAGTGTCTGCATTCTGTATCCTGTGTTAGATGATGGTAAAATAGGTTGGTGAGTACTATTGAGGTTAGGCGTCGGTCGAGTGCTAGATAAGGAGGGGAAATCAATCGACGAAGCTGTGAAATTACATCGACTGAGATGGGTTAAGACATGTGTTACGTAAGCCTAGTCATCGCCTTCCTCGACTGGTAATGTAAGCTGACATAGGGTCTGGCTGGAAAAAAGCTAGCGGCGATTAAACCAAAACATGACACCAGTCGATGAAATCCACAACAGTTAGTTTAAGTCACGTAAGAAGGTGTAGACTTCCTGGTTGGGGTCCTCGGGACGGTAAAATCCAATTATTATTATTGTTCCCTTGGGTTCCTACTGGAACATAGGGCTTCAACTGCACGTCTCCACTTGCTTCTGTCTTCTGCTGTACTTTTCACCTGCATCCATGTTAGTCCATACTATTTCAACTCCTCTTCACACGATCTCCTCCATGTCACCCTTGAAAGTCCCACCAATGGTTAGAAACAATTGGTGATATGGCTCCAAATCGTTCTCAATGGCGCAGATGCATCCACTCCTTGTGACACTTATGATTTCAAATGAAACTATATCGTTCTTCATTATTACTATTCCTTTGTCTCACATCTCTGTTTACTGCCTCTATTATGCATTTCTTCTACTTCCTTCTCTTGCTTTGTGTGCTATATGGAGTGTGGTGACTTGAACTGCTGCACATCGATGCTAAGTTCTATGTTGAAAACAGGCAGACAAACATACTTAGACAAAACCTTTCCATTTCACCCTGCAGTCTTTTTTAGCTGATCCCACAATTACCTCTAAGCCATTACGTCCTCCAAATACGACTTCTTTTTCATGTCACCCTCGGGTCCCCAACCAACTTGATTCCAATTCGGGTCTCATCTGGGCTATGGCCTGGCACATGGTACAACTCGATGACCTCATCAGCGTATGTTCGATCCATCTCCATTTTCTTCGGTACATTTCTTGTGGATGATGGTTTCTTTGTTAGTTTTTTACCAGAGTTCCCTGTTGCTCACTTATTCTTTACAGACACTGATCCTTAAAATATGAAGCGAAGACACCTGTTGATGACAGTCTGCAATAGGCTGTTCGATATGCTTTTCGTAACACGTGCACCAACTAAGTGAAACATACTGAAACACTAGCTTCACATTAATGTTGAAAATTCGAAATCTTGTTCCTCATGGTGATCGCAGCAGCACACTTCCGTACTGATTCCAGATTCATGATGGTCTATCTCGCTTTCGCGATCATGCTTTCATTCTAATAATGAAATGTCAGTTATGAAATACTAAGGTCACATACAGTTTATATATATATATATATATATATATATATATATATATATATATATATACTATAAAAATTTATAACTTTAATAGGTCTTACGGTATGAGACTTGTTGCCAAGTCGTTTGAACCGCACGGGACATGTTTTATACTTCAAGTCCACTAGTAGATAAGATAACCGACTCATAAACAATCAAACACCTTAATCTGATACAATCACTACTGATAATAATAAGTAATATGTAACACCATGATACCAATTTACAAATAGGCAAACTCAACTAACCTTTAATAGGCTGTAAACTTGGTCGTAAAATATCAAGATTACGATAGAATAAATCACAGGCTAATTGACTGCCAGAATTCAGTCCAATAACAGAGCTGAAAAAGCGTGAAGACTGACGCGGTATAATCACCCGTCTGCATGGATGTGGTTTTTTAAACAGCTGTTTAGGTATTTGACCGAAATTGTTAATAAAACCGATAACAGCTGATCGTTTCAATGGATCGTCTATTGAATAAATATCAACATTTCCTTCATAGAACAAATAGTGAAAAACATTAGCTGATTGGACTGCATTTTCGCCTTGTTGTTTATAACCAAAGATTAAATCAATCCATTCATGTAAGTGTGCAGAGACATATTCACTTTCTAAAGCCTATAAAGTGAAATAATAGCACAGAAGACGTTAAAGAGATTTCCTTCTTTTGTTTGCTACACAGTAAAGTTGACTGAAGACATTCATACAAAAATTGAAAAGGCTGTAAGTTAGGCATTTTGTTTCTGACAAAAATGATACAGCTCTCTTTCACATTTTCAGCGAAGACTGAATATAACAAGCATAGTTTATAATTCACAATGATACGTGAAAGAAGCGAAATTGACCTACTGAAAAGTGGTTACGTTTATTTACTACACTCACAACGGGACTGGTAGACTGGTGTGCGTCGGTGGCACAGTGGTTAGGACTCTCGCCGACCATGCACATGGTCCGAGGTTCGATCCCCTGCCGACGAACACCTGATATCTATGGTCGGCCTGCGAAATTTGGGCTACCGATATCCATGCTGAAAATTCCATACTTGTACCAAAAATACTGTGTGGAATCAAGCTGTAATCAAAAATAAAATAAAAATAGACATACAAGTCTAACTAGAAGAGGTGAGAAAGCACTTATGCTTAACCAATGGTGTACATAAAGGTCCCAGAATCCAAAGGCATCGAATAGACACCCGAAACCAGGGGAACGCAGCTCTAATTCCTGTGGACCAGGTTTCAAGTCAAACACTCAGGGAACGGTCCCTTTAGGACAACCATCTGCTTCAGTATGAGCGCCCGGGCAGCATCCCCGCCCTAACACAAACTATTAGTTTTTGTGTGAAGCATCTCTTCGTGCCCATGTAATATGTAGTCACATGATATCTGCTTTGTTTGCTATATGTCTATTGATCGTTAGTCCAGTTATGACTCACAATGATCTTGTCTGTTAATCAACTAAATAACAATGTACGATCTTCGTCACATGACATTGCAGCCAATCAGAATCCAGTTGGTGGTAAAAAAACAACTAATTATCTGTCTTATTGGTTCATGTATGTTAATTATTTTCTTATACTCTTGTACTTAAAATAGATTGACACGTTTTCATTCACACTTCTGTATGACAATTAATTTCCCTTGTTGGAATAATGGATGTATACTTCGTCAACGTGTGGGTCTTCTAAATTTAGTCTTCGGGTCAGGGCAATTTAACCACTAAGCTATACCAGTCATTCCGTCATCGTCCGTTGTATCTCGTTAGTTATATTTATACTCGGTCACCTCATAAAACCATGATGCATGAAGTTTATGGGGGAGGGTATCACGATGCACTGAAAGAGGACTCGAGATGCTGTAAATCAATGGTTGAATACTTCACACTTGAAAATTAATGACAGGAATTGAAATTATTGACCATGCATCATTCCTAAAATTTTCAACAGTTTTATTAGCTTGACTGTCAGTTAATTCATTTTTACCTTCAACCATCCGTTATTACGCATACCTAAATTTACAAATTTTTCCTAAATTAATGATTAGGCATTCTAAGAGATATAGCCAACTAAAAAAATCAATTTCATGTTATCATTGTACACGATCAACTTGTAGTTGATCAGTAACACCAGTTCGTTCAAATAGATAGCCACAAATTGTGTGGTTTGAACTGATTTAGCGTTCCGATCTGAGGTAGACTGCGCACACAACTGATAATCTCAGCGCAGAACAAGCGAAACGGTCGTCCAGTGTTCAGACCACTTCCATAATCCGGGTATAGCAAGCATTACTGATTGATGTGAGTGGTATTCAACTACTAACACCTCGACCAATCACTAGTATACTTAGCATCATATATGTATATAGGGTTTCTTGATTGCCATTTATGGAATCACGTTTCCACGTGGTGGAATAATCACCACGATCTGTGTAAATCGCGAGTTCGATTTATTCTTCATTTTATTGTATTCTTTTTTCCTCTAGTCTCTTTCTGTAATCACCTCACATCATCTTAATATCAGTTATAGGATTTTCTAATAGTTGTCACTTTTCATGCTCATCAGATCCATTTATCGATCTGTTGTGATTGATCGATAGATGTGTCTGACAAACAAATCTGTGCTCACAATGATGAATTGAATAGATAAACTTTTCTACAAAACGAAATGTTACACACAAATACATTTATTATTTACAGCTACTTACTTCACGATGAACTCGTATAAATTCACGTGGATCCGATTTAGCCCATGGTGGTAAGACGACATTGTTCACTTCAACTCCATTCTGTTTAATTCCCATTTCAAAATTATTTGAATTAATTAGAAAATCAGGTAGATAAAAGAATTCCGGTATTAATTCTCGAACATCAGCCATATTATGCCGACTTGCACTTAACCAAGCATCTTTAACACTATGAAACATTCTATCAGGTAAGTCAAAATGCCCACCCTTAAAAGAGACGAAAAACAGTGGATTTAAAATAAAAGTCAATATGTAGAATAGAAAAAATAAAATTCAAATTATCTCAAAAGTATTCAAGTACTGGTTTGCAGGGATTCGGTTGATTGGTTACAGGATTTCATCATGAGCTGACATCAGTTAGAGAACCATTGGAAAACCTGGAAGTACTGGACAGATGTTTCGTCCTAGTTTGGGACTCTTCATCGGTAATTTTCAGAGTATACAGTAGTATGGCATATACTACTCATTGATTCCCAATGACTACTAGGATACTGCTCATATCAACAAGTAGTAGTCGCTAGCCAAACGGATGCGGGATCAAGCTTATCAGCAGTGTTGTACACAGTTTCGGCTCGGTTGAGACAACAAAAAATGTAGCTGGCCGTTACTCTAAGAACCTAATTTTTCGTACAAGCGAATACCTAACGGTGTGGGTAAGAATAGGCCTTGTTAAAACTGTCAACAGTTCTGTATTGCATCGCCTCATTCAAACAGGCCACAAAGCATTGAAGAATCGTTTTCTATCATCAATTAGGTATCGAAAAAATTACTAAAGGCCTCTAGATACCATCACCTCAAACACTAGAGGCCATTGGAGTTAACCAAAATCAACTGGAGCTCTGAGAACGAAAGCAACAGATTCAGACACTATTGCTCCCCTATCCTGCTTTATTACCTATAAATTAATAAACTCTGTATTACTTATCTGATATTTATCTGATTTTCAATCAGTTGAGTGTTGTTATGTTATCACATATAAGTCTCTCTCTCTTACTGATGCGTCTGAACTGTAATCACCTATCGATAATATTGATTGATTCAATGTAATTTAAAGCAGCATTAATGTTGGTAATAGGAATATTCCTCTAATTATTATGAAAATCTGATGACGAATTTATCGAAAAGAATATTCGCTGTTCATTAAACAATCATTTACATTTTTAATGGGAATCTTTGATGAACAGTAAAATTGGTTAAAACCACCTAAATTCCAGTCAGTTATATGGGCACGAACTGGTATTAAACTGAGTCATATTCACAGTTCGAAAGTCAAACTAGCAATCTCCCTTCTACACATCCCATGAAACCAACTGAAACTTTGAAGTTGAAGCCATATTTCCCAGTGGGAACTCATGGAATTTAGAACAATGAATGGAATCGAGGGCCTGCATTTCATCACGTTTCAGATCTCGTCAATGGTACGTAGCAGGTATCCCCAGTGAGTGATTGTGTTCTCACCATCGATACTCAAACCTGGCACATTATTTCCGCCCAGGAAGAAAAAAGTCACAATGGAAAACAAATTCAAAATAATTTTAATATCTAATAATAATTTCTAGTTCAAATAAATAACAATTCGTAACGAATAGTACATAAAACGTTGAAAAAAGGCGGGAGAAGGGATGTCAAGAAAAGACCACCAATACTAGGTTAAAAGACTAATTAACACACTAAGAATAACTTTAAATTAAGAAGTGAATGAAAAGACAAATACTGAATACAGTTTACTTTTTGGAAACATAAATCTACTTGAAGGCACCCAAATTTATTCGAAAATTTATGAAAACAATACAACAGAGAATTCAAAGCCTCTGTAGTACTGCCCCATAAAGAAAGGAAATTAAGGGCCCTATGCAGAATTCTTAACGAGGCTGGAGTTAGAGTGACGTTAAAATTGACCAACTCTCTCAGAGATAAACTTTGTCGGCTTAAGGACCCGATAGATCTAACTAAGAACGTTAACATAATTTACCAAATACCATGTAATGACTGCGAGGTCAATAACACAGGTCAGACTAGTAGATCGAGGTCAATTAGATTATTGGAACATAAAGATTTAGTTAGTAATATGCTTAAATGGAGAGAGAGGTTAATCACTGAATCTTTGCTCATCGAATTCCCACAACGCCTATAACGGATACATTGAAAATTACAATGAATTAGAAGGGGGAGAGAGAAAAAAATACATCAAGCATATTATGAAGCCATGTGAATTCATTGGTGTAGTTTATGAACAACAGATTGTTGTTCAGATATCGTTTTGTTGCTAATATTGTATCAAATTAACTTATCTAAGGAGGAACTGTATTCCACCACAATGACTAAGTTCTACACCCAGTTTACAGAACAGTTTAACACCATAAAGGTAGGCACATCCGGATAATTAATAGACAACAATACTAATATTATACTCATGCAATGTAATCCAGTTCAATCCGAAATAAATAGTAAAAATGAAAGTGAAAACACTATCTACCAACAAAAAGATGCATGATAAACATTAATGCGTGAATATGCTCATTTAAAAGGATTTAAAAAGTAGTAATGTGTGGAATTTCATCCAATCACAAGTGCCACAACAACAATATCAGAGGAGAGAAAAAACTCTTATCAACTGATGCACAGACAGTTTCACTGTGTGCATTTATCACCAGTGTTCACTTGTTGTTGTGGAGCTAAGTAACATTGTTCACAGACTCTCATGAATACCTACTAGCATGGTTGTCGAAAAGAGAATGTTGAAGAGCTAAACAGCTCAATTCTGGAATACTTTATTACCTCTAGTCACTCAGTATCATCATCATCATCATCATCAATAGAGATTTCATACAGAGTCATATATTAATTGTGATAAGGAGGTTGAAAAAGGAATTCGCTTGTATATCTTCTTCATGCAGCTGAAGCTTTAGAAAAATATGTAAGGGAAAGGTTGGACTTTGTATTCAGAAATGTTTTTTGTTCAGAATCTTTTACTAACATGACTTTAGTGGAAGTTTTATTTCCCTGATTTATTGATTGCATAATAAATAAACTCTACTTAATTCTTTACCATTTATTATTCTGCAACCCATTCTCACTTGCTTCTTTGGTCTCTTGTTTTCCAAATGACTACTCATCACTTAACTAATTAGTTGTCAACTCTGTCGATCAGGCGAGATTATTCACCACTTTTCCCAAATTGTTTTCGTTCATATATTTTGATTTATTGTTGTTGCTAAATGACAATAAGCTTTAACATCTGTTATCAGTTTATATATATATATATATATATATATATATATATATATATATATATATATATATCACATGGGGATTTCTTATATCTTCCACTTTAAATGGCCATGCCTCACAGCTATAAAGAAAGACTGAGGAAACACGCCCTTTGATCGATTACCGGATATTATTACCGGATGAGCAAAATGACCCGTCAAATTTAACAGTTCGCAACTATGATTATCCAAGATCGAGCGATGATTTTCATTGTTTAAGTGTACTGGTTAGGTTGAAGGTGCACGGTGTCGTCCTAGTTCCAAACTTTTCAGCAGTCTCTACCCGTGACCTAACCAGGGTTTGGACCTAAGACGAAATTCCTGCAGAAATCATTATGTACATAACCGTTACTTTATAGATACATTTAGTTATTTGTGTTCCTAAAGTTACGTAGTTTACACCTTCTGCAATATAGCCGTGCAATCTAGGAGCAATTCACATTCACTAGACTTTATATTTGGTATATTAAAATCTGTATCAGTAAACGTAATTTCCTCCAAGCGTTAAACGTATGCACTACTTTAATCATGAAGCATTGTAGCGAATTTGATTGATTTCAGTGTAGATTTTGTCACGAACCAACATTATTTAGAGATAATAGAAAGCCAGAGACTTGTTTCGACGTACTTCAGCACTGTACAGAAGTGCCCACCCATGACCATTCCAGAGATCGAATCCTGGACCTTCATGTTACAAGACCAAACTTGTTAACCATTTAGCCACCTGAACTGGAATTCAGTGATCCGTGAATTCAAATTTTATTCAGAATGTGGATGTGCACTTTAAATCATTCTGAATAATAATAATTTTCTTTCTACCTGATTTCACAATGATCTCTTAACCTCTTCATTAATGTGTCATCAGCTTTCATGTCACACTGTAGATTACCTCAGAGTTCATCGATCTGTATCAAAGCATAATAAACGCCTAACCGGTATATATATATATTCTAACGTCCTATGGGCCTTTTGGTTTAATACGGAAGCTTTTAATGTCGTTCTAGACAAAACCAGTAGCTCAGACTATTCATCACTTGACTAATTACTCGTCAACTCTGTCGATTACGCCAGATTATTCACTAATTTTCCCAAATTGTTTTCTCTCATACATTCTGATTTACTTTTGTTACTAAATGACAATAAGCTCTGACGTTTGTTGTGTTCTCGATTAAAAGAGTAATCTACCATAGTAAGTAATAAACTGATACTGGATCTAGGTTGAGTGTCAACGGTTTAGTGGTAGAATACTCGCCAACCACCACGTGCATGTTCAGGAGTTCAATTTCCAGACGATACACTTTCTACTAACCTTGCTTAGCTAGTAGCAAGACCGGTCAAAAGGGAAGGTTGAGCAGACCTATCCTATTCTACTCCGAACAAAAAGCAATGAAAAAACGTAAGCTTGTTATTGATTTTGTTTTTTCTTTGCTCTTTATTCAACTTAACTGACTTCTAGACGATAATAGACTTCGTTACAAACTGACACTACAAAGCAAACAGTTTCTAAACAGCTAGACAACAGATTCTAACGACATTTCCTTCTCCTTCCCTCCTCTTCTGTGAAGAGTTGAAACCAGAGTCTAAAAGCATACAAAGATGAGAGTCAGTTGCCTACGATTTCCAATTAATGCCGGTTATTAATATAATCGTATGTCGTACATCAATAACTGTTTTTACAATTTAGGATACTCTCCACCTTCTGTAAAAAAATTAACAATAGGACGACGGTGGATGACTTATAAGTGGCTAGAAATATTCTCTAATCGACAAACCTAATTTCTGACATGAATAACGAACAAAAACGACAAAAGGCAACAAATTTCGACATACTTGAAGTTTAAGAAAGTGTTGAGCGAATGGTTCCATTCGAAAAAGATATGACGCTACAATCATAGCAGATGAATAATGCGTTCCATAATGGTATGGTGGTGTTTCACCGGTAGGATCATCCCATTCCTTGTAACGACGTTGGAATTGAGCTAAACGATCAGGTGTTTGAGCTCCCATTGGTTTAGATAGATCACGAAATGTCTCTGGTCTGGACAGATCTAATTCTTCCGAGTCATAATCAGCAAGTACCCATGGAAACACTGGATACTGGATAAGATCATTATAAGAACGACCAGCTTGTGTATTTAAATACATCAAATATTCAAAATTGCTCAGCTCTCCGTGCTAGAAATAGTATTGTTAGAAAAAAATATAATAATAATAGTATTAAATATTCGGTGATTTCACTAAGATTACGAAGATTGAAACAGATTAAAATATATAATCTGACAAAGGAATGACTCCTTCCTTTCTATCATAGGTTTTCTACGGTTTTAAATCAAGTCAACCAAGTTGTAGATCAATAATTCAAACAAAATTTGAAAGATTTTCACTTTTTATTTTAGTAGCAAATATATCTCCCCTATCCTTCATGGGAACAATGTTGTAGCAATTGAACATTCTACCTTTTCTGTTAGTTTTTAAGATAATAACTACTACATATACACACTGCAGAATAAGTGTAGTTGGTTGGAGTAAATCAGAGGATATCCTGGAAATCGTCAACAGTCCCTGAAGGAATTGATGCCTTCCTGAAGATGTAAATTCATGTCAGCCAGTGGGCAGTCAGAAACGTTACTATTGAGCTATAATGGAAAGATTGATTGATCATTCGGAAGGCGGGGGTAACCAGTGTCATATGTCTAGTCCTTCATGTTGAGGACTTGTTTTGTTCAAAGTTAATCTGCATTTCCCGTTGACTGATTATCTTGAACCAAAATGCTCAGTCTATGTTGACTTGTTAGTTCTTGAAACAGACTCTTCGACGACGCCTGAAGATTAACCTTGATGTTATTTTGGTTAATAGTGATTAAAATTGAAATCGAGGACCAGAATTTCGTCCTATTTAGGACTCTTCATATGAACTCAGAATTTCAGTCCAACATAATCAATCCACACAGAAATATAGATTAACTTAACGACAATAAGAACCGATACCGGTTTCACAAGAAGTGGTTCTCGTCACACGGTGGATAATGATTTAGTGTTTGAAACAATGAGTGAAGAGTTCTGGTCTCAGTAGGTACACCAAAACTCAGAGCTTGGGGTGAAGGTGCAACCACCTGACGATTCTCTCGCTAACAAGACGAAATTGGGTGAAAGGCTGGCTATCCGTTGTAATAAAGGTTTTGTATTTCTCAATGAATGAAAAACAAAACGATATTATTGTTACTGACGTTTCGCTATTTAATGCTAATAGCTTTAATAATGAAAGACTGGCAACTCCACGCCGTAAAAAGAAATAAACACCATTGCTACCATAACTTCAAAGCTCAGTCTTGAAGCCTTATGCTTCACTGGGAAGACAAGCGGCTACAAAATTTTTGAAAAGTAATGAATAAATCGAAAACCTACCTCCCATCTTTGCATTACTGATTTTACACCGAGTAAACTGCTTAAAAAGCTTTGAGAACTAAAAATGATAACAAAATAAAAAAAGAAGAAATGGATAAATAAATGCATAGAGCTTCTTTTAAAATTCATATTTCGTTGAAATGGTACTGAAAGTGAACATTTATTTCATTTGAAAAACAGGAAAAATACTTTCAAAGTATATTTCATCACGAACCAGCATTAGCTAGAGAATCCCTGAAAGTGATGAAATATTCAAAAACCAACGTGCCATGCTGAAGTGTCAACCATGTCAGTGTAAAGTGGATTCTCAACGATCACCACCAATTTCATATAGGAGCTCTTAATGTTAGGACACTTTGCCAAATAGGACAACAAGCATCACTAGCCAAGACCCTGGCATCACGAGCCATTGATGTATGCTGTGTTTCAGAAACACGCATACAAGACCCAAGTGTGGTTATTCACCTAACCCCACCTGGCCAACAGGTTGAATCTGCAAAATTCACCTTGAGGGTGTCAGGAGATGCCACAGCTAGTTCACGAGGATTAGCTGGCGTAGGGATAGCTTTGAGTACTAGGGCAGAAAAGACATTGCTTGACTGGATCCCGGTAGATAGCCGAATGTGTGCTGTCCGCCTGAACGGATCAGTAAGAAGGAGGAAGGACTGCACTACTCGCCGATGCCTTTTCGTAATCTCCGCCTACGCCCCCACTGACTGCAGTTCAGATGAAACGAAGGATGAGTTCTACCAAAAGCTGTCTAGTTTGGTGGAAAGGCTAAACGCTCAGACATAGTCGTTCTAGCTGGTGACTTTAACGCTCAAGTAGGGAAATTGTGTCAATCTGAGAAGGATGTCGGTGGCACCTATGGAGTTCCGTGCCAGCGAACCGACAACGGTGACCGTCTCCTACAGTTCTGCTCTGATAATCATTTGTTTCTTGTAAGCACTAACTTCAAACACAAGGAGAGACACTGTTTGACTTGGAGACCCCCATCATCAAACCAACGCTGGACACAAATAGACCACATAGCAATAAGCTATCGTTGGCGTGGGTCGGTAGGAGATTGTCGCTCCTTCTGGAACACGTGCGTAGATACCGACCATGCACTGGTCCGCGCTCGGGTGTGCTTACGACTGAACGGACGTAGGAAACAGCTGGCGGTAAAACCATCACGTCCCCAGCTCGATCAGGAAACTAAATCCGTATTTCAGGAAGAACTAGCTAAACACATATCTGTGTTCGACAGCTGTGCTCACCCTGAAGAAGCTTGGAAAAATATCCAGGCAGCCATAGATACAGCTGTAAAAGCTGTGAATAAGGTAAACCCAAAGGTGAGTAAAAACCACTGGATCTCCACCGCCTCATCCGAACTGATAGATGCTAGAAGACTTATTCCGGCGAGCTCCGAATTCAATGAGGAGCGAAAGCTGCACAAGAGGAAACTTACGAAAAGTCTCCGCAAGGACCGTGAACAGTGGTGGGCGACAAAAGCCAAAGAGATGGAGAAAGCTTCGAGGATAGGCAACACCAGGCAACTCTTTGGACTCATCAGGGAAACGGGTGGGAGAAGACAAATCATCAGTGAGACAATCTCGGAAAAAAATGGCACTATAATTAGCTCCAGGATAGACGACTGGATCGTTGGAAAGAGCATTATGAGGAGCAGTTTAATTTGCCCACAGCCACGCTCAACCTTCCGAGCATCCAACACCTCCCTGAATGGGATATAGACACAGGTCCTCCGTCACTAACTGAGGTTACTAAAGCTGTCACCAATCTGAAACTAGGCAAAGCAGCGGGACCTGATGGAATGACTCCAGAGGTATTTAAGTACGGTGGAGACAGCTTACTGTCCGGATTAACTGAGGTACTAGGCAGCGTCTGGGAATCAGAAGAAGTCCCATCGGGTTGGTGTAAGTCACTGATTATCCCCATATACAAGAAGGGAGACAAGTCTTCCTGTGATAATCACAGAGGGATTAGCTTGACTAATATAGTATCTAAAGTCTTAGGCTCAATAATCATGCGTAGACTGAGTGGTGCTCGGGAAGCACAAACACGAGAGAGCCAGGCAGGCTTTAGACCAGGAAGAGGGTGTATTGATCATATCTTCACCCTCCGACAGATTCTAGAACATAGGCATTCCTACCGGCGTCCAACAGTCATTATATTTCTTGACCTAAAGGCAGCATTCGACTCTGTCGATCGGGAAGTTCTCTGGAGATGCTTGGCTGTAAAGGGAATTCCAAGAAAATATATTGCACTGATTAAGGCACTCTACTCGTACTCATACAGCCAGGTGAGGGCTTACGGCGAGCTGTCATCTGAACTGATGACGACCAGTGGTGTCCGTCAAGGATGCCCATTATCTCCTTTTCTATTCAACTTCATCATAGATGTGTTAATGGACTTAACCCTAGGTGACTTCAGCGACTCAGGGATTGACTTGCTACCGGGGAATAATCTCGTTGACTTGGAATATGCAGACGATATAGTCCTTCTAGGCGAAGACGCTGACGAAATGCAGAGTCTTCTAAACACCTTGAGCCGCAATCTACGAATGTTTGGCATGCGATTCGCTCCCGCCAAATGCAAGATGATGTTACAGGACTGGACTACATCGACGCCTAGTTTAAAAATAGGAAGTGAAGTGGTAGAGCACGTTGACCGCTTCACTTATTTGGGAAGTACCATCAGCCCCAACGGGCTGATCTCTGACGAAATCTCAGCACGAATACAAGGGGCTCGTTTCGCATTTGTTAGTTTACGCCGACTCTGGCGTAGACGAGATGTTCGACTATCGACCAAAGGGCGGGTGTACTGCTCATCAGTCCGCTCCGTCCTCCTTTATGGTTGTGAGACCTGGCCACTGAGAGTGGAAGACATGAAAAGACTAGCTGTCTTTGATCATAGGTGCCTGCGTTCTATTTCCCGTGTAAAGTGGCATAATAAGGTGAGCAACATGGAGGTTAGGCGTAGAGTTCTAGGTAAACAGGGGAAATCAATCGACGAAGTCGTGAAGCTACAAAGACTGAGATGGTTAGGACATGTGTTACGTATGCCAAGCCATCGCCTCCCTCGACGAGCAATGTTAGCGGATATAGGGTCAGGCTGGAAAAAAGCTAGCGGCGGTCAAACAAAAACTTGGCATCAGTCAATGAAATCCACAACAGTTGGTCTAAGCCACGTAGGAAGGTGTAGACTTCCAGGCTGGGGTCCTCGGGACGGTAAAAATCTATGGTTGGAAACAATTGGTGACATGGCTCAAAATCGTTCTCAGTGGCGCAGATGCATCCACTCCCTGTGACTTATGATTCCAATGAAACTGTTTTGTATTTCTTTATTACTCCTTTGTCTCACACCTCTGCTCACTGTTTCTATTATGCTTTTCTTGTACTTTCTTCTCTTGCTTCGCGTGCTACACGGAATGTGGCGACTTGAACTTCCGCACATTTGTGCAAAGTTCTATGTCGAAAACAGACAGAAATGGGTAGACAGTAGAGTAATAGTGCGAAATGCAGAGAGTTTAGAATGTGTGGTGGTGAAATATTCTAACAGCCTGATTTGTAACATTAAGGTCGTGGGTTCGATATCTAATGCAATCATAAATCTCTCATACTGAAAGGTCCTTAAACTGGAAAGAAGAAGTTATCCAGTGCTTTCTGGTTTTTAATGATTCTCCCTAACTGATGTGTTCACACACACACTGCACACTGAAATCAACTAAAGTGCCTATAGAACGCATAATCTACAAACAAAATACAACAAAAGAAGATTAACATACACTGGTAAATAGTACTATTAACGAAGAAAAATCTGATTACTTAGAGAGTTTTAAAGATTGTTTTAACTTTATTAACGAAGAGGACTTCTGATGTGAGAATTTGTCAATACATCAGTCGGTTAGAATTGAAAGTTTTTAAAAGCATTAAACAGTCAATCCAATTGTTATAACTGAATGATACTGGGTTGTGGGTTCGCCTAAACTGACTAGGAAACGTCTCCAGAACACAACACTGTAACTAAATTGGAGTCATCTCCTACACCAAGATAGATACAAAAGTCAAACTGGGAAAATGATGATGACCGGGATGACAGCGACAACTTTTATTAGACAAAATACATGGTGTAATATATTTACAAAACCTTCAAGAAGTTAAGTCACAGACAAAACAAATCTGATTGGTTGTATGACATCGAAATCCCTCAGAAAATTAAGCCATAAATGAACAAATCATAACTGTCCGATACGGTTGTCATGTCAGCGCATCCATAATTCAAGTTTGTCTGTCCCCTAGCAAATTATTTTGATTAAATCTACTACTACTCACTGGTTTTTAGTAATATATTCCAATATGGAAATATCCCTGATTTCGTACATATTTACAACAAGCGACCTGCAGAATCGATTTTTTTTAGACAGACAATATCAACATGATGTTAAGCATTAACTTTTGACTATATAACTGACTATATCTTACATTCCCATATGTATGAAAATAATGCAACAAAATAAAACATGGAAAAATAGAGTAAATAAAGAAATAATATACAGTGGTTGAAATGGAATTAACGAACGATTTCGATAGGTCTTTAGAGAAATAACGCTCATTGTGCTTCAGAATGTTATGAGCCTTAGATAACGGACCCACATCCCTCCATCACCTGTATTCACAGTTGACTGTCGGCAGTCGGTGACTTTATAGATTGCTCTAATCACCATTCATTTTCTTTAAATATTATCCTACTTTCACAAAACATGGTATGTTCAGGGTGCAAAGTGAGCAGATACACGTAACACGTATTACAAATACTTCAGAAGAATATTTATAACTTCAAAATTTGATATCTCTGTCGTATTTAGGATTCAATCCATGAGTTCTATATGGCTCATGTGGTTGTTTCATGAAAAAAAGGAACAATGCTACATTGATAATAATAGTCAAAGTTTTGTAATTTTCGCTAATATTCTAACTGAGATGACGATGTTTTAGCAGTCGTACAACAACAACCCTTCAGATATCTCATTTATAAAATAATTGACACAAATTAAAAAAAAGGAAACACGCTTTTCTCAAATGCATGCAACACATTTCGTCAACCGTTAATTCGTTTGTTAGCGCTCATAAGAAATCCCAAAGTCGAAATGTCCAACTAATTTACTCCTTGTCTTAAGATAGGGGGGAAATCAGTTAAAAAGTGACGCACAAATATATAAAAAAAATTTCTAACCTGTTACTTAAAGTTTTCGAAAGTCGGAGAATAAACACACACGCACACACATACACTCGTGGACATAAAAAGATAGTAGCAAACAACTATAGTAGTAATATGCGATAAAAAAGTATAATTACGCTTCGAAAATTTAATCAATTCTCACAAAAAACATGTAAAATTTAGCCTGGAGGATTAAAGAAACAACTTCTAAAAAGCCATAAACTAATGCACCTTGATTAGTTGCTTGTGAACAGGGTGAACTATTGTTTAATTTGAAATAAAAGTTGACACTGAAACAACTCATTTCTCATGATATCTAGACATGAATAATAGCTGATAATGTAGGAAGAAATAAAATAATATATATATCAGCGAAGTTAACGACGTTTCAAGTATTGACTTGGAGGTTGCTTTGTTTGATTTCAAGGTCACGAGTCAACATTAGTTAGAGAAATCTTTAATGATACCGATCAAATCCCTACAAACTAACACCTGAAAATCCAATTCACTGCTTATATGTCAAGATTGACTATGAGATGCACTTCCTAGAGTTGTAGTGAGAATTGATGACCTTTTGGGTCGTGCACCAAGTTGAGTGTGGAACAGACGTCCAGTGTTCCCTTGTTTTTAATATCTCTCCAAATGATTTCACTTTGTTGTGAAATCTTTTTTAGCATCTAATAAAACAGAATAATTTTACTTCCCCTACTCAATCAATTAAAGTCTACCCTCTTCTGTATGAATGAATTACAAAAACTAATACTACTCAACTTGAAGATTAATTTGTACGTTTAAATAAAAAGGTAGAAAGATGAATAGTACGTTTTCGGATTTGTCATTATTATCTTCATTATGATCCTAATAAATTCAATTTGAGGACTAGAAATGTTGAATTCAAAAATCTTTATTCACCATTTTTATCACATGACTATGTATATATACTTTTACAAATTGGAGAAGGAAGAGTTGAAAATTCATTTTAGACAGATAGTTAACTACAAAACTAACAATACGTTGGAGATACACAGAGACAATGATGATGATGATGATGATGAGAATAGCAGTAGTAAACTACACTATAATGAGTGTATTCATGCGAATTGAGTATTTATCATTGACTGAAAGGAAAAACGCGTTGTACACTGTGGTAATACGTAATTCCATATTGATTGATTTATTTATTGGATATATGACACAGTGAAGTAGTATTATTTATCTGATGATGACGTTTCATGAACATGACGTCAAATATAACTACATAACTTTGATACTCAATTTTCTTTTATAGTTCTCGTTGTTCATTCCCACTAGGCGTAGGGGTAGTAGAATTTTCTAGGTGTCTGTTACGGGTGTTGAATCCATTCTCTATTGCACGTATTCTCAGTTGATTTGATAAATAAAACTTCATCTATTAATCTTTCTCCCTTTCACTCCATTAACCTACCAAAATGTAGCTTACTTCTTCACCCCAATAAGATAAGAAATATAGAAAACAGTTCAGCTTATATGCCTTTACACATAACCATACAATAGCATGGAATATGATAAGTCTTAAATTCGAACATGACAGGGTGGAGGGAGAGACAGATAACTGAAGCTTTATTTATCCAAACAATTAAAAATATGTACCATAGGGCATCTGGAGAATTCTACTACCCCTACGACAAATTGGAAGTAACAATGGGGAAGATAAAAATACAGTTTTGAAGCTGCTTATTACAGTTGTCAATGTGATTATGAGACATTTTAATTCAGTAAATAAAACTGTTTCGCTGTGTCGTACTACCAATAAACAAAATAATAAAACTATGTGTATATTGAAAATCGAGGTACACTGAACAGAAGTTAGGAGAAAAAGAAAATCAACTCACAATTAGTGAGTATTTTCACCTTACGATAAGATTTAGAAATGATTGAAACGATCTTGAGCTCAAGTGCTGGTTTATCTGAGAACATTTTAATGTCTTTCTATACAATACGTTTTCAGGTTTAACTTCAAAAAGACTTGTAGTGGTAAATAATTCCCCAAAATAATTGGCCTACAGAATTCATCACTTAAGCATGGATGCTGACTTTGCCTATTCAAGTCGTTTCATTAAGATGAAGCTTCATGGTCAAGCATCAACGCCATTTGGCACGCTGTCGTGTTCCATTCGTTCGTGCACGATTCCTAGCTAAGTATTCAACATCCCTCCTTCTGTAGACTTTTTTCTAAAGATTGGCAAACTGAAATGTTGTTGGAGCTGTCTACGATTTGTATTTGATGTTTACTGTTAATTTGAGTTAACCGTTCATTGACTTATAATTACACCGAAATGCTTAGTTATCTGTTGTCATGTTAGCGCTACGAATAGGGACGCTTCAAGCGTGTCTTATAGTTATTATGATGTTATTTTAGTTGATGATGTAGAGTGTAGCGCATTTACCAGCTAAATGTATTTGTATCTCAAGTGAGTGGTGGTAGGTAATTCCACTGAAACTTGAACTGAATAGTAATTATTTTAAACGCTAACGCATCGCCCACTCGGCTATACTAGGCTCTTCTGGTCCTGAATTCCACTGCTAGACATCACCAACGAAAATAACATCATATCTTCGACTCTATTGACATTAAATGTAGTACAATCATTGAAATCATTGTTAAATAAATACCACAGGTATATAGTTGTGTTATCTATATTCTCATATGTCAATCACTTACTACCTATAAAGACAATATTACGTAATACTATGGTAACCAACACTGTGTTATGTTATCTGTATTTTACTCCAAGCCTTAATTTCTATGTCTCTTTGGTGAAACAGTGTACCTCGTTCTCAAATGCTTATTATGCGAATCAACCACATGGATAGACTTGTACGGTCTAGACAGAATAATATCCACTAGTTACTTAGTAGTTTTTTCTACACAGAAATCAATAATTAATGACTCTGATTATCTAGGTAGAATGAGCAAAATATCAGCTTGGTTTGTTTCCTTTTTGAATTATATGTATGAATATATATTTATAATGGAAAAATTATAGGAATGGTTTCTTTAAAAAACTAAAACCAAAATAATGAGTAGATAGTTAACTGTACATTGGAACATTGAACAGGAAATGCGTGCCTACACGAGTAGAAACTATACATATCCTCGCCATTTTAAAACATTTAAACAAAACATGTCCAACAATATCCTGAAAACAACATAAAGCTAGAAATACTTTTATTTTTTCCTTAAGAAGTTTCTTACGAAAAATTCAAAGCTAAATAAAGTTGTATTATTTAGTTAACATTAATAACAACATTTGGGAGGAAGACGATTAGTATGTTGTAGTATTTTCTTTTAGAAAAATGGTGGAGAAGATTTGTGTTCTCTGCGCCGCGCCACTTAATCGCGAAGCTTTCATTATTTATTTTTGATTACAGCTTGATTCCACACTTCATTTTTGGTACAAGTATGGAATTTTCAGCATGTGATATCGGTAGCCCAAATTTTGCAGGCCGACCATAGATATCAGATGTTCGTCGACAGGGGATCGAACCTCGGACCATGTACATGGTTGGCGAGAGTCTCAACCACTGTGCCACCGACGCACAAAGTCTTCAGTGCAAACTGCAACATGTATTATCACTCTTAATGTTCCTTTGGCTTCCGAGTAGAACATAGGGCTTAAACAATATATCTCCACTTTGTCTTATATTTTGCTGTCCGCTTTAGCTGGCTACATAATTGCCCATAATCTCTCATCTTCCCTTGCACGATCTCCTTCATTTAACACTCAAACTCACTCCCTACTCGTCATTTCCTATTCGGGTTCCACTACAGTGATGTCCTAGCGCACGATGTCATTCGACCGTCTCCTCAGCATGTGTCTGATGCATCTCCATTTCCTCTTACACATTTGTTGAGCGACAGGTTCTTGGTTGGTTTGTTTCCACAGTTTCTTGTTGTTAATTCTTCCTGATTGGCCATCTGATCTTCAGTATAGAGTCAAGGAAGGCAGCAGTTAATAAAAGTCTGCAGTAGCCAGCTGGAAATGCTTCTGGTGAAGCGAGCGCCAAGTTCCTAATCCACATAGAAGAACTGACTTAACTGCCAATTAAACTACTACTTGTTCTTCAATAAAGTCAACCACAAAGAATCGGTTTCTGTTTCATTCATTAAAAGGAACATATTCTTTCAACTCCTAAATGCTGGATTTGTGGAGAATTGATCTATTCCAATACTTCGTCGTGGGACGATATTAATTGGAGAACCATTGACAACCAAGTAAGGATATTTTTATTCTAATCCAATGACACAATGGTAGTAGCATGTTCACTGCTTATCCTGATGACTATCCGTTTGATTTTTAGTGAGGGCATGTGTTTGCGTGTGTACTGCTGGAGAGTTAATCACAGTGTTCCCTAGTTTTTAGTGATTCTACACACGATGTCAGTTCTTCACATAATCTACACTGCTAGGTCTTTCAGTGGAACCTGAACGGGAAACGACGATTCGACTGCCTAAAGGTGACATGGAAGAGAGTGTGTGATGAGGAAATGAAAGTCTATTGGCAAATGTGGAGCCATCTAAAGAGGACTGCACAGAATAGGATGAAGCGGAGACGTGCTTTCTGAAGCCCCCTGTTCCACTCGGAACTCAAGGGAATAATAATAATACATAACTAAATAAACGAAAAATATTTAAAAGTGACTTTACCTTTTCTGTTGACTAAATTCTGAATTGACAGATGCAACATTTTGGAAGCTGAAGTAAAGAGAAAAAGAAATCAAAAGACAAAGGAAAAATACAAAATGTCATTGACACAAAAAAGAAAATGCAAGAAGACGGAATACAATAGAATCACTGGAATAAATCATAACTGGTATAAAAAACGGAAATTACACATCTCAGAATAATTGAGATTTAAAACTCAAATGAATGATATTGATGTAAGCTGTATTCTCTCGCAGCTGAATGGTTTATTTTTCTGGGCTCTCATTATCTTTCAAGACCTCAGTTCAGACTTCAATAATAAGCGGGGTTATTTGAATTCTCCACGAACGATATAATCCTTTTGTCTTGAAAACCCATTATTTTATTTTATTCGTTTGTGTCCAAAGTGAAACATGGGCATTTAAGCAAGAGCTTTGCAATTTCAGTAGCAGTGGTGGTTTTTACAGGGTGGTGGGTTGCTAGCCTCCCTCTTTGTCAGACTTACAACCGGCTAAGAGAAGTAAAGGTGTGCATCGGCTGGGAATCGAACCGCTGATCACGTCTATGGCTGAGGAGGATCGTATCGCTGAACCAGCACTGATTGTGACTGTTCGTTGTTAATTAACCATTCAGTTGAGAGAACACAACTACACCAATACTTCGTTTATGTGGACAGAGTAACAATAATAAGTATACAGACTAAATGAGAATTGCACATTAACATGTCCAACTGATATCTGACTAATATTCTTTCTTCTGATAGCTAAGAGATGTATGTCACTACAGTCACCATCACTGTGGAATGTATTAAGCCGTCCATATAATGTATGTCTCTACAATTCATGAGAAAGGTAACAGACAAAAGTAAACTTTGCTCATTGATTACATGTATGCACTAAATAAATATGATTCGGTGGTTTAACGGTTGAATGCTCGTGGGGCTCACGAGAGGTCCGAGTTCAATTCTGGCCAATACACACGCACATACACATACTCACAAACCTCACCTAGCTTAGTAAGCCAGAAAAAGGACAGGGAAAGTTAACAGACAAGATCACCGCTAGCATAAAAGCGTGAAGCCTTTTGTTCGATTTAGAAGGGAAAAAGAAATAAAGAGAAATGTATTAAGTGTAACAGGTGGTATGAACACTCATAAAACTGATTACACAAACTAAGGGAATCAAACAATTATAGTTCTATGCTTACCAGTCATAAACTTTATTTTGTAAGCCTTTACTAAATGCCAATAGAAAATTACGTCCATCCGAATTGAAAACTTCCAGTGCAATTGGATGAAGTAAATAACGCCGTTTTTGTACACCTTGAATATTTTCATAAGGAAATTTAAAATATCTAAAAATGGAAATAGAAAAATAACTCATTATATATATATATATATATATATATATATGCATCATAAAAGGTGCGCCAGCAGTTCGATGGTCAAATGGTCGCCAGTCAAGAGAGAGGTTCGAGTTCTATTCCCACTCTATGACGCACTTTTGAATCTCACCTAGACAGTTATGAGCCCGGAATAAAAAGGAGGTTGGGGATATGAGGTCAGAAATCCCACCCCGTGAGAAGACAACTACGCGTACAGAAATTTCAAAGCTTATAGCTTTAAGCCCAATGCTGCACTCGGAACGTAAGAAATGAAGAAAGGCTGGGGGAAGGAGTAAAACTCACTCTCTGCATCTGTACAAATTGTAACCTTTTCCATTTTACTTGTTCTCCTTTACTACTCCCTTTCATTCTTTACCAGTATTGCTTAAAAATACTACCATTTTATACTTCGAAGAGCTCTGAAAGCTGTCTTTCAGTAGGCTAAGTGGTGTGTCTTTAAGTCAACTCATTGATCTCGTAGTTTATAGACATCTGAACTCTTGCTAGTCATTTTACCGGAGTGTCAGCACCTTCAATACTGTGTGTCTCCTAAGTGTGGGCGGATTAGCTCTGAAATGTTTTAAAAATTATGACCGTCAGATTCCGTAAATCCTTGTTTATATGGTCTTTGAAAGTATACAAATGCGACCGAACCACTGGACCCAATCTTGGATATGATGTGTTCACCATACCGTGTTGTTGCTAAATTGGCTCACAGACATCCTCCTATCTACTAGAAACGATTTAATCATCATAGTGTAACAGCTTCATTTGAATTTCTTTACTTCTTGTCATGTCGACGTATCCGTGAAAAGAATGATATCTCTGAATGCTACTTCTCCCTTTATTATTGCTTAGATTCAAAACCAAAGATCCTATAATCCTATACTTCTTAATGAGAATGACTGAAGGCGAATATATAATATAAGGACAATAAGTTGTGAACTTTGACGAGTTAGTTTAAAGGTATTTGATTTGTTTCAAGTTTGATCACGGATTGACATCAGTTAGCGAACTACTTAAAAACCATGGATTAGTGGACAGCTGTTTCATCCTAGTTTGGGACTATTAAGCAGTAGCAGTAGCCAGAATCCCACCAAGTATCGAATATGGAGCCTACAAACTAACTCTTCAAAGTTCATCAGATGCTCACGAGTGTCTCACTACAGAAAAGGTTGCTTGAAGTCCTAGCGCGATGTTGTAACCACTAGGACCCACTAGGTCGGGTGTGAGGACAAATACTTGCCCATAAACATTAGCTGGCGGTTGAGCTATAATGGCAAATAAACAGAATTTACGGTAAATGAATTTCGGCCCAAGTAGGTCAATAGTTAATGAGCTTGGCTTCCTAATCTAGATGACGTATCGAGCACAAACTATTGCTCAAAGTCAACTTGATATGATTATGAGCAGTAGTTTGTGTTCAAAACATCATCATTTAATATTACTGTGTAACACCGTGTGACTTATCAAAATAAAATCTTATACATAATGGAGTTATACTCTACCACAGTGCCCAAGTTTTATACTTATATTCCTAATCTAAAGTTCCGGCGTTCGACCACCGAATCAGACTCGTAGGTGCGCGCTGATGAGGAGTCCCAAGTTGGGGCGAGATAGCTGTCAAGTACTGCCGTGGTTACCAATGGTTCTCTGATTGATATTAATCCGTGGTCAAACCTGAAATACATTGTGAAACTGGACATAGGACAAATATATACATACATACACAGATATGCATGCATGAACTTACTGTTTTCCAGCTATCTGACTAACAGCTCCTGAACTCCATAAATCACTTGAACTCATATTTATTCGATGGAATGATGAGCGAGTTATTGAATTATTATTACTATTATTATTTGATGCCCCGATTATTGTAGATGGTACAATTGGTTCATGTATAATATGTGATGGTAATGAGTCTATAGCAACAATTTCACGCGTATTTATCAGTGTATAACCATCAATGACATAGAAGTGTGTACGACCAAATAGTAATAAACCTTCGTAAATATCTAAACCAAGAATACGTGCACAACGATACATTACGTGCAGTCTTTCACCGGGTTCTAATAATCTTAGTATAGCTTCATGACCGGCTAGTTTATCTTCAGTCATACTGATAAAATTATTCACAGGATTTGGTAATTCTTTTACTGCCGACTGGATAGGATTACTACTATTGTTAGGTATATTTGTATTGATTGCGTTGTCTTTATTCATGTGTGTTTGCTTGTTACTATTGTTGCCAGTCTGGTTATTATTATTAGTAGTAGTAGTAGTATACGGTGGACTGATATCTGGATGATCTAATGATTGTTTTACTGGATCAAGATCACCGTCAACATCACCAGTATCGACATCAGCGTCATCGTGCATACCACCACCATCACCGGTAACGACAACAACATCATCGTATGGAATTAATTCTTCGGGTTCCTCTGAAACTGATCGTGAATTAGCTGGAATCAATTCATCAATAACATCATTCTCTTTTTTGTGTTGATTGTTGTTGCGTTCAACGCAAACAGAATTACGTGTGGAGCGAATTAAAGAAGCTGTCTTTGATACTTGAAAAAGAAGAGAAAGAGAGAGAAAGAAATAGTTAAGAGAAAAAAGGTAAAATAAGACACGAAGAATGAGGTCAATCAACACACCCTGTCTCTCTCTCTCTCAATAAGCACTTACTTACCATGATAATATTTCATTAAGCTTTTGTCACGCACTTACATTTAGCCTAAAATACAACCATGTGATGTGGCATGAATCCAATGAAGTCAGTAACTGTTTGGTTTGATTATTTTAGAAGAAGGTATCCATTGCCTGTGACTGAGCTCCACGAGACACCAAGATGCAATGCTTCAAAGACTATCGGTGATATGGCTCAAAATTGTTCACTATGTTGAAGATCCATTCACTTCTCAAGATCTCTGAGATTCATTTAGATCCTCATTATCCCCCATCCACACCAACGTTTACATTTCCATCACTATAGTTCGACTGTATTTCCGTAATCGAATTTATGTATGCCTCTACAAAGTGTATCAACTTGAATTACTGAGTGTCTATGCAATGTTCTATTTTAGAAGTTTATTGATGTAAGAGATGATGATTGGAAAATAAATGAAAAGTAATTTCGCACGAAGATTTGAAAATAAGATCTCCAAGTAACTATCCCAGTGGTCAACGCGTTCAACTATGAGATCTAGACGCCGATCAAATTATCATTAATTGGCTATGTCTACTTATCACGTTCACGACTTTTAATTTTATAAAACTCAAAATATATATACTCATTCTTGCCTCCTCTTTCCTACCAAAAACAAAAATCGGCAAACAGAAATGACAGGTATACCCTTCTCGTGGTGAACACTGAAAACCTCGCTCCAGCTATGGTAATGTATCAGTATGAACAGCTTTTACAAAGAAATAAGATCAACCATAATGATCTAATATGTGCTATTTATACAAAATATAATGACTTATTTATCAATCTTTCATTACTTTTCTCTCAATTTAACACTCTAACGAAATAAGACAATTTGAAGGTGTTAGTTCCAATCCTCGCATAGTCTATCTCCATATCCTGATTTCAATCATCGCATAAAAACCAGTCTGATGAATTGAATTGACTACTAAAAGTCTTAAACAATTTTAATGACTAATTCAGTGCTATATTTCTCATGCTATACTGTGTTGCTCATTGTTTTGCTTTGTCATATGCTTTCAGTCTCACATCCATTAGGCCAGTCCCCAAGATCTAAATATTTAGGAAGTGGGACTAAAGAAAACTGTGAAAAAAGAACACTTAACTACAAACGATATTGCTTTAAAAATTAACTAAACATAAAAACCAATATGGATGGATATCCCTTATTAAACATACATTCGATGTCTTCTGGAACTAATGGCCGACTCAATACAGTGAATTCACTATCCCCCAGTACTGTATTCTTACACTCTTGTAAAGCTTCATTGTCTACACTCTTTCCTTGTTGATCTACTGCAGATCCTCTTAACTTTGGTCCATAAAAGCATGTCTCATCAGTATGATCTGTTGTATCAATGCCTCCTCCTGATACTGTTGCTGTTGCTTCGTCATTTTCTGCTTCCTCCTCTTCAACCTCGACTTCTTTCTCTTCTTGTAAACTTTTTTCAATATCTTCTAATTTCATTGATTTTGTGAACGGTATCCATGGTGCTAAAGGACCATAATCTTCATGCAGTAAACTTTTGGACTTATAATTGAGGAAATATAATTTACTATCTCGACTACGAGGTTTCTTCGATTTTGTTAGTGTTAATGTATACGGATAATAGTGCTGTAAAAGAAGAAGAAAAAGTAAAGATTGGAAATACTTAGTAAACAAATATTTATTGGTTTGCAGGTATTTGATCTGACTGGTTACAAAATTTCATCATGAGCTGACATCGGTCATAGAACCATTGAAGAACAAGCCGGGAGTACTGGACAGCTGATTCGTCCTAACTTAGAACTCTTCAACAGTACGCACCCACCACATGAGTTCAAAGCCATCACTTTCCCGTTACAAGGCAAGCTTGTAGACCATTCAGCCACTGGGGACAGATTCAATGGCCCATGAATTCCAACTTCTACAAACTCATGATATGGCGCGACCAACAGCCAATGTCATTCGCGGCGAGTATTTGTCGTCACACCCGACAACAACAGCAACATCATTGTTAGATGGTAATGTCTTTGACTGGAACACTTTGTGGCATGATTTCGAGTGTGTAAGTGGATATATCAATTCTTTTATGGTTATAAGTACACCTTGCTACAGAGTATAAACAAGCGCAAAACCTAAACACAAGATATACGATATCATAATACTCGTTAAAACTGAGTATTTGATTAAGTATTCAAATAAAAATAATTATTTGATTTAAAATTAAATTAAATTAAAAATAATAATTATCTAATTAGTAGGCTTACACAGAATACTATAATTTTCTTTTCTATGAAAACACAATTCTACTTGAATGTATGTGTAAAAACTTGAGCGATATGGTGGTACGTATGTTTATTAGATAAATATAAGGAAACATTCCATTTTAGATTAATTGGCATTTCCTGTTGATTGGTTGCGTTAGACCCAAATGCTGCATCTCTGTTAATATGCCGGCTCCTAGCACGGATGCTTAGATGATGTCTGGAGATTCAAGTACAGTAACCTAATCCATAGTGTTTCGATAAGTGCTCAGTTAGAGTTTCACCGGGGATTACCATCACTCAGCAATGAGTGTGTGCAGCTACATCCACTTGAATAGTCTCAAACAGGACGAAAAGCACATCCTGGATTACATTCTTAGTTTACATCAGCCGATATATATATATATATATATATATATATATATAAGAACACTTTATATCCCTATTCCATTGTTCTTCTGCTCTCTCTCTCTCTCCTACTCTTTGTTTCATTGACAAATCTGAATTCCAAACATTTTAGATTTGACCACCTTTCTACATAAGTCTACTTTTTTCATTTCCTTCACGTACCCAGTGGAACACAGGGCTTCAAGCTAGCGACTTGAAGTTTCTGTAGCAGTGTTTAATTTTACAGGATAGGCTTGCTAGCGTCATGATCAACCTTTCGTCTTTACCAGCATTATTTCTGGCTTAGCGAGGTAAAAGAGTGAGTCAGCCGGGGATCGAACCCCGGACCATGTGCATAGTCGGCGAGCGTCCTAACCGCTGTGCCACTGACGCACAACATCAGTTTACTACTGCTAGTTATTCAGCACTGTTTACGTCATACCCTTCAAATTCATTATGATGCTCACACAGTCCTTTCTCATCGTTAATGCAACTACCATCATGTCTACACCGCACCAGTATTATCTCATCATGATAATTTTTACTTGTCATCCTTTGAACTTACATCCAGTCCATGCCAGTTGTCAGTGAAATTCATCTTATCTCCCACACAACTGACTATAATTCACCCCTTAAGAGACACCTTGAGATTTTGTGAATGATAAATACACAGATAGGTTATTCATCTTTTACTGACTATTATACTCAACATAGATTTGAATGACAAGAAAAAAATTACTGACTACTATGTCATCTAAGACGTCTATTATACATTTCTTCTACTTTCTTCTCTTTCTTTGTGTGCTACATGGAGGGTGGCAACTTGAACTACCGCACATATGTGCAAAGTTCTATGTCGAAAACAGACAGACAGACATCTACGACGTCAACCATAAATCTGGTACTGATATAATTTTAATCTGTGTTTATTGGTTCTTATAATCTGCTAAAATTCACGGATTACTAATTGTACAGTTAACTGAAGGACTTACTGAAGACTATTCTCCTTTCTAATTAATCTTATTATTAATACATGTGTAAAACTTCGGCACTGAGGTACTGTGTAACTCTACAGAGCAACATTAGTTGATATGATTGATTATCAACAATAAATTGTGTTTGTAACGTCATAATTCAGTAAACAATACTGCTTCACTGTGTGATACATCATATGTATAAATCTAATAAACAAATTAATAATGAACTGTTCTCATTCTGTAGATTTTCCGGATGACACTTTCAAACACAATTTTATTGACTATAATATTCATTATGTCAAAAGTGTATTCCACAACTACGCTACATGATTTTCTTCTCTTTTCTTTACGGTGGGAATAGAAAGATATCTGGAACATATATTAAAACTAATCGACAGTACTTATTCCTAGTTGATTCGATGGGCAAAGCATTTGCTGTCAGTCACTAACTCCATATGTGTGCGACTCCCTCTCTCTATATTCTGTTATATTCGATTTGACGACAAGTTTTGATTGTTTGCAATTGATAGTGTTCTCTGAGCTCCTTGGTTTAATTGCGGAGCTTTCATCGTCTTTCTGGACGACATCTTCAGCGCAGTATTTAGGATAAAGTGAAATGATTTAAATTTCTTCATGAGTCTCCCGGCAACCATCTTTAGATATGTATTGGCCGTTTTCTATTGATTGGGATTTTAAACTTCCTGATCACCTGATTTACTTTTTTATTAGTTGATATATTTCATCTCTATTAACGTGTTTATTAATTGCGTCTTCATTTGAGTACCAGGCTTCTAGGAATTCCCTGGCACATTTGGTGTTTCCTCTGTTTAAGATTTTGACATTATCCCAATCAAATTGATGTCCATAATCGTATGTACGCATTGGTACTAAAGAATTTATATCACGTCTTTTCACAGCTGATTTGTGTTCCTGGATTCTTATTCGAAGGGGACGCCCACTTTGGCCGATGCAATGTTTGTTACAGTTCATACAATTTATTTTGTAAATGGTGTTAATTTAATTAACAATACATATCTAAAGATGGTTACCGGGAGACTCATGAAGAAATTTAAATCATTTCACTTTATCCTAAATACTGCGCTGAAGATGTCGTCCAGAAAGACGATGAAAGCTCCGCAATTAAACCAAGGAGCTCAGAGAACACTATCAATTCCAAATCATCCACCTGAGTTACAAATCTTTTCTATTATTTCAAGTTTTGATTATGTTGGATGAAAATTCATGGTCTCTGCTGAAATGTTAACAGAGGTGGCTCTCATGGCCAGTGGTCTAGAGAATTACACTTTGGCATTTGAAACGATGGGTGCAGAATTTGAGTCTCGAGTAGAATACCATCCAATAACTTACTGGTGAAGCAGGTATACCTTCAGCTAATATGACCCAGATTATAAGATTTGTGAGGATTCTAGATTAATTTCAGTTGTTAGATTTTTCATTCGGTGTTCCCTTGTTTTCACTGATGTCTTTTACTGATGTTAACTCGTAACGAAAATCTAACAACTGAAAACTGCTTCACTTCAGAAGAGTTAAATTACTCACGTGTTAGGTATTAGGGATTTGAGTGTGATATGTATCCATATATATATCCATACAGACTTCTAAAGACAGCTGAGGCTTTGGCAATTCATGACTTTAAGCCAGACCTTTGTGTACAAAAGAAGTATGTACAATCCCTACTGCTGCCTTGGCCGTAGAGGGATAGACATTTATTTATTTTATTATTCTATGTACTTTTCCCTTATTACTTCGATTATTATTATTATTATCATTATTATTATTATTACGACTCTCATTCTGAATCTTTTCCACTTGATCTACTTGACATTTTAAACCAAAAATTATTCATGTGTATATTTTTTATCTTTTTTTTTAAAATATTAATTTCTATTTTATAAATTTTCACCCCATTTTACGAAACTTTTTACTTTCGTCTTTAAATCTAAAATTTATATGCGTCCCCCAAAAATCTATACACCTGATGTTTTATTTTATATATGACATTATTTTTTTTCCCATTTGATTAAAACTATAAACCAAATCAAAAATTTTTAAATTTTTTTTCATACTTTTTTTTTTTCATGTTTTTACACTTTTGACCTAATCCCCTCACCGGATATATTTTTTTTAAAAAACCATATTATACGATTGTACAGTTTTAAAAAAAATTTGTTAAAAAGATTCTCTTCTGAAAATTGTGTTCTTAATCCATATAATATGTGTGTTTGTTTGACAGTCTGATATATTTTGCTATGTATATATGGATCGATATTCCATTATAATTAGCCAATCATGTTAAGACTGTCTATTGATTTGTTCATTTTGAATATTCGCTCACATACTTGTTCGGACATTCACATATTTTTGCTCTCACACTCTTGTGTGACATTGATTCTCCTTGTGTTTGGAAAATAGAAGTATTCATCGCAAACTTAGTGGTCTTCTGATTTCCATCTTTCTTGCGTCAGGACTAATAAATTCTCGACCAGTACATAACAGAGTGGAATTCAACGGTGATTTTGTCGTGAGCTGACACTAGTTAGAGAACAGAGATATATATAGATATATATATATATATATATATATATATATATATATATAAAGAAATTACAGGAAAAAATACACAAACAAATAGTTACTTACATTAGCCTCCGGTGAACGAATTAATAAACGCATTAAATAATTCGGTAAATGTGGATAACGTAAATAAAACGAGTTATTTAAGATCATACGTTTTCGCATTCTTAATGGACCTTCAGTTGGATCAAGTTCCCATTTAGCTAGTAGATCCGGTGTAATTCTACCCCATAAACCACGTTCCCTTGTTAATTCATTCTCTATCTTCTCCCATTCACTTTCAAGATGACGTTGGTTAAAAGATAAATTCTAAAATTGGGGAGAAAAAACAACAAAAACTTGATAATCTACAACTTATACACACACAAAATAAAATCAGCTTTTTCTGGAAAAAAAAAAACAAAATTGCTACATATTATCATTAAGTTTTCATTTCACTGAATAAAACAGTTGTTAATTGTAATAGAGTGGACACATTAATTTACTGGATGAATTCACATACATACATACAGAACAACAAATAAACCTTGTTACTACAGGCCGAGACAAAATATAAAGTGAAAGTAAACAATAACAAAGGATTAAAACAATAAAAATTTGTTTTTCAAAACAAGGTTTCATAAAGTTATTACAACTTTCAAAATTATGATACAAATGAAACTTAATTTCGATTGTTAGACTGTGTGTCACCAACTGATATCAGTTAGAGAGATCATTGGAAACCAGGAAGCACCGAACAGATAAGGACAGAGCTATGCTCTATGAGGAGATGACAAAGTTAGGATGAACGGATCACTGAATTCCGGCCAAAGAGGCTGAACCGTCAGAGAGCTTGGTCTCGTAACGTAAAAGAACTAGGTGGGGCCATAGGGTTGTACTGCTGAAGAGTTTGAAAATAGGATGAACAAACTTGTCCATTGCATCCTGGATATTGATGACCTCCCTAACTGATGCTGGTGCATGACGGAATCTAACAAGTGAAATTAAATTAATCTAAATTCCTACAGATCCTATAATCTAAATAAAAGGTAAGTCTGTAGTATTTGCAGCAGGATTCGAAACCGGGACCTACAGGCTTCACAATTGTGAGCCACGTCTGCACTTACAGACAATATTCTGCAGTATATGCCTTCCTGTGCTTACTATGGAGTCACTGATATTCTATCTGAATTTTATCAACCACCTGATATATTCCTTCTTCACTCTGTTGTACATGCTACTTATATGCACCGTTATGAGTAGATTTCAACAAAATAGCATTATTATACGAGCACAGGTGTAGCCAGATTGGAAGCTGGTGTCTTTTGACTCGCTGTGATTCCAGGATGATTCAAGTAGGATACCTCATACTAAAATGCACATGAAGAAAAGATAGTAGATAAAAAATACATTTTTTTAGATTGAGGTTTAGAATGCTCACTACTTACCGAACTAGAAAACAGAGAGAACGAATTATTGCTCTTAGGATTTTTTTCTGGCTCCCTAAATAATATTGATTTGCGGTGGAAAAGAGCACTGAAACAGTATTTAAAATAGGAGTGGAAAAAATCGTGTTTATTTCCTCCTGATTATCTGGCATAAGAAATCCCATCCAAGCGGGAGTATTATGCTTTCCTCATCGATAATAAACTAGAATGAGTGATTGTCACCTAGTTATCAGTTCAGTCAGACGGTCAATCAATTAATCGATTGATTAATTAATTAGTGAAAGGATCAAAAATACCTCAGAGTATTTCAATTAATCTTTTTTTTCGAAGGAGGTGGTGGGCAAGAGATGAACAATAACTCTCTTGTTTATTAATTTTTACTAAAGTTCTTGTCAAACGGCCAATACACTCCACTAAATGACATTAGTTACTAATTGACATAAGCTAGATTTCACGGGTCATTGGATTCCAAAACAGTCACTGTGTAACCAACGGTTTCACGACATAAGCTGATGATCCTGGGGTTCGATTACTGGTGGAGCGGTAGATGTGCACAGTTGAAAACTACCAAAGAGGAAAACAACTACTGTCGAACTCTCACGGTGATTGTTTTCAATGACTCTCTAACTGATATCTGTCTGTCTGTCTGGATTCAACATAGAACTTGCCACCGAAGTGCACCAGTTCAACTTGCCACGTCCCAAATAGCATACAGAGGTGGACAAGAAGATGAGTGAAAAGAATCAATACAGTCTAACAAGTATAAGAGTGAAACAGAATGGGTAATGGTAGAAAGGAATATGAAAGATCACAGAGACTGAATACATCTGGGCTGGCCATTGACAACGATTTTGAGCCATGTCACCTATTGTCACCAACCATTGATTCCTAGAGTCCCGAGGCCTCCAACCCGGAAGTCTGCATCTCCCTACCTGACCGACTCAGTTTAACTGTCAAGGATTTCATGGATTGATGAGGCCATGTTTCTGTTTGGCCACCATTTACTCTTTTCCAACCTGCACCTATATCAGCTAGTAATGCCCGTCGGGGGAGGCGGTGGTTAGGCATGCGCACCACCTGACCTAGCCATCTCAATCCATGTAACTTTATAGCCTCGTCGATTGATTTTCCCTCTTTGTCCAACACTCTACGCCTAACGTCAACATTACTTACCTTGTGAAACCACCTAACGTGAGACAGAGATCGCAGACATCTATGATCGAAAGCAGTCAACCTTTTCATGTCTTCAACGCGTATTGGCCATGTTTCAGAGCCATAGAGAAGGACGGAGCGAACTGATGAGCAGTACACACGTCCCTTGGTTGATAACCGGATGTCACGCCTACGCCAGAGATGGTATAAGACAGCGAAAGCAGCTCGAGCTTTTAGGATCCGTGCTGATATTTCATCGCCAATCAGTCCGTTGGTGCCAACTGATCTGTTCGTAACGAAATCTAGATCGATATTAAAGTTATCCATCTGACTGTTAGCGATCGTTAATACTTAACTAATTTTTATTCTTGACATAAACGCCTTACACACGTTCACTCAAATTCTCAAAAAGAAAAAAAAACTATAATTGAGGCGATGACTAATCAAGGTTTTCCATTGTAAAGTACACATTAAATAGAATTATTAAATTTCAATGTGAATTAAACAAGTAGGACAGACTTGAATAATATTCTGTGTGAACTATCCTGAAATGCATCCTAATCGATGTGGGAAATCTATCTGCATCTTCATCTCTACCTATATCAATGATATGTAACAATATCATATTAGATTCCTATACAATTCTTCTTGCTGTTTTGCTCTGTTTTGAGCAGATGAATTTATTTGGCAAGATGAGGAAGCCACAAACTATTTTAACAGTAATGTGAGAATGTGTGATGAGTAGATTGGGAGATAGATAGATAGACAAACAGACAGACAAGGAGACGGGTGATGCGAATTTAGCTGTCACTAGTGTGGGTAAAATATGATCATCAAGGTTATTTTCATTGGATTACATAATAAATGCGAAAGAACATTGACAGCTTGTTATGCAGAGAACAAACAACACGACGTGTACGGATGCATTTGAGGATGCTGGAATATCGAGTGTTGGTTTGCAGGGATTTGATTGGTTACATGATTGATCACAAGCTGACAAAAGATATTGGAATAAACAATAAATGTAATCAACACACACACGTACACTCAAACACAGATAAAACAAAAACATAGAAACCTAATCTAGAACAGAAAGAAAGACTCAGTAATTATGAAATACACATGACTGGGTGTTTTCATCAATTATAGTTGCCAGGAAAATGCAAAATTTTTCGATTGGTGTTTTTTGAAAAAATCATTAACTCGTCTTTCAAGTTTGACCACGGATTCCAATGAGTTAGAGAACTACTGAAAGACAAGAAGTACTGGGCGGACGTTTCATATAAATATGGAACTCATCGGTGGTAGGCACCCACCAAACGGGTTCGGAAATAGAACCTTCCGGTTACAAGTCGAGCTCGTAGACCATTCACACACTGGTCTGACTCTCTGCAGGACGGAGTTTCCTGGAGTTATAGTGAGAAGTCGTGACTAGTGGGATCCACCCGGTCAGGAGTGAGGACAAAAACTGGCCGCAGACGACACTGGTCGGTAAAATCACGAATTGGTAGAAAACAGAATTCATGGGTTGGCCATTGAGTCGCGTCTCAGTGGATGAATTAGTCTACGAGCTTGACTTGTAACCGAAAAGTCATAGTTCTAAACCCCTGTGATGAGTGGGTACTGCTAATGAGTCGCATGCTAAAACGGAGCATTCGTTCAGTATTCCTTGGTTTTTGGTAGTTCTCTACATTAATACAATCCACAGTCAAACTTAAAAAACAAATATAATTTCTAAAAATTAATTCTTTAAATAAATGTGAATGCTTATACATATTCGATAATAATATCTAGTCCGGAGCAGCTTTTTTCATTATATATCAGCTGGCAATAGGTAAAGTTAGGGATAAAAAGTACAGTGAACAGACGATTTGTTCTTAATTTATAACTTCAGTTAAGTCGTAATCCACAAAGCTTAGCAGAGTCTAAATCAAAATACAAATACAAAGTCGTATGGAGCCATAGGTATTCTCAGTGATAAAAAAAAAGAGAAAACTGCCTACTGCTTCTTGGTTTTAAAGCTACTTTTATTTATAGAAAGGTATTGAAATTAATTCAGGCTTACTTGAAATCTAATACAGACACTATATATATATATATATATATATATATATATATATATATATATATATAAGCCGACCCCAGGTGACTTTTTCTGTACATTAACCAAATGTAGATGACCAGAATAACTTTGAAAATTTTAGTGACAGGAAGTTAAAGAGATCAAAATTAGCCCGTGCACACATACGCCCAGTAGCGGTGATTCAACTTGGTTTGAAAAAGAATAACACTATAAGATCAGAAAAACTCTAGTCACTTTATGTTATTCAGTTGAAAGATGACTAGCAGTGAAACCCGAATCGCGCACTCATCGCATTCGGCGCTCACCAACTTCGAAAAACCTGCAAAAGAAACAGTAAATAATGGTTTTCTCCAACTCAGAACATAGTCTTCTTTCAAAATGCCAAGTCCCTTCAACCTAACTGTACATATCTATTAATTAAACCATGTGTTTCTTCACGCAGTTAGCTCGGCATGAATTATATTTCACAGCATGCTTTTTTCATTACAATTAGATACAGGAATGCATGTTTCTTTTTTCACCATTGCTATTTGATTTTACAAAAAACAGATGGAATGTTTTTACTCTTCTAACTGATTACCAAGATGACGGTATACTATTGGTTTACAGTTACTCAACTTTCAACCCGTTATGGTCATTGGTTCGGATTTTATTTCACCTAGCAATTTAGTATAACGAGTGCTGAAACAAAAAGACACAAAATAATCGCACTAATGATACATGACAACATAATTGATTATGGAATTAAATTTCTTGTTCTATGAATGACAGAATTAACGCCTGATGAAATCAATTCTATGTCCGATGGATATTCTGATCGTGAATTTTAGTGATGCAACGACCTTACAGCAAAAATAAACATTGAGAATTTGGAATAATCGATGTGCACGTTTTACTCTTTTCACTTCGTCAGCTGCTTGGGTTTGTATGTTAGCAGGACTGACTTAACTGATAGGATAAGGCATATTTTAGGCTATTTATTTAACCTCTTGAATAAACCAGTCCAAAGCCTAGTGCACTAAATATCTTGTATTTGAATGACTTGGCTTGACATGGCTCACATCAACATCAGCCCTATTACAGTCAATTTTCTAAACATTCTTTTACTAACTGATAAAGATTTTTTAGATTAATCGTTTCTTATGCTGAAAGATACCATTATAGATCTGATCACGAGCTAACAACAGTTGGAGGACCATTGGAAAACCAGAGAATATTGGACAGCTGTTCCGTGCTAGTTTGAGACACTTTGGCAGTAGGCACCCACCAGAAATGATCAAACCTAGGACCTTTTTCGGTTATAAGGTCCACTCATAGACCATTCAATCACTGGGACCCAATGCAATTCAATGGCCAGTGAATTCCCACTTCTGCTAGGTGATGTTAACAGCGAGTACCTGTTCTCTTACTTGGCTTGGTGGACCCCACTGAATGGTATACGAGAACACCTGTTAACCGGAAGGTCCTAAGTTCGATCCTTGCTGGTCGATGCGTACCGATGAGGAGTCCCAAATTAGGACAGGACAACTGTCCAGTACTACCTGGTCTTTCAATGGTTCTTCAACTACTGTCAGCTTGCGACCATACATGAAACCAATCGAATCGCCGCACACTACTACTTGGGAAAGATACCATTACCAATCTGATAAAAAGTGCACATTGACTTTGCTTTATAACATGCCGACCAACAGAAAATTAAAACGACAGAGTATAGTCATCTGTGCAGTACCAGCTTTCAGAGACTTCACTTACATATATACAGCATACAAATAATAACATAGTTCCAAATATGTGACGAAACAACAAAAACCACACACAATAATTGGAACGTTAATTAATTACTTAGTTAAAACTGATACTTATTATGTGAAAGTTAATGATACTTCCCAGTTTCGAGGCTGAATTTAACGAGAGCAAAACTCGACCTTAGGAGCTTTTGTCTGGATGTCAATTATTTAAGCCGATGACACACATCTCCAGATGACTAGGAGGAAAAAATCTTACGATACACCAACTGTTCAGAGAACCCTTTCCTGTTAATGTTTTACTTTTAAGTATATATTTAACATTAGTTTATTTGACACTTGACAATAAATTACGTCTCCTAGTATTATGACAAAAGTCGATAACACCACCTGGCCTACACACAATGTCAAGTGGATACAATAGGATTATAATCCTCGACCACCAACCTCACTTGGCTATGGAGTTAAACAGAAAAATACCACAAAATGAAATTTCCCTACTCAGTTTGCATTAAACAGACTTATTTGAAACTATCATATATAAGGAGTGTGATCCCATGGAGGTTTTCATCATGAGCTGACATGGTGGGTGCGTACTGGTGAAGAGTCCCAAACTAGGACGAAACAGCTGCCCAGTACTGCCTGCAGGTTTTCCAATGTTTCTCTAACTGATGTCAGTTCATGATGAAATCCTCCATGCAATCAAACAAACATCCCTACAAAACCAATACTTGAAAATATAAGTAGTGTGTTGAAGCCTTAGTAATAAATAAAAGAAATCTTATAAGTAATATTATTTGATATTATGATTGACCTAAATGTGTCAGCGAATAATCGCGAATATGTTAAAATGTAAACTGAGGGATTACAGTATGGAAAAACAGGGAAGGAGGAGATTTTCAGCTTGAACTAGGGTCAACAGCAAAATTAATAAAAAAAATAATAATTTATAAATTACAAGACAACAAAATAATAACCATAAGAAAAACAAATCAAAATCAGTAATAAATTAATTTACCTGATAAAATTGGGTTTTCTGCTGATCCAGTAGTTCACGTATGAAATTCATTTGATTCGGAGCCCATAGTTGTATAGCCTATATCAACAAAAAGAAATTGACTTAGTAAGATAACAAACGCGTTAATATGTGTAAAACTTGGGCGCTGTGGTAGTAAGTAATGCCATATTAATTTGTTTATTAGATATATGACACACTGAAACAGTATTATTTACTGGATGACACAGTTTCGAACAAAATCTATTGTTCATAATCATGCCATCAATTATAATCACACGACTTTGAAACTTGAGTTTTATGGGTTTTTTTGTCTTTTCCTATTTGTCGTCGTAGGGGTAGTAGAATTTTTCAGATATTTTGGTAGAGAGGTGTTGAATCATTCCTATTACATGTATTTGCAGTTGATTCGATAAATAAAGCTTCTGTTATCAATCTCTCCCTCCACCCTGTGACATTAGATTTTAAAAATGTCATCCTATCCCAAACTATTCTATAAAATACGCATTACATTAACCATGATTCAATCTATAAACAAACACAAACAAACTCCGTTGCTAAAAGCATAGGATTTGGGCGCTGTGATTGACTGTTATTCCATAGGATAATTATTTTATTTGATAATAAGCACACAGTGGAACAGTATTACCTATTCACTGATAATGTTTCAAGCACAATTTATTACTAATAATTATATTAAAAGCCAACAAATGGCCGACCGACCGAGTTCCACATAAAATAGAATGGAGGAGTTCGGAATGTCACATTTCATGTAGCAGATAAACGTAGAGAAACGTAGAGAGACAGAAATGGATTCAAAAGTACTATTATTATAAGCAGAATTGTGAAGGATAAAGGAAAGTAACATGAAAAAACACGTTATGGTTAATTTTTATTTTCCTTCACGTTCCTCAGTGGAACATAGGGATTCAAACTAGTGGCTTGAAGTTTCTGTCTGTTTCTCTGTCTGTTTTCGACATGGAACTTTGCACAAATGTGCGGAAGTTCAAGTCGCCACACTCCTTTCTTGTAGCACACAAAGCAAGAGAAGAAAGTAGAAGAAAAGCATAATAGAGACAGTAAAGAGGTGTGAGACAAAGGTGGAGTAATAACGAAGAACAAAACGGTTTTTAATTGGCAATCAGAAGTCACAAGGAGTGGATGCATCTGCGCCAGCCACTGAGAACGATTTTGAGCCATGTCACCAATTGTTTCCAACCATTGAGTTTTACCGTCTCGAGGACCCCAACCTGGAAGTCTACACCTTCCTACGTGGCTCCAACTCACTGTTGTAGATTTCATTGACTGGTGCCATGTTTTTGTTTGACCACCGCTAGCTTTTTTCCAGCCTGACCCTATATCCGCTAACATTGCCCGTCAGTCGAGGAAGGCGATGACTAGGCATACGTAACACATGTCCTAACCATCTCAGTCTTTGTAACTTCACGACTTCGTCGATTGATTTCCCCTGTTTACCTAGAACTCTACGCCTAACCTCCATGTTGCTCACCTTATTATGCCACTTAACACACACAGGACATATAGCGCAGGCACCTATGAGCAAAGACAGCTAATCTTTTCATGTCTTCCACTCTCAATGGCCAGGTCTCACAGCAATAAAGGAGGACGGAACGGACTGATGAGCAGTGTCAAATGTTGTCACTAATAAGTGTCACTTACTTCATGGATCAATTTCATGTCTTGTCTGCAGAAATTCGTATTCTTCTCTTTCATTCTGTTGTCATCACCTGAGTTATAGCTGCAGGTGTCTAAGCACGTCTGTAGTATATACCATATTCACCATAATTGTCTAATCTCTTTTACACACAAAAAAGCTGTTCAGATGAGGAAAGAAATGAGTGTATGCATCTAGGGAAAAGCCTTTGCACTGCACACTCATTTCATAATATCATTATATCACCTTAGTTGTAAACTACACTCTGATTCTCCTTTTGTCGTTTCCAAGATAGTAGTTCATTAGTGTATTACTATATATCTACAGCAGTGAAAATAATTTGTTACCACATTCAATACAAATTTTGTTTTGCAGAGGACTAAGTGACATAGTCAAAATATGGTGGATACTAGAAGATGTGCGTTTTTGCTCAAATCACATAAAAGTGTACAGCCGTTTCAGTTCCGATGGAGTTGGTGGCACAGAAGTTAGGACACTCACCGATGATGCACACAGTCCGGAGTTCGACCCCTACCGAAGCACACCTGATATCTATGGTTGGCCTGCAAAATTTGTGCTACTGATATCACATGCTGAAAATTCCATACATGTACCAAAAATACGTTGTGTATCAAGCTGTAATCAAAAAATGGTTGCTGAACAGCAGTCCAATGTTCCTGTTGTTTTTGAACATTACTCTGGTTGGATGTCACTTAGTGACTAAAATCAATGCTAATTAACATTAGGGAGCGGGGAAGAATGGACAACTATATCACCCTATTACCATTGGAAATTTAATAATGCTACATATGTATCAGAGCAGACAGCATTCTGCATTTCAGCATAACAGAAAACGGCTTTGCGTAGAATGACACACGAAGGTTTCATGTCTAACCCACAAGAGTGACCATATGTAACACTAGTGAAAAATCAGCCAGCTAAGCTACATTAAAACTCAATCATCTGCAAAACACAATAGTCACACAGGAGGACTTCTCACTTACAGATGGGCACGCATTTATTCAATAAATGCAAGATAACCAGGAAAGAAAATTCCAATAGAATAGCTGATATCACTCGACTACCATCAGTTTGTGTCTTATAACACAACAATTATCCAATATGGATGTCAAATGTCACTCATTACTCACTTCCAAAATAACTGATCGAAAACACCACTTAATTGCATTTTCAGTAATTCATCTTGAAACTGGATATTAAGGGGCATTAGAATCAATCATAATCATCCATCTGATAGACCCAATTCCCAATTTGCACAATCTAAAAAGATGAAATTCCAGCACAGTTTCTTTTGGAAACCTGAATTATTCAAATCACAGTATATGGTCTGTTTGATACAACAAACGGCAATCGAGAGAGCAAGCACCAACTCATGGTGCAAACACCACTACTAGTAGGTGTGAATAGTATCATCCTGTGTTATATGGTCACGTATGCTAAAGCTGGTGGATCCAGCTGTGAACGGAAGAAGAACTGTTCAAGTATTCCACAGTATTCAGTACTACTCTAAATAAGCTTAACTGCTGTTTTAAACCAAGTCCAAAATTAAACTGTTCTAAAGCAAAATAAAGGCCTTGAGTAAAAATTTGGAATCAATAGGATGATGTGAATAATACAAAACGATCAGACCATAACAAGAAATACTTACCTCTATAGCATTTTCTTGAATAACATTTAGACTAGAAGTATTTGTTGGACTTAAATAATTGATTTGTGCATTACTGTTGATTATTGACGAAGAAACGCCTAGAACAGATGCAGATGTATATTCGTTCCCCGTGGTTACACTGGATTGTACAGTTGAACCTGAGGTTGAGCCTAATTTAAATACATTTCCTGAGACTTTACTTAATTTCATTGAGATATGATGCTGTAGTCCTGATGGTGCTGATGTAGACACAGGCGCTGATTGTGATGCCGGCATATGTAGGCTACCTTCTTGTTTAAGCATATTTAACACAAAACTTGGAGTACCAGGTATACGCCCCCACATGTTGCTCGAGCTAATACCACCAGACCCTGCAGCTTCACAATCAACATGTTGTGCCCAGGCAATTAGACAAGGACCTTCAAGAATTGTGGCCCAATCAGTAAGAGATGGTACAGATAGACCACTGACTAAAGGAGCTTCTGGAACAAGTTGGGCAAGTACCTATGTATATATGAAACAGAATAGAGAAAAGATAAGAATATAGTAACTTATTATATCTTTCTTACTAATATGGACACGCTATTAATCATGAAGGAAAAGAAGGTGGTAGGGTAATACTCTCCATAACCACGGGTAACAGAGTAGAATGAAAAACCAAATCAAAGCCTACAACGCCTAGGACATCAGTCTATGTAGGCTAAAATATACTATGAATAATACTGGAACAGTATAAGATCAAAAGAATGTTTAATACATTTTACTACATAGTCTATATGCTAATTATCCTCAAGTTGCATTTTACTCATGATTTTAATTTTTTATTTACTGCGTTTTCATCAGTATACAACTTTGCACAGAAGTGCAGTAGTTGAAGTTGCCATACTCAATATACCACACAAAGGAACTATGATGAACGGAAATGCAGAAGAGAAATAATAACTACGTGGAGAATCACGAGGATATAATTGATTTCGCAGGTCACAAAGAGTGTAGCACTAGGAAAGATTTTACGTCATATCATCAACGGTCCCAAGCCATTGGTTTCTAGCCACTTAGTCTACACATCCCAATGTAACACAAACCTGTCGTTCGACTTGGTAAAAAGGGCGTGATGTTGTGCACTGCAATATGAAGTTGGCTTTGTGAAAATAGAGCACAGTGGAGATGCATTGTTGAGACATTACGCTCTACTCGAAACCCATAGGAAAAACAATAATACAGTAATAAATAATCGTGTATTTAAAAAAGACTATTAATAGTGTATTTGCATGTGTAGTGGCTATTAGCAGTCACAGAGTTATCAGGTGAAAAAATTACCTGTGTAACAGTATTAGCAGTGACAAAAAAGCAAGAAGATGAAGGGGAGCGATGGTCATGAAAGCACTATAAGCTTATGGAAATGAGCAGTTGTTACTTATGGGCTACTTATGCCGTTAAAGTTGGCTTCTCAATAGAAAAGAGCCTTACTGCTGTATGACCGAGATGTCTAACAGGCCTGTGAAATACGACCTGTTTCAAATGGTGTCTAAGGCTGTGCCAGTGTGAGAATTTTATCGAAGATTAAACAGCACCAGGGTAGATCTTTCTAAACCGTCCAATCCTCCGTGGCACGAAGGCAGCATAGCTAGCTTCTTTGTCGTCTACGGTAGCTGTCCCCAGACATCCAACACAGTGTAAGCAACTTACAGTATGATGTCAACTGCTTTTAGTCTGTCTGTCTGTCTGGATTCAACATAGAACTTGGCACCGAAGTGCACCAGTTCAACTTGCCACGTTCCAAATAGCACACAGAGGTGAACAAGAAGATGAGTGAAAAGAATCAATACAGTCTGACAAGTATAAGAGTGAAACAGAATGGGTGATGGTGGAAAGGAATATCAAAGATTACAGAGACTGAATACATCTGCGCTGGCCATTGACAACGATTTTGAGCCATGTCACCTATTGTCTCCAGCCATTGATTCCTAGAGTCCCGAGGACCCCAACCCGGGAGTCTGCATCTCCCTACCTGACCGACTCAGTTTAACTGTCAAGGATTTCATGGATTGATGAGGCCATGTTTTTGTTTGGCCACCACTGGCTCTTTTCCAACCTTCACCTATATCAGCTAGTAATGCCCGTCGGGGGAGGCGGTGGTTAGGCATGCGCACCACCTGACCTAGCCATCTCAATCCATGTAACTTTATAGCCTCGTCGATTGATTTTCCCTCTTTGTCCAACACTCTACGCCTAACGTCAACATTACTTACCTTGTGAAACCACCTAACGTGAGACAGAGATCGCAGACATCTATGATCGAAAACAGTCAACCTTTTCATGTCTTCAACGCGTATTGGCCATGTTTCAGAGCCACTATATATATATATATATATATTATATATATAATTATATATATATATATATAGCAGCTTTCGATTGGGACGTTGTTCCAAAAATCTAAACATTTTGTTAGTGATTTTTAAGAATTATAATGAATTATCCATTGAAAATGGTGTAAATAGGTAGAGATTATTGGCTTTCGTACTCGACTTTAGCCATTGCGGCTCATTTTCGGATACTCGAAATATGTGTTCCAGGTAATCGTTATCCATGTATCATGTTAACTGAATTCACGTGACAATGCAATTCATATTTTAAGCGTTCAACTTTCAACGTTCCAACAAACAACCAATAGTGGGTTTTTTCATTTATAAGGGAAACATTTCAACTGATAAGCTCCGAAAACCATTTATTCAGTGTCAATATGTTAGAAAATTAAAATTCCACATTACAATCTTGAGATAATATGTTGCAAAAGAGAAGAATTCATCCTACAGGTTGGTCTACTGAAAACCTACCGTTACAAGGAAGACTACTAATTTCAACAGTTGAGCACTTTCAAGTTGAAAATAAGATTTCATTTGATAATTCTCTCTGAGGATAAGATCAAAAATAAACTTGAAACCTAACAGACATCACTCTTAAATAATGGCTAGACAACCTCGAAAGACCTACCAGAAAACTGTTTCCTTAGCATGGTGATCAAGTTTGCATATCTCAGTTAATCAACGAGCTAAATTGGCTTCACACTTCAGCATGCCAGAAAAGTCTTTTGAATAGCGATTAGACTAAAAGCAGTTACCAGCATAATTGTTTAACCTATGTCAGGGTCTCTACGCAAAGTTGCACATCTGGGGAGCAGGGATGTAATAGCAGTCAGGTGCTTCTCCCCAGATGACCATGTCAGTCGTGCTACCCCCTGACCTCTGGGAAAGAGAGTTAGAAAAGGTTGACCCCCAAGGTTGTACACACTGACTTACCTTCTGGTGGCCTGTAGATGGCAATAAGATCTTAATACGAACACAGCCATAAAAGCCAGTTCAAACAGACAGCAGGTGACGGGCTTCAAGCGACTGTTCCCTGTTTCATGTACCCTAAGAGAAAACCTACTTACCCAATGGAAGTTGGGGAAGTAACAACCATCCAAACATTCCCAAAAGCTCAGAAAGCTCCTACCAAACTCAAAAGTTCATCGATAGGATTATCTGAAAACTAAACCACCTATATACCCACCTATTGAGCTAATATCTTAAGTTCGATTCCTAGTGATCCCAAAAATGTGTACCCACAATGAATTATACATCAGGAGGAGAGTTACCTGGCCTTCTATTCTCTCATAATTCTACGGAAATCTTTTGGAAAGACATTCAAAATTTAATAACTGGACAAAGAACAAAATTAAACACTCACTGATTTTTTAGCCAAATAGCATTTAGACCAAAGTTTCAAGGCAGCTAATACAATTTCATCAGCATAATTGTAATTATCATTTGCATAGTCAGAATTGAATTCACCTTCTGTTGTTGTCATTGACGCTGTTGCCATTGTTTGAATCACTTCACTTCTGTAAATTTCTGTATCCTCTTCATTGTGTTGTCTACTTGACAAATGTGCAGACAACATACTTTTAGGATTATTATTATTTATTAACTCTTCTATAACAGAGTCATCTAGTGTTGTCATCCCTGCAGTTGTTGATGTTGCTGTTCCTCCTTGAAGTATTGACTGTGTTGGTGTTTGTACTTTTCTTACTGTAGTCCCTGTTGGCGTCTTTGTTGTTGACATTGATGATGATGGTAATACACTGGCATCGTCTAATTCTTCGAAACCAAATGTTGTATGATAATAATAATTTACAGAAGATGATTCGTTCAAAGTATTTTCATCCACATTATTATTATTAGTAGGAGTAGCACTGATAGTATTATTACAACTATCATTATCATTATTCATATTCATGTCATATTTTATATTGTTAGTTGAAGCAATTGACGAGATTCTACTCAATGTTGTCGATTTATTCAGTGATGTTGTATTTAATGTATCAGTTATATTACAACTACCAATTTTATTTGTTTCATTTAGTCGAATTAACTGAATTAATAGGTGGACTAGACAGGCTGGGAACTCGGTGTCTTCATTCACTGCATTGAATATCAACGGGATTTGATCATGATGCTGCTGTGGATGACGATTATGATGATGAATAGGAGAAGCCGGTGGGACAGGTGACGACATAAGTTGTTCCATATCAAAACTATCACCGATAACAGCATTTTTGCTAATTAAAGTATTATTTAAACAATTTAACAAAGTCAATGTTTCAATTTGATCTGCTCTTGTCAGAATTGGACGAGATAATTGGTATAGAATAGTACGATTTAAACTACGATATAATGAATGAATTGTAAATTTACTAGTTAGTAAATTATGATGCATAGTATTCTCATTTGAATTGTCCAATTTAGTTATCACAGTAGCAGTAGAAGATTGATCTGGCCAATATGTTATAAGATGAATTAGGAAATTGACTACACGATTCACCTCTTTACTAAAACAACCCTGGGTGAATTACAAAACACAAATAAATTGTCTGATTAAATAAATTTCTTTAGAAAAAACTTTCGTTTAATAACAAGAAAAATCGCTGATGGATTTATGACAACCGATAAAATGTCTTGGCTTCTAAATGGTTCAAGGTGGCAGTGAAGACAGGATTTCAGGTGAACATAAAGAGAGAGAGAACAGAGGTGATGAAGATAAAAAACCAAACAACAACGAATATCAATCACCACGAATGGGAGGAATCTTGAGGAAGTTACTTCTTTCACTTACTTGGGAGCATCATTTCAACTACGGGCAGTAAAGATGAGGGTATTCAAGCTAACCAGGATCAGGAAAGTATGACAGACCTTGATTACTCTAAATACCACTGTGAAGATCTACAGTAGTCAGCACAAGAAAACAACAGCAGACTAATCCACTTGACGTGAGTGGTTCCTAATAACCGTCTTTCGAGTGATGTTAATTACGACCGACAACTTATTTAAGGGCCTAACAATCATGTATGATTCTACTGCGTTTAAGCACAAGATAAAGTCTTAAAAGGAAAAACACTTGTGTCCTAACTATAGAGTCGTTAGTATCAATTTCACGGATTAGCAGAGATCTGTAAGCAAATCAAAGCCTACACACGTAGGGTTTAACAAAATCCATCGACGGAGGAAAAATAACAAGAATGTTTTGTCCATTCCTTTGCATTTCGAGAGGGAACACAGGGCTCCAAGCTTTCCAACTTTCATTAACTGTGTTCTTTCTATACGCAATGTGGTTGCCAACTTCAGTCCCAACCTACCCTCTTTACCAGGCTAACTACTGGATAAGAGGCGTTTGGGAGTCCATCGACTAAGAATTGAACCCGAACCACACGCATGTCTGTCTGGATTCAACATAGAACTTGGCACCGAAGTGCACCAGTTCAACTTGCCACGTTCCAAATAGCACACAGAGGTGAACAAGAAGATGAGTGAAAAGAATCAATACAGTCTGACAAGTATAAGACTGAAACAGAATGGTTGATGGCAGAAAGGAATATCAAAGATTACAGAGACTGAATACATCTGCGCTGGCCATTGACAACGATTTTGAGCCATGTCACCTATTGTCTCCAGCCATTGATTCCTAGAGTCCCGAGGACCCCAACCCGGGAGTCTGCATCTCCCTGCCTGACTCAGTTTAACTGTCAAGGATTTCATGGATTGATGAGGCCATGTTTCTGTTTGGCCACCATTTACTCTTTTCCAACCTGCACCTATATCAGCTAGTAATGCCCGTCGGGGGAGGCGGTGGTTAGGCATGCGCACCACCTGACCTAGCCATCTCAATCCATGTAACTTTATAGCCTCGTCGATTGATTTTCCCTCTTTGTCCAACACTCTACGCCTAACGTCAACATTACTTACCTTGTGAAACCACCTAACGTGAGACAGGGATCGCAGACATCTATGATCGAAAACAGTCAACCTTTTCATGTCTTCAACGCGTATTGGCCATGTTTCAGAGCCATAGACAAGGACGGAGCGAACTGATGAGCAGTACACACGTCCCTTGGTTGATAACCGGATGTCACGCCTACGCCAGAGATGGTGTAAGTCAGCGAAAGCAGCTCGAGCTTTTCGGATCCGTGCTGAGATTTCATCGCCAATCAGTCCGTTGGTGCTAATACAACTTCCCAAATAGGTGAAGTGGTCAACATGTTCTATCACTTCACTCCCTATCACTAAGTTAGGGGTTGACGTCGTCCAGTCCTGTAGCAGCATCTTACATTTTGCAGGGGCGAATCGCATGCCAAACATACGAAGATTGCTGCTCAAGGTGTTCAGAAGACTCTGCATTTTTTCAGAAACCTCCCCTAACAGGACTATGTCATCTGCATATTCTAAGTCCATTAGATTATTCCCTGGTAATAAGTCGATTCCTAAGTCACTACGTTCAGTTAAGGATACTTCCGTTAGCATATCTATGATGAATTTAAACAGAAATGGGGAAAGTGGACATCCCTGTCGGACACCACTGGTTGTTACCAATTCAGATGACAGTTCCCCATAAGCCCTTACACGACTACGTGAGTTTGAATAGAGTGCCTTGATTAGTGCAATGTACTTTCTTGGCACTCCCTTCACAGTCAGACATTGCCATAGTACCTTTCGATCCAAGCGGAGTCGAAGGCCGCCTTCAAGTCAAGAAATATGACAATTGTTGGACGCCGAAAAGTGTGTCTATGTTCTAGAATCTGTCGAAGAGTGAAGATATGATCTATGCACCCTCTACCTGGTCTAAAGCCTGCTTGATTTTCCCTTGTCTGTTCCTCCCGAGTTCTGCTTAGTCTATGCATGATTACTGAGCCTAGGATTTTAGAGACTATGTTCGTTAGGCTGATCCCCCTATGATTATCACACGAGGACTTGTTTCCCTTCTTGAATATCGGTATAATAAATGACTTACCCCAGTCTGATGGAACTTCCTCTGATTCCCAGACTTTGACTAGTACCTCAATTAATCTACAAACTAGTATGTCACCCCCATATTTAAACACCTCCGGAATAATTCCGTCGGGTCCTGCCGCTTTGCCTCGTTTCAAATTACTGATAGCTTTTGTAACCTCACCTACAGACGGCGGACCATTGTCTATATCCCATTCGGGTACGTGGTGGATGGCAGGGAGGTTCAGTGTGGCTGTAGGCAAGTTAAATTGTTCCTCAAAGTGTTCTTTCCAGAGTTCAAGGCTTCTATCCTGAGAGCTAATTAAGGAGCCATAGTTGGCAGGCATCCTGAAACACATAAACGTACTGGTTAAGCTAAATGAACCCATGACAGCTGTGAACTAAGGTGAAATCTAAATTGTTGGTCACCATTTCATTGCAATCGCCTGGTTAAAAGTTGAGTCTTAAGGGTAAACTCGTAGAGCTCTGAACTGTTGACTCCAAGATAACCAAACTGACCGCAAGCCACACTCAATCCGTGAGGGCTGATGACACCACCCAGCTGACAAGAATGGAGAGAGATTTGATTTTCCCACCAACTGGTTAAAAAGCAAGTAAACAAGTCAATAAGTTAAATCAGAGAGACCACTGGTTCGAACCCTGCTGTGGTCCAGATTTTCATTTCGCCTTCAATAATCATAAATAACAGCCGGTCAACTCAAAGCTATCTTACATAATCTCAATAACAATTATCATAACTAAAAATGTATATATATATATATATATTTCAAACAAGACAGAATATAGAGTTCATTACCTGCCATAATTTATCAACAATACGCGCGGAAAAATAAATTAAATTCGCTGGAATGTATTGAATACTTCCATTGGGTCCAACACATAATGATTGATCATTTAATATATCAGTTGCTAGAAAATGATCCATTAGATTGCATAAAATCAATGTTTGTAAATGTTGATGTTGTCTTGAACTACATTGATCAGACCATGCCTGATGGGTAACACAGAAATAAAAATAATATAGTAATAAAAGGTGTGATGAAAAGATTTGGTAATAAAGTACTGGAATATGTTAGAGAATATTCATTTTCCTTTTAAAAAAGAGAACCTCATCACAACAATTGGTATACATAAAGTTATTCTACATAGAGGCTAATTATAACTTGAATAGGTACTCAACCCGAAAGTGTACCAAGTTGTCTGTCTGTCTGTTTTCGACATAGAACTTTGCACACATGTGCGGAAGTTCAAGTCGCCACACTCCGTGTAGCACGCGAAGCAAGAGAAGAAAGTACAAGAAAAGCATAATAGAGACAGTGAGCAGAGGTGTGAGACAACGGAGTAATAACGAAGAACAAAACAATTTTTAATTGGCAATCATAAGTCACAAGGAGTGGATGCATCAGCGCCACTGAGAACGATTTTGAGCCATGTCACCAAGTTAGACGTCACAAAGAGTGGATGTATGTTTGTTAGTCAATTTTGAGTCATACCACGTAACGTCTTCAGTCATTGGTTCTTACGCTCCCGAGGACCACAGCCGAACAGTCTATAGCTTCCCATGTGGCCAACACAAACTAATTGTCAAGGTTATCATGGACCTATCCAAGGTTTTAGTTTGGCTACCACTAGGTCCTTCCCAACCTAATCCTAACATCTCCCATCCAGGAAGGAAATGGTTAGGCATACCAAACACTCAACGCATAACCTCGATATTACTCACCCGATTTATTCATTATTTATTTTATATTAGCATTTAAAGGCAATGATGAAAATCCATTGATGATTTATCTTACCATTCCTTGAGTTCTGACAAGAAACATACACCTCTAAGCTATGAAATCCCAGGAGAATTGACATCGTTCTTTGAAAAAGTGGAATCGCTGGCCACATGCTGAGGCTTATTATCAGTAAAAAAAAACTACATGGGGTTTCGTAATGAGTAGGTCAGGAAGCAAACCAAGACCAACTATATGTCTGGAAGGCGTCCTACTACTTGTTCCCATTTAGATGATGTTTATTAAGATGTACTACATTTTTCGGTACGTTTAAAAAACTGAATATCACTCGACTTTGCATTACTGAATAGGCTTTTGATACATTTAGAGAATTTTTCCAATGACAAACTGAACTGATTGCCAAATATTAGCTCCGGTTTACGGATACTGCTGACAAATAATAGTGGTAAGAATCTGTAAGGCCATAAAGAGATGAATTACAGTATACCAAATAACATCAATGAAGTAAGGGTTATCTAGCACAATAATAACAATTTTATTGGCAGTAGTATAAGTCATGTACATGAAATTCCTCTTGCGAAGGAATTTAGAGTTAGTTAATAGGGTTTTGATTTATTTCAGCTTTGACCATGGGTTGATATCAGTTAGAGAACCATTGAAAACTACAGGGGAGTAGTGGGCAGCTGTATCGACCCATACGCAGCCACGAGGTTAGAAGACAGGACCTCCCAGTTACACGGCAAGTTCGTAGAAAATTTAACCATTGTGACCCGACACAATGATCAGTCCATGAACTTCTACTAATTTAGCCATCCATCCAATAAACAGCAGGAGTCAGTAGAATACAACACTTCACTGCATTCAGACTACGTGACCAGGCTAAAAACAATTGTGAAATCACACACACACACACACGTACACAGAGATAATTGTTTCGCGTTACTTACTTCTAATAGTATATCAACAATATGTGTAGGTTGATGAAATGATGGATGCAGTGCAAAACTATCGGATACAATTAATTTAATAAAATCCAGAGTAATTTGATGCAATGGATTCTCTAGACAATCATCCTTTGACGATGGTAATGGTAACAGCAACAAAGGATCTTTGAAATTCCTATAAACTGACGACTAAAAATACACAAAAGGTAAGAACTTATTTTAAAAGACAGTTTATGAGATGAAAATTTTTCAATTTAAACTCAATAAAAAAGAAAGAAAGCATGTGGAATTCACTTTGTACTGAATTCTGCACTGAAAATGTTGTGCAGAAGGAAAATGAAAGCCTCGCAATGTTTGTTGACGACAACCAGAGAATTTTTTTAAAATCCCCTCATAACTAACTATTTATTTATTTTATTTTTTGATTACAGCTTGATTCCACACCGTATTTTTGGTACAAGTATGGAATTTTCAGCGTGGATATCGGTAGCCCAAAATTCGCAGGCCGACCATAGATATCAGGTGTGCGTCGGCGAGGGCTCGAACCCGGGACCATGTGCATGGTCAGCGAGAGTCCTAACCACTGTGCCACCGACGTTGAAGGATACAGTTTCACATAAAATTATTCCACAAATGATCCTGAAGCGATCAATCAAAAAACCACATCTCTGCGCCGAAGATACCATATACATAAATGCGGTGATCCAAGGCGACCATCTAGCCAACACACTGGAGAAGACAATGTTAAACGCTCTGACATGAGTATTCTTTACTCCTACATAAGGAATGGTATTCTTTTGCCAACTAATATCCTCCAGTACCTCTGAGGACAAACTCCTATCACATTGGACTACTTCTGTGTGTACCTAACAATTCCCTTGCTCCTGTAAACGGAGATAAATGAGTTATTCGATGCATGTTTTATCTAAGAGTCAATGAACATCTCGCTTGCCTACAAAAAACTCGAAATAGACAATGAGAGGAGTGTTATAAGTGATCAATAAACATACTGAACACTGACCACTCAAAATGTAAGGGAGATTCATTCAAAGTTATCCACAAAGTCAACAGAAGCCTGCCGAAAACGGTATACATACTTTCGCACACTTGCATTGCCGAGGGAGGCCTTAGTGATCCAAACGGAAAACCCTGATTTTTATACACACAGTAGACGACAAGAAAAAAAGAACTCTAGCATCGAAGCTGTCCAACATGTATGCCGAAGAAAATGCAGATAGATGGGATACACGCTGAGGAGACCGTTGAATAATATCGTTCGCCAGGCGATCGCTTAAGTAGGACCCGAATGGGAACAACGAGTTGATACTACAGAAGAAAACCAACAGGACATATATTACTGATTGACATGAGTAGCTGTTTATTGCTTACGTCAATCAGTAGTGGTTGCCAGTCAGAGCAGGACGATCACTATTTTTGAGGGTCACTTCACCGTTTTGAGTGCCACGCTCATCAGAGAATGACTATGCTTAGATGACGAAATCAGTTGAAACCACTCAAATTCTGACTAGTTGTTTCTTGAAAATACCTACAAAGTGTACAGTTCGATGTGTCAAACTCTTTTAGAGTCTTCTTTTGAAATCACACCATCAAGTTAGGAACAAATTAATGTGATGCAAACTTGCGCCATACAATAAACACCCCGTAAAAACTGGCACACAGACATACACACGCAAATAGACAAGATTTTAACTTACGGAATGTTTAAAGGTGCAGATGGATCATTTGTATGACTAGTGAAAGGAACAAGTAAACCAATCAAATTTGTCAATAAACCTGGTGTTATAAAAGCCAAACGAATTGTTGGCTTCGATTGATAAAGATAAATTAAAAATTTCAGCATAACAATAGCTGAGTTTATATTCTCTTGTAAATTAATCTGTTTTGTCTCCATAAGATAAGTGAATTCTGATAATTTCAAATGTTCTAAAGATTCAGGCTAGAAAAGAAACAATAATAGGGAGAGAGTTATAAATTGTGTATGAATTTTATGCTCTCTGTCACGAAATAAAATAGGAAGAGAGAAAACATCTATCCAAAGCGATGAATTTTAACAATACAATAAAAACAACATTTCATACTGTTGGAAAATAAACTAGCACCTAGGGACAACTTAAACAAAAAGATAAAAAATATGTACACAGAATTCCTGTCAGGGATGTACAGGTTTATATTGACTCCGTCATGGGTAAGTGTGTGATGAAGGTTATAACAAACACCTAAAAGCATGTTAATAACATTTAATTAGTCTATGAGTGTGACTGGCTTCACAGCACTTTTCGTCTTGATCCTACTAAAACGTGAAATATAGTGTGTATTGATGTGGAACTGTCACTTTAAATCCCGTTGCTGACTTAATGCAGCATTATTTTTACATTCATGGGATTCATTTAATTAATAACATGTTTCCAGGAGCCTACGGCGACTGTCTGATTCTCTTACAAAACCGAGATCAATCGGTATACCCTGATGTGAATAGGCTGGTTGATCCTGCTAGTGGCCATATGCTTGTCTCAGAAATTAAGCTACGGATTATTACGTACACAACTTAAAACAGTGGAACCGTGAGTGGTTAATTTAAAATAATCTACGGTTCTTTAAAACACATAGTCCATCCATAACTGTAGTAATTCTGTAGCTAATACATGAAATTATTCCCTGACCTACAAGAGAACCGGTTGCAATTCCGATGTGTTTTTCTTCTTAAATTCGGTCACATTTCGCGATATAAAATCGCTGTCATTCAAATATTATCAAATATCCAGTTGACTGTCGCATAATAGAGTCTGAAGTGATTACTGCTTCTATTCAGAAAACTAAAACACACTCAGTATTATAGAAAACTACAAGTGAAGGAGATTCAACAGCAAGAACATCTTATGTTATGCAATAAATCACGCGAAGTCTATATCACTCTGTACTAACTATTCTGATAGTAATATTTTTATGCAAAACATTATTTAGGAGGAGACAGAGATATATTACAACCTCACTTATGTCTGTCAGAAAAAAAGGACAAAAAGAATTATCGTACAGTGTAAACGCATCAAAGAATTACGACTTGGACAGGGGGGAAAAGTTGACAGGCTTAAAAATAAAGCAAATCGTACAGTTCTATTTTTAAAAAAGGACTATAAAACAAGGTGAATAACATAGACATTACCTCATAGACAAATAGACGAATCAAATGTAAAATCAGAGTTCCAGCTTCTGGACATATAACTTGATTTGAATACGGAATAACAGTCGATGCTGTTGATAAATTATTGCTTGATGTTGTTTGTGAATGAGAAGTATTGGGAAGATTTATATTGGGATTAGTATTATTGTTATTATTAATAGTTTTATGATTTCCTGGTATAGACGACGACGTCATCATCATTGAAACAATAGTGTTACCAGCTCGACGATTCCCACTAGACCCACTAAACAATCCACTAACTAAACCGCCAACACTTGTATTTTGAACAGTACTACTGGAGAAAGACGAAGTTGTCGGTGCAGAAGTGATAAATGATGATGTGGAATGCATAGACCGATCAACTGAAGTAGAGTAGACTTCACGTTTAATTAATGTCGGTGAAATACAATTATTTTCACATGAAATTAATGAATAAAATGTATCAAAATCAAACTAAAAAGAAAGCAAAAACACACAAAGGAAAAAAAATTGAATTAGTTATTAAGCATGTCTAATCAACATATACTACTGATTGGTTAACAGTAGTTGTATACTACTCGCATCAACCAGCAGCGTTCGCCAACGAGATTATAAAAGTAATCTAAAAATCGAATGGCTGATTGATGCGAATGCTATACAACTACTCATAACAATTAGTCAGTAATATATAGTAGCAACACAAATAGGCAAGAAGAAATGAAGGTGGATTGGCCGTACGCTGAGGAAACCATCATGTGACATCACTACACAAGCCATCGCTCGAGTGGAACCCGAAAGGAAGCGGCGAGTTGGTCGTCAGTGCAATGGTGACTTGAAGGAGGTGATGTGAAGAGGAGATGAAAGCTTGTGGGCAGAATTAGAGCCAGGTGAAAACGTTTGCAGGGAACCGAACGCAATGGAGACGCAAGGTTGAAGCCCTGTGTTCCTCTAGGAATTAAAGGAAACAATAATAATATAGTTGCAGCGTACTTATGCTTCCTTCGTTGATTACCATTTATGAATATCAAGCAGATCACATCTTGTGATCTGAATAATTTCAGTTTCCAAAGAAAACTGTATCAATTACAAGTTAATTTGCAAATTGAGAAATTGATTCAACGCCTAGTTAATATTCTTTTTGAAAGAGAAAGAACAAGAAGGTCATTAGAGATATCTTCTCGGTAATCTGTCAGTGAGAAGCCGTATAATCGCATTTTTAAACATAAGCTCACGTAAGTTACATGTGTTAATTAATTCAACATAACAACGACAAAAGGAATAAATGAAATAAACGTTTGAATTTGATAAGGAGTTCTGATGGCAGATGAATATATACATCGTAGTTAAATGTCAAGTGGCAAAGCAAATTAATGTCATATACAGAATAATTCATAGGAAGGATAGAACTTGAAAAAGGATGTGCAATTATAGGATTAGTAGACAAATCGAATAAAACAAAAACGTTACGTAATATTGTGTGAAATTTAATAGCATAGAATTTATCGTTGTAAAAAAGAATTGATTGAGAATGAGAAGTGGAACAAGTAAAATAATACCGGGGATAGTTCAAAGTGAGAATAGTAATAATAACAATTGACTTAATAAGGAAGAGTATACAAATTGAATAGACAAAATGAAAAATTGGTAGAGCTAAAATATGATTGGGGATTATCATATTTTAGCATAGAGGGATTAAGACCATGAAAGTTGGAGCGGTTGGACGAACTATTTCTGCACACAGAGATCTGGCTTTTCTGTTTCGACAGCCAATGATGGCTTCAGCAGTACAGATGAGTCGGGTACGTAGGGATTTGGGTAAATTACTCTTTGCCTTGTAGATGACTTGAAAGGCGGAGGCTATAGAGACAGGATGATCATTATCGACCAGATGTTCAATGATCGCACTTCTTATTGCTCCACTTCCACCTTTTCGTAGCCAAGCAGGATAATGTTCTTGCACCCTCTTGGACAAAACTTGACTCGAACGACCGATAAACCTAGCTCCACAAGAGCAGGTGAATTGATAAACGCACATAGAGTTGGTCAACAGTGGGATCTTGTCCTTCAGGTTATTGAACAATAAAGGTCGGCTATTAAAAGCTATTCTCAGAGAAGCAGCAGGGAATGTTCTTTTCAGGGACTGTGATATCCTTCGTTTCATGATATCGGAAGCTAAGTCCCCTTTGAATTCTAAGCTCATGTAAAGTATTTTCTTGGGAGCGGTTGATAAGTTACGTTTTGTAGGCTTTGAATGTATATTCTTATCTATAAAACGTGGTGGAAATCCATTTTCCATTAGGATTTTCCTCAAAGTGTATAACTCATCTTCCACAGTATCAGTGCTACATATGCGTCGAATACGATTGGCAAGAGAACTGACCAGGTTTCGTTTTCGACCAATGGGTGCCCAGCTGTAGAAATTTGTCAGTTGACCATTCCATAACAGCTTACGATAAATCGATCTCTTCAGAGTTCCATCGGTCCTTCTTGATAAGTCCACATCGAGGAAATGAATGCTAGACTCGTTCTCCATTTCGAGTGTGAATTTTATCGCAGGATGGCACTCATTAAATACACTTAATATATTATTCAGCTTACAATCAAAATGACAAATAATAAAGGTGTCATCTACATACCTTTTACACATTTGAAAGCTTTGGATTATAGGCTTCAGGGAACCATTTTCTAGACTGAACATAAAAACGTCAGCAAGGAAAGGACCCAAGGGAGAACTCATCGCAATACCATCCTTCTGCCTGTAGATTGTTTCATTGAAAGTAAACTGTACATTCATTGTACATCTCAAAAGTAGTTCTTTAAGATCTGTAGTGGTTATCCTTATATTCAATTTGTTGTCTTCAATATATTTCCATTTAAAACATATGGTCTCTGTCAGTGGAACGTTTTATAAGGAAATATATTGAAGACAACAAATTGAATATAAGGATAACCACTACAGATCTTAAAGAACTACTTCTGAGATGTACAATGAATGTACAGTTTACTTTCAATGAAACAATCTACAGGCAGAAGGATGGTATTGCGATGGGTTCTCCCTTGTGTCCTCTCTTACTGAAGCCTTCGAAATGAGGACGGGAGTGAGACAAGGCTGCCTACTATCGCCAATGATCTTCCTGATTGCAGTAGACTGGATAATGCGACAGAGAGCGGGCAAGAAGGAAACAGGCATAAAATGGACTCACACAAAAAACTTGGAGGATCTGGACTTCGCCGATGATATATGTCTGATTTCCCACAAACTGGAAGATATGCAAGTGAAAAGCAACAAGCATCAAAGATAGGACTTCAAGTGAACATAGAGAAAACACCAACAACAACTGACAACAATCAGCCATCATAAATGGGAGGAACCTGAAAGAAACAACCTCCTTCACCTACCCACCAACCTGGGAAGCATCGTTTCAACTACAGGCGGGCGGAACTGACGAGGATATCAAAGCGAGGATCATCGGAAAAGCAAGACAAGCTTTCATTACTCTTAAGTCTGTGTGGAGGTCCACAACACTCACCATCAAAAATAAGATCCGGATTTTCAACTCCAATGTAAAGTCAGTCAGTGCTACTCACTATATGGATCAGAGATTTGGCCACCGCATCATGGAGAGCATCTCAAACAAACTACAGACCTTCATTAACAGTTGTCTTCGCTCAATACTTCGCTCAAGATCAGATGGCCGGTCAGAAAAGACCAGCAACAGGGTGGGATCTCAGGCAATGAGCGAACCAACGTAGCAGGAACCGATTGTGAAACAAATAGGCAGGAAGAAATGGGAATGGATTGGCTGGCCATACTCTGAGGAAACAATCATGTGACATCACTAGACAAGCCATTGCTCGATTGGTACGCGAAAGGGAAGCGGGTGGCGAGTTGGTCGTCAGTGCAATGGTGACTTGGAGGAGGTGATGTGAAGAGGAGATGAAAGCATGTGAGCAAACTTGAAGCGGGTGAAAAAGTTGGCAGAAAACAGAAGGCAATGGAGACGTGGGGCTGAAACCCCATGTTCCTCTAGGAATTAAAGGATATAATAATGATTTTGTAGATGAATGCGGCAGAGTGAACCATTTTTGAAAAGAGTTTCTCTGTTTGACTGAGTCTCTCTAATTCATAGTAAATTTTACATATCTTTCAAACCGACGAACATGAAGACGAGAACATATTTTTCTTTCTTTTCAATGTCAGTCATAGTGATCTGCAGTAGGAGTGGTACTCTGTCTTATTTAAGAACTACACCAGTCTGCAGCAACACACGCTGAACTAGATGCACGACATTCGTTACTACCTAGTGGCTCCATTATAATCCTACAAGAGATCAGTTATTAGTCTAAGTAGTCCAGTGGGAAGGTCTGTAGGTGCACCAGTGAGTGATCCAAGTTCGAATCTAAGAAGGGACATGAATTCTTTTAAGATTGCAGATACGCCTTGCTGACTGGTGAATGCCCACAAGAATGAAATTAGGATACAACGCTTCGTACTGACTGCCTCCCGCAATCAAATATTTTACATATTATGAAATTTTGATGAAAGATAATTCAAAACAAGAAAAGCATAAAATTTGCCTGCTTCGCGCTTTTAAATAGAACTGAAGCCGGTCACAGAGGCATGCTGTCGGTTCGAATTGTTTTATTACTATTATACCTCCAACTTGGTACATATACGTACATTATAATATTTAAAAAAAGACATTATATTTACCTTTGCATTTTGTGGTATAGATCTCACTGGTATCTTTAATAATAATGCAAAAAGGAATAGAAATGTTTCAATTAAATTCATATGATATGGTAACAAAATTTGGAGTATAATAAATCCTGGTTGTTGACATGATGATAATTTCAAATCTCGAAGTGCTGAAGTATAACGAAGTGGTGGTTTACGCTTGGCTGAACTCTTAGAATTATCTATCATAAAATGAGAAGAGAAAGACACAAATATGCAGTAGTGTTTATAATGAAATATATATACACAATTGTCAGCAAAAAGCAAAATTAATATTGTTAACCAGAAGAAACAGACGCAAAATCTATTAATCTGAAAACAAGGTTGTGAAGCAACATTGGTTCAGATGCTTAGCACATATGATAGGGCATGCCAACCTGCGGGAAATTTTTAGCTGACAGATGAAAAGAGTAAGGGATTGTCAAATCAAAACGTAGGATCAATCAATTAAGTCTTTGAGAGTTGGTTTGAGTCAAGTATTATTATTATTATTATTGTATCCTTTAGTTCCTAGAGGAACATAGGGCTTCAGCTGCGCACCTCCATTGACTTCGGTTTTCTGACAACTTTTTCACCCTGCTCCAGGTCTGTCCACATGCTTTCATCTCCTCCTCGCATGACCTCCTCCAAGTCACCCTTGGACGACCAACTCGCCGCCTCCCTTTCGGGTTCCACTCGAGGGCTTGTCTAGTGATGTCACTTGATGGTTTCCTCAGCGTATGGCCAATCCATCTCCATTTCTTTCTGCCTATTTGTTTCACAATCGGTTCCTGATTGGTTCGCTCCCAGAGATCCCTGTTGCTGATCTTTTCTGGCCATCTGATCTTGAGTATTGAGCGGAGACAGTTGTTAATGAAGGTTTGAAGTTTGTTTGAGATGCTCTTTATGACTCGCCAAGTCTCTGATCCGTATAGTAGCACTGACTTCACATTGGAGTTGAAAATCCGGATCTTATTTTTGATGCTGATTGCTGTTGACCTCCACACAGATTTGAGAGTAATGAAAGCTTGTCTTGCTTTTCCGATTCTGGCTTTGATGTCCTCGTCAGTTCCGCCTGTAGTTGAGACGATGCTTCCCAGGTAGGTGAAGGAGGTTGTTTCTTTCAGGTTCTTCCCATTTATGCTTATTGTGGTCTGTTGGTGTTGTTGATGTTGGCAAGGAATCTTCATCATCTCTGTTTTATCTATGTTCACGTGAAGTCCTATCTTTGATGCTTCTTCTGCCAACTTGTTACTTTTCACTTGCATATCTTCCAGTTTATGGGAAATCAGACATATATCATCGGCGAAATCCAGATCCTCCAAGTCTTTTGTGTCAGTCCATTTTATGCCTGTTCCCTCGTTGGTTGCCGTTGTCTGTCGCATTATCCAATCAATTGCAATCAGGAAGATCATTGGTGATAGTAGACAGCCTTGCCTCACTCCCGTCCTCACTTCGAAGGCTTCCGTAAGTTTCCCGTTGTGGATTACTTGGCATGCAGCATTGTCGTATAACTGTTGGATGAGGTGTATAATTGTCGATGGGACCCCGTAGTAGCGAAGTAGTTTCCAAATGACCTCTCGATCGACGCTGTCGAAGGCCTTTTCAAAGTCGATGAAGTTGAGATAGAGAGGTGACTGCCATTCCAAGCTTTGTTCAATGATGATCCGTAGAGTGGCGATTTGATCAATACATGATTTGTTTCTCCTGAATCCAGCCTGTTCCGGACGAAGTTTTTCATCTAGGGCTTGTTTGATTCTCTCCAGGATGATGCGACTTAGTATCTTGCTTGGAATGGACAGAAGCATAATTCCACGCCAGTTTTTACATTGACTTAAGTCTCCTTTCTTTGGAAGTTTGAATAAGTAACTGTTCTTCCAATCCTCGGGTACTTTGCCCTCTTTCCACACCTTCTCCAGTAGTGGTGTCATCAAGTCCGCTGTTGTCTCTGGGTCTATTTTCAAAGCCTCTGCTGGGATTCCATCTGGTCCCGGTGTTTTCCCAGCTTTAAGCATCTTGATTGCATTCAGGACTTCTGATTTCGTCGGGGGGTCAGTGTTCACTGGTAGTTCTGCTTCCGTTGTTGGTATTGCTGGACGTGTTGTAGGTGGCGGACGATTTAGAAGTCTTTTGAAGTGTTCAACCCAGTGCTTTCTCTGTTCCACCTCTTTGGTGATTGACTTTCCATTGTCGTCCTTTATTGGCTTAATCTGTGTCGAACGTTTGCCCGAAAGGTTCCTAGTTGTTTGGTAGAGTGTGGCGAGGTCTCCTTTGCCTGCAGCTTGTTCTGCTTCGTTTGCCATGGTTTCATAATATTTTCTTTTGTCTTCCCTGGCACTTTTCTTCACTCTTTTGTTCAGTGTATTGTAGCTTGCATTCAGCTCCTGTTTTTGTTGCTCGTCAGTGCACTGGATAATCTTTTGCTTCACTGTCCTTCTCTCTTCTATTAGTTTCCAAGTGTCCGTAGTGAGCCACTGTTTGTCCTGTCTCTTTTTTCTGCCTAGAATTTCTATGCAGGTTTGGCTCCACACCGTTTTCAAGTTGTTCCAGTGCTTTTCAACGCCGACCTTTTCGCTAGTGTTGATTTGTGTCTCGGCTTTGTCCTTTATGCTTGCAATGAAGATGTCCTTTGTAGCCTGGTCCTTCAGCTTTTGAGTGTTGAACTTGGCTTGTGGTCTATCTGCAGCTCCTGATTCCCTGAAAGCTTTTAATTTGATTTGGATTGTCCCTTGTACGAGATAGTGGTCTGAGCCAACGTCTGCTCCTCTTCTTGCTTTTGAGTCAAGTAGGTAGGTATATAATGCTTGGTTAGGATTCTCAAGACAATAAGGTCCAATTCAAGAACACTGTTTGTGATATGACTCAAAACCGTTTTTCGGTGTAATTATTACTTCCCTTGTACATTTCTACTCATTATAGTTAAACTGAATTCCTTTCTATTCTATTTTTTTTCAAACTGCGTGCATTGCAAAATATGGCAACTTGTACTGGTGCAGTTTTGTGCAATGTTTTACTTAAAAACTCAGTCAGTCAGGTTTCAAGTGAATTCATCAAATTTCAGTCTGGTTCTACTGTCATATACACTATGTGAAATATATTCATTTTTTAAATTGTTATTCTTCTTGCCTTTCTAGTGGGAGATGGGGGTTCAAGCATGTGGTAATTGAAGTTTCATCAGCAATAGGGCATAAAACTGAACTACCACATTATAGTTCAGTTACGTCACTATAATAATAAAGAGTCAATTCATTAAGAGAGAGTAATTGGTTGAAGTTACAACTCATAGACCATTGAGTTGGGCGCCAGTGGTTGGATGATGGACGAGCTTGCCCTTTAACTAGAAGGCCCTGGGCCCGAACCCCGCGGATGCGTGTTGCTGAAGAGTTTTATACTAGGACGAAATAGCCATCCAGTAGTCTCCGGTTTTCAATGTTTCTCTAAATGATAACTATCCGCGGTCTAAAAAGGCAACATTTTCGCCTGAATTAAACTGGTGATAAATTTTCATCATCTAGTATAACACCACAAAAACATAACAGATATCTGTTCACAGTATCCCAGAAGATCGAAAAAATACAGCAGTCTGTAAATATGAATAGAATTGTGGGTTGTCTACACACTTCAGATTTTCTATTAAAGCATTCATTATTCTATCTATCAGCACTCTTCTTTATTCCAAAGTTCAAGCAATTATTACAATTTGTTTCAGAATGCCTAAAAAAATTACTTGAAAATTATTACTATCTTAAAATAAAAAATATAAAGATCTTAAACTATAGGGTGTTAGTAAAAAAAATTGCATATTTCTCCAACTTATATTTGTATCATTTTCTAGGTTATTGATTTCATGAGACTAGTTCTTTCTTGTCGCAATTTCATCTGACTGTCCAAGTTTCAAGACAGCATGCACTTTGCACAGAAGTGCACCAGTTCAAGTTGGTACCCTTAATGTAGAGGAACTAGAAATGAAGTTAAAAATAGAACTATAATAAGTAGAAATGTACAGCAGAAAAAAATAGTACTATGGAAAGACAGTGAAGCTTTAATGGATTTGTGAGATCACAAATTGTGAATACATTAACGCTATTGGAAGCGGTTTTGAACCAGATTACATTATCAACAGTTTTAAGCCAAAGATCGTCAACGCCTCGAGGATACCAAACAGGGAGTCTAAACTTCCTTACCAGAGTCAAACGCTTTCACTGTCATATACCATTTTCCAATGAATGAGGTGAATCTTCTTATAGTGCTTGCAGATGGGTCCAAATCCTGTAAACCCCACTCTTAATTCAGCCAATGACCAATATCTTTTCAGTAATATCTGCGGACAGACATACCAAGTGTGGCCAGTAGCCTGATATACATATATATGAGAAATCTGTTCTGCGTAAATGAACGCTTAACATTCAATAATAATAGAAACAACCTAGTTACCCACAAGCACACTATAACACTTACCAATTAATAGGCCATGTCTTTTTTTCAACAATATCTCACATCCACGTAACCATCGACCAGCAGGACATCCTAATCGAAATGCGATAACACGATCATTTTCTAAACATTTTTGTAGAAAATTTGTTGACAACTGATCATTTAGTAGTAGTAGTAGTAGTATTCGAAGTATCAATGGATTCAATTTGTGTCAGAATAAATGATAAACTTTGTTGTAATGTTGATGAAGAATTCAGCATTAATGATGATGAATTACCAGAATTTAATATTAATAATAATAATAAATGTAAAGCATACGAAATAGTAGTTGAATGAATATTTGGACGTAATAATAAATAGAACCAATCATAACCAATTGCATTTAGCAATTCATTGCAAAATCTATAATTGGACAAGAAAGAGGAAGAGAGAGAGAGAAATGATTAGAATCTTCAAACAAACAAGAAAATTAATTAACTACAAAATCTTCACAATGTTTCACACATATAAACACATATATGTTCACTTAATGATGAAGAGTAAATACGAAAAACATGAAACGTAGACTAAAAGTTTCCGATTAATTAATTCTTAAAGTTTAATAATATAACAGAATTTAGTGTTGAAGGCAATCAGTGGGAAGCCGTGTTGCACCATGTTAGCGAGTCATCTAAAATGGTACAATAGTAAACTTGATGCGCAGGACGAATTCAGTCTGTCCTAACGGTAAGGACTAAACACGCATGACATTATTCACTACATTAGTGTTCAATCAAAGTGTCGACTACATTCCGATAAAAGGTCAATCGAGAGTCTGAGTAGGCCAGTGTTAACACCTCTGATCGCATCACACGGTGATCGGGGTTCAAATCTCAGGAGCGATATGAATTCCTCTTCAAGATTGCAAGCACATATTCCTGGCGAGTACCAATAAGCACGAAACCTAGATTCATAACTTCTTATCGGTTACCTCCAACCATCTAACACTATGAGATCACATTAGGTTGGAATTAGCACAGGGTACGATGTGATTCAGTCGGTCAGTAGGAAGGTCCAATGACCAGGAGGAGGCCATTGCTTCGAGCTGTGCGATAACTTATAAAATCTCCATCACTTCCAACCAACACAGCATAATATGAATTTAGTAAATTTAAAGAACAGAAAATAAAGTCTAGTTTACATTTTCTGAAGAGAGATGTCAAAATTCCTACGTAGTTACATGACACCTGTTAACACAGGTTATGGACGTCGATATTTTGAATTCCTACAAGATATCGAACCAATAAGCGCGTTAAAGCCACTCAAGATTCGTAGATACTATCGCTATCTATATGGATAAAATCAGATTTAGGTATTCTAAAAGTTGTAGTGAGCAGTTCCTTGTTTAAATTGATAAATAAGTATATCCTCATTTATTCAATATTTTTTTTAATTTTTGATTTTTGATTTACAGCTTGATTCCACACAGTATTTTTGGTACAAGTATGGAATTTTCAGCGTGGATATCGGTAGCCCAAATTTTGCAGGCCGACCATAGATATCAAGGTGTGCGCCGGCGTGGGCTCGAACCCCGGACCATGTGCATGGTCGGCGAGAGTCCTAACCACTGTGCCACCGACGCACAGATCTTCGGATCTCTTACGCCTCAAGCAACCTCGTAACGGGGTTCACTGTCGACTAGCGAACTGGGCGAGGGTCTAGGAGTGTGTCGACAGGGGATGGAAGCCCAGATCATATTGTGTGGTTAGCAAGCATTCTACTACTGAATAACTGATGGACCAGTAATAGTACTGAAAAAATCAGTTTATTGCACAGTTTTTATATATATAATAAGGATTAATGTGTTTATTAGAGTGTTTACCTTCCATTTAATGGCATATATTTAAAATCAAGCCAAAAAAGGGTCAAACAATAAAAATTAATAATCTTTTAAAATGTGTTTATCGTTTTTTGTTACATCGGCGCCTAACAGAAACTCTGTCTTCCAGTTCTACTATATACTGAGGAAAAAAGCCTATTCAGATAAAACAAGAAGTCTGACTCATTCGCTTGTGTGGTTCAAACTTTTCATTCTGTACCTTTTATTACAGTTTAAATAATCAGGTAGTATTTACTAGAATAAACCTTAAATAAGCAGAATTAGTGTTAGTCAGAGTCATGTAATGGAGTGCAGGTCACCTATGGTTCATGATGAAAATCACTCATCCAGAGGATAAATAGATATTAACACTTTATGATCTTAGAAATTTTCGTCAGTATTGTACACAGTTACCGAATATAGCATAATAGTTAGACTTGAGTTCTCTCAATACTCTATGTGTTTCTTGTTATTATGAGACAAAATGGATTTTTTTTCATTGATTGGTTCCACTTCATGAATTTCAGTAAAGCAAGAACAATCTATCCCACATCCAAGTTGGTTCTTGCTCAACGGACAACAGGCTCTTTGGTGCAATAATGGGTCAACCGACACCCTTCTCATGTTAACTCCAACAGTTACATTGGGAGAACAGAAAGAAGGACATACCTCCGATCATCTGAACATGCACCAAAAAGCCTACGTTTCAAAGAAATAGTGTCACTGCCAGATATCTCCTCAATATAGGTCAACAGGTGGACATTGCGAAATCCCTTAAAAATTATCAGTAGACAAAATAGCATAATTTTCTTCGAGTTTGTCGAAGTAATCGCCATCAAACACCTGAAACACCATTTATATGTTCAGAAAGAAGTAGTTAACATTATTTTATAGCCCTGGTAACTGGATGTCTTTACTCTCTCTTTCATTCGGTTACATAATCGTTGGTTTTAACCTTACCCTCTTTAGTATAAAGCAACAAGGTGGCAGAAGAAGCATCAAAGATAGGACTTCAGGTGAACATAGATAAAACAGAGGTGATGAAGATTCCTGGCCAACACTGTGGGCAGACTTGGAGCGGAGTGAAAAAGTTGGCAGAAGACCGAAGGCAATGGAGACGCGTAGCTGAAGCCCTATGCTCCTCTAGGGATTAAGGGATATAATAATAAATTTGTTTGTCTCTTGTTTCGATGATTTCAGTGAATCTGACTATATTGTAAATCGATATTATATTGGGTATTCAGAATCATACTTATCTCTTGTTTTGATTGCATAGCCCCTTTACCATGGTATGCATACACTGACTTCTCTTTAAACTTGAACTCACTAGGTAAAAGCTGCAGAAATGTAATTTCTGAGCTCTATTTATTAGGTTTGGAACCTATTGTCTACTGAAATCATGTAAAATTTACAAGCATTTTAAAACTGTTCAGTACACAAACTTAATAATACCATTTTTCGTGAAAAGAAAGTGTTAATTAACATAAGCTTGCATAAATTTGTTATTAAGGTGGTGGCCTCAGTGTTAGGTATAGGCTGAATTCTATCAGTTAGGTTTGTATAGTATGGCGACCAAGTTAGGTGACTCGCCAGAGCGGTGCACTTTGAATAATTATGGGATATTTCGGAGGAATGACTGTGAAGCGCCAAACCTAAACTTCGTACCTACTGGTATTTGTCAATCAGTAAGGCATATATGCAGACTCGAACTTGTGTCACACAAAGTTGTGGTCAGATACATTGCTATTGTTTAGGTAAACTTCAACGAAAACAAGTAAGCTATTCGGGAAGAAATATGGTTAATGTAGAAGAATGTAATTCGTCACACACACACACACACACACGCATCCTTGAACTGCAACCATTTGTGAGGCTATTTGTGATAGCGTTAGATTGTCAGACTAATATTGATGTTATAGGTGGCGACTGGAGATGAAGCGAAAAATCTGAATTACCAGCACAGCGCTCCAACAGCAGAGAGCTGTTAGATCCAGTTGGTAACAACATCAATAACAATAAAACTCAATAAATGAATTCACCCTGGAAGAAGAAAAGGGTTCAAAAAATAGTAAAAAACTTTTTCTTCCCAGTCAAAAAGCTTACTTGTCATTTATACCATCTGTTTCTGTAATTAACTGGATCAATACTTCCAGGCAATGATTCCTCAGAATAATTAAATTTCGTAACAGTTCAGTAGACACTAATTATTTTTTTAAAATGAAAATAAAAATGATACTTTTAATTGAAACAGAACAGAAATTCATATTTTAGATTGGTAGGAGTTTAAGTTTATTTGACTGGTAACCAATAATTCTCTACCTGATACCGGTTTGTGATAAAGTCTGTGTCGAAAAGACTAATTGTTTATCAATGACTGAATGATTTTTCTCCCACATCCTTGCTTGATGCTTTAGGCTCTAAAGTTTCAATGGCAATGTGGTGTAAGGCGGAAGGGAATTCAACTTTCAAACTTCCGTCTCAAAATCCTAATCAGGAATTTTGCATTTTCCTAAATGGCAGGTTCAAACTAAATGTCAAAGACTTAATGGACTGATGCCATGTATTTCTGATTTTATCACCCCTAAGTCTTATCCAACCTGATCCTATGTCAGCTAGCATTACATACAGAGGAAGACGGTTGACCACATGCACAACGCATGTCCTAGCTATCTCTCAACTCATGTAGCTTGACAACTTCATCTACTAACTTGTCTGCCTTATGCACCACCACCCTACACCCAACCTCAATATTCCTCACCGTATTGCACCACTTAACAACATAGGTGATAGAACACAAAATTTGACAAATCACACACAGCTACAGTATTATTTGGTTATTGATGGCAGTTATTCAGCAAAGAACTTGTTGCTCATAATCATTTATCAAAGTACACTTATCCTATTTGATGATACTATCCAGTCACAGTCACTAAAATTGGAATATGCCAAATACGCGAGACTCTTATTCGAGATGCAATAGCTGAAAACCGTCGTAAACGTCTGTGGGTTTTATTATCCTACACTTTTGATGGCTGTCTCACAGCCATACAGAAGAACAAAGCGGACTACTACCATCATCATCATCATTGTTCAATACTGTCAGTCAATTTCCTAAATTAATATCAATACGATTAACTTACACATAAGAATATCTTCACGATCAACAGTGTCAACAGCAGAATTGTCATCAGCGCTGGAGGATTGATCTAGTGAGATGAGTTTTTCGTTTGTTTGAGGACTATTAGGCAGAGTCCAAATAATTAATTGACAAAATCTGTTTTGATTGGGATGTTTTTTTCAAAAGGGAAAAATCAGGCATAATTTATTTCGGAATTATCAAGTGAATAACAAACAGAAGGCATAAATAAGTGTGCACGAATTAATTATCTAATGGTAACCTAAACAGTTAGTTTATCTGCAGTATGTTAACCCCTTTCCTCCGAGTACTACACAAGTATAATTTTATAACATCTCCTATTCATAAATACACTGATATAGAAGATAACTGTAACAATTCTTGAAACTGATACATTGTTAAAATATCATGATGAATTGTCAAAAATCCGCCATGAAAAACAGACTTGCCTAGTGACCTACAACTTCTGAGTTCAATCTCCGCTGAGATAATGGGTACACATCGCTGATGCATCCCAAACTAGGACGAAAGTGTTATGGCCAAAAGTTTCACCAATGAAGAAGAAGGAGAAAATAATGACTCCATCTCTTTTTGGGATGTTCTAATGACTAAGCGAACAGACGGAATACTATGAAGACGATTGTTTCAGAAACCTACAACAACTGGACAATATACTTACTTTCTGAGTTTCGTTCCTCTGAGATGCAAACGTATTCTGGTTAGATGTCTGCTTCATCAGGCTAGAGTTATCTGTTCAAATGAGACACTAGACGAAGAACTCGGTAATATTAGTCACCTATTAAGTAGAAACGGATATCCGACTAAATTCTTGAACAAACACATGAAGTGGAAGGTTCCCATTGTTCCCAAAATATCAGTCATCCTAAAATTACAATTCACGCGTGATCTCAGTAGTGGGATCGTATCACAACGTCTGAGAAGGGACACCAAAAAGACTTTCATCGCAGCTAAGCTATGCCGTATACTCACCAGCCACCCAATACTGCTCGCCTCGAGCTATTTACATTAAGCATACGATAAGGCAAGTTCAGCAAGCGAATTTCCGAACACATCGCAATTCAGTTTGACAACTTATCTCGTCGGCGCTGGACACCGAGTTGACTCAACCAAAGCTTTTAAAATTATTAATCGTATTTTACCCAACCTTTCGCGTAAGCACTCAATGTTTCACACTACACAATTATTTGGTACATGGAATTTCTGTCAATGCTTCATTCAGCTAGAGAGCAAATGCAAAGAAGTATTATTAGCTCATAGCCTGATATGTATATTTGACGAATTCTGTTCTGGATTCCTGAATTCTAACAACATATTCTTTAAGTTATTGTGTAAATATGATTATGCTATTTCAAAAGCAGAGGTCAACTAATTAATGTAAGAGTACAATTTGGTCATCGCTATGACTGACTGGTTTCAACATAAAAATTCGCACCGATGTACAGCAGTTCGAGTTGTCACACTCCCCATGCAGCATAGCACACAAATCAAGAGAAGAGAGTAAAGCGAGATTCAGAAGAGCGATAGATAATAAATAGAAATGTGAATGAGGGAAAAACAATTATAATATTGGGAAGAACAATAGAGTTTTATTGGATGATACGACAGATCACAAAGAGTGAAAGCATTGGCAACAACGATTTTCGGCTATATCACCAATTTTCTTAAACCATCGGTTCTTACCAACCAGAGCATCCCAACCAGCCAACAACTCTAAACTTCCCGACGAGGTTGAAACTAGCTGTAATAGATTTCATTGACTGATGAAGCCATGTTTTGGTTTGACCATCACTAAGCTCTTTTCCAATCTGATCCTATGCCAGTTAACACTGTCATCGCCGGTCAATATAATACCATCTTAGATACGTTTTTATATAACAGACAGTATTAACGACTGGATGATGCTTCGTGCACAGTTTATCGCTCATAATCGTATCAATGTGGTATGATTATGAGTAATTAAACTGTGTCTGAAACGTCATCCAGTTAGTAACACTAAATCAATGGATGTGTGTTTACGTCTCATATCATCGATAGATTAAAACAGGCTAGCACAGTTAGTAATAATCCACAGTTCACTGCATATATATATATATATATATATATATATAGACAAATAACAGTAGTAATTAAATAGATAACAATGAGAGTGGGGCCATGTGAGTTAGCTCACATGGCCCCACTCTCATTGACGGCACAGAGGTTGAAAATACATCTTATGTCAAGTACCTTGGGCTGAGTTTTTCCACCGATCTTTCCTGGTCTCCCCACATCTTGCTAGTTACTAGAAAGATGTTTCGCTTAACGTTCTACATTAGGAAATTTAGGCAGTCTGGCATAAACCAGTCTTTACTTTCTCAGTTTGTAAATTCTTGTATTCTACCCATCCTCCTTTACTGCTCCCCATTAGTCTTTCCTGGACTACTTAAGAAAGACTTTGCTTCGCTGAGAAGAGCACTGAAAGCTGTTAGTAGGGCAAGTGGGATATCGTTAAACCAACTGGTGAACACTATCGTAGATAGACATATTATATCATGTAAGAAACTAGCAAATACAATATTGTCAGACCCCGAGCATCCTCTCTATACTCAGCTCTCTCCTTGCATTTCATCTGGAAGAACTAGAAGCAGCTATAGGAGGCTATATGCTAGGACTACCAAATACAAAAAGTCCACAATACCATATCTGGCACAGCTGTTATGTGATGAGAAATCCGTTAGGTATGACACGATAAACTTACTGCGGCACTCTAACAAATAGTCCCATTAGTTTTTGTTTTCCTTTCCTCGTTACTACTACACTGTTGTTCTCATTTACTACCACACATCAACTTTATATTTCAAATCCTGTGTTGCATTGTTTGAAATGAAATACTCTACGTTGTTTTTTTCTTAATTTCTAATATTTATTTATTTTATTTATTTATAACTTATTTATTTTATTTTTATTTATCTTTGATTTTTAAAAATCTTATATAATTTATGAGGTAATTAGATGCAATATACTGTAATGCACGCTGAAAATTCCATACCTGTACCACAAATACTGTTTGGAATAAAGCTATTATTATCATTATCATTAACAAATTAAAACAAACTTCAGGTCACGTGAAAAGGGTGAAAACATGTTGCTAGGATATAACGCAAAAACCTCCTACAAGAGGTCAATCGCGAGTCCAAAGAGTTCATTTATAACGTCTCTGACTACAGCACTGGTTGAAGCGGGTTCGAGTATCAGAAGGAACATGAGTTCCTTCAAGAGAGTAGATATGCCTTGCTGACTGTTGAGTGCCAACAAGCAAGAGATCTACTAGGTCCAAGACTTTCTTCTTGCCTATTTCCTTAAACCATCAAATATAAACTAAAAGCATCACTAGAATACAGATTATTATTATAACCATGACTACTTTTTCAGCATCACGTAAGGAGACGGGAAAAAAAAACAACACGGCAACATATCCCATAAAAATATTTCATTATCCACTTTTGAACACATTACGATTAATAAACAAACAAATTATTATTATTTATTGATTTTATTTACCTTAAAATCCATTTCGATGATGTATACGTCGATAAACACAATTGTATAAATGATAAACATGAATGCATAAAACTTTTCCGGCCAATTACATCAATCACCAAGTGATAAATATGCTTGCCTTGTATCCAATTTGAGTGTGAATTCATCAGTAAGTAAACAACCCGATCAAATATCACATTCCATATAGGATGAATAATCTATAATCAACAACAACAACAACAAAAACTTATAAAAACAAACAAACATGGGAATAAAACTGAAGAAATTAAAAACAAAACAGCAGTAAAACTGATAAAGCAGCAGTCCAGTACTCCCAGGTTTTTTAATGGTTTTCTAGCTGATGCCAGCCCATGATGAAATCCTCCAACCAAAAAAAGATAACGCTAAAAACAACATGTTTATTATCATAATTTTATGATCAAAGAATTCTTTTACACATCCTATACATCTATATAGCGTAATAGCGATCAATCGGTAAACTCCATACCATTATTTGCGTCGATAAATTTGAATAACTGAAGATAGAAAATATGAATTCTTTTTGCGTTATTCTAATCAGTAATGATCAATATAAAATCTTTTCTGAAACACTATCGCACAGAAAATGCTAGAGACATACTGGATTACAGTGAAACTAAAACACCAACTGTTGTAAACTATGATGATTGTTGTTGTGTTGTTATATCCTGTAATTCCTAGAGGAACATAGGGCTTCAGCCCCACGTCTCCATTGCCTTCCGTTTTCTGCCAACTTTTTCACCCCGCTCCAAGTCTGCCCACATGCTTTCATCTCCTCTTCACATCACCTCCTCCAAGTCACCCTTGCACTGACGACCAACTCGCCACCCGCTTCCCTTTCGCGTACCAATCGAGCAATGGCTTATCTAGTGATGTCACTTGATGGTTTCCTCAGAGTATGGCCAGCCAATCCATTCCCATTTCTTCCTGCCTATTTGTTTCACAATCGGTTCCTCCTACGTTGGTCCGCTCATCGCCAGAGATCCCACCCTGTTGCTGATCATTTCTGACCGGCCATCTGATCTTGAGTATTGAGCGAAGACAACTGTTAATGAAGGTCTGAAGTTTGTTTGAGATTCTCTTTATGACACGCAATGCAAGTCTCTGATCCATATAGTGAGTAGCACTGACTGACTTCACATTGGAGTTGAAAATCCGGATCTTATTTTTGATGGTGAGTGTTGTGGACCTCCACACAGACTTAAGAGTAATGAAAGCTTGTCTTGCTTTTCCGATGATCCTCGCTTTGATATCCTCGTCAGTTCCGCCCGCCTGTAGTTGAAACGATGCTTCCCAGGTTGGTGGGTAGGTGAAGGAGGTTGTTTCTTTCAGGTTCCTCCCATTTATGCTGCCTCATTGTCGTCTGTTGTTGTTGTTGGTGGTGATGGTGTTGGTCAGTAATCTTTATCACCTCTGTTTTCTCTATGTTCACTTGAAGTCCTATCTTTGATGCTTCTTCTGTCAGCTTGTTGCTTTTCCCTTGCTTATCTTCCAGTTTGTGGGAAATCAGACATATATCATCGGCGAAGTCCAGATCCTCCAAGTTTTTTGTGTGAGTCCATTTTATGCCTGTTTCCTCATTGATGATGCGAGGGTTTTATTCTGACAGAACCAACTGAACGACGGATAGTTGTTAAGCTATAATCTCCGGGAATTTACTCTAAACTTTGATACGTCTATGATGTGTACCAGTTAGGATAAATGTGATCTGTTACGAATCTCAGACTATATTGGACAGCTTTTTTACATCGATGGAGGAGTTTATGATAAACCATTTTATAAGCCGGCAAGTTTCATCATCCGGTCATCAGTTCATATTAAGCATAGAATTAGTCTTATGACAACACTCTAATTGGCGTCTGCGTCTACCCCTCCCCCAACCAGGCCCGGATTATCGGTGTCTGGGGATCGTTTATACAATGTACGTTCAAGTGATCGACTATTGACTTTGAGGCTTTTTTCTTAAGCACACTAGGGGGCACAGCTCATTTGTGAATCACAATCAAATCCTGGAACACTTAATCCTATTCAGCTTCCGAACGACGAACTACAGACTCATTCGAAAAGTTTTGTATGTGAAATGTATACAAAAAAAACTTTTTAAGAAGGGAATTATGACATAAACTGTGAAATCATTTCGATACTCGACGACCAACTGGAATAACTGAGTCTAATAAGCGTCACATTATGTCCATGCTAAAATCTCTTAATTTTAACCGCGAACCACTACACGAAGATCACTTCCTCTTATCCCCATAAAAAGCCATGTAAATAAGCATAAATATAACACTGTAAGCAGGACATTACCACTTCAGATTTATCATTGCCATCAATCGGTGAATTCATTGGATTAATACTACTGCTGTTGTTATTATTAGTACTGCTACTGCCGTGACCAGTAGTATTAGCGGCAGTCGCTGTTGCTTTTGGCAATGGATTCGGTAGTAATTCAATCAGATGTGATATTAGATTAGCAACTAGCTGGTAGTCATCTTCGATAAATTGTATTGTATCATCAGTACATGCATAAGACCCAATATTACTTTGTTGATTTTGATCCACAGAGTTATTTGACATGCCAGTGAGTGCATTACGCCGAACACGTATATCTGATTCATTGGTTAGCTGACGTTCAATTCGCCATAGATCAAGATCACAAACTAAATCTTCAAATGCTGGATGATCAATGGACGGGAATGTCTGTAGAGAAAAATAACAAGTTTGTTTTAATGTATGTATGTTCGAAAAAGCTTTGAGGAAAAGTTGAGAAAACACTTAAATAATAAAGGTGTCATCATAAACTAAAGACACACAATTCAGAAGTATTACACAGCTATTTCATCCGAGCTTAAAAATTCCAGTAGTAGTAGAAACGTATTGAATCCTACACAATCAGGTTTTGGTGACACTTTTGAGTATGTCTCAGGTAAATAACAACAAAACCTATACAACACATACTGATTTTCACCTTTCAGTTACTCCTTGACTGACATTCCTTTTTTTATACCCGATAGGCAAAACGTAGAACCGGAGGCAAAAAAAGCTTAGTGGTAACGTTCGGGACTGCAGCATTGTGTGACGTGGATCTCTGCGAAAAGACATCACTTCTTTTAGGGCTGCAGATACGGTTTGCTGACGAATGTCACAAAGCACGAAAACTAGATCTACAATTTTCTCGCGATCGCCTCCAGCTATTTCTTATAAATACATCTATTCAACTAGCTATGGGATCAAAATTTTCAATCATGAAATTACACAGTTCTAGGCAAAAATTAACCACAATTTCCTTCGAAAACCTAAAGTGTTCAGATAAAAATATGTGATCGAATTAATATTTATTTATTTTAACTATAGCTTGATTCCACATCTTTTTTGGTGGTACAAGTATGGAGTTTTCAGCATGTGATATCGGTAGCCCAAATTTTGCAAGGGATCGAACCCCAAACCATGTGCATGGTCGGCGAGAGTCCCAACCACTGTGCTACCGACACACATGTCATAATAAGAAAGAAGCAAGCAATATGACTTGATATTACCAAACAATCCGCTAGCAAGAATTTGGCTGGTCTGAACTGTTAGGTCTAACCGCATGGGCTAAGTGATGGGTTCGATCTCAGATGACCACAGCAATACTTCAGTATCTAGACTCCTTCAGTGAGCTTGTAGAAAACCATACTGCACAACACGAGTTGTTATTTCCAAATACCCATATAAAACCAGTGGTAAATGTATACCCCCACAATTAACCCGAGAACAGATTGATAAACTTCAATGGGTGAGAATGACTACGCAGAAAGGAAGGACAATGACGTCAATGCAATGAGTAGTGGCCGATATCATTCATCTAGTCCGTGGTGTTGGTGCAGAGTGAATTCCATCAGTCAAGTCTGAAATGTGGTCGAAATGCTAGACGGCTCGTCATCACAGTTCACTCTGAACTGTCGTTATTAGATGGATGCATAAAGTCCTGGATCTATGTTTCGTGCTTTTTGGTACTCATCAGAATTTACTCTGAGCCAATAGCAGATGACGCATGATATCAGCTGCTACCAACCTTAGTGTCGAGTCAAAGGTACCCATTACTGTTTTACAGGAGATCGATCGGTAGTCTAAATAGTTTAGTGGTAACGTCTCTGACTGCAGCGCTGGGTCAGCTGGGTTCGAACCTCAAAAGGGATATGACTTCCTTCAAGATTGTTCAAAATCTCGTAAATAATTAGGAGTAAATACAAGTGATTCATCACTGTAGACTATTTTCAACCACATCACCAAGTATCGATTCATACATCCACTGAGCAGGAAAAAAACAATTTAAACTAATAAAATTTATCCATAGAACATTTTTTCTCAAAAAGAAAAAAAATAAATATCTGACTAACCTGATATGTTAAGGATTTATCAGCCCACGAATTCATATTCAACGCTAAACTAAGAATTGAATCCAATATTCTGGTGGTTAATAAATGCCGTTTACGTCTTAGTAGGACAGCATATATCTATAAAAATGAAAATAAGGTAAGATATATAGGCATAAAATTATGAACAGACTTCTTACTTGATAGCCTTGAGTTCTCAACATTTCAATCGATGCAGCAGGATTAGACTTGAGCAGTGTACACGCTGCTTTATTTGAAGCATACAGCGTTTCAACATCTTGTGACATAGCAATTAATGCTAAACCGATTCGCATGCCTTCACCACCTGTTACACAATGAATCAGTCGACAAACAGGACTTGGTGTAAACGTTCGTACACCTTGATAGCCGACAAGTACTGCGCCGAGTGGTCTAGCTGGACCATTAAGATGTAAAGCTGAATTACGTAATATACGTATAGGCGTAGCATTCTCTTTAAGCGATAAATAAAACTAAACAGAGAGAGAGAAAGAGAGAGGGAAGGAGAACGAATTAGCAAAACATAAATACATACCAAATAAATAATTCTAAACTGGTTGATCACAAGAACAAGTTAGATTTTATTGTGCTTACCAAAGACAGTGTGTGTGGGTGTGGCGGGGGGGGGCTGATGTGTTGTAGTTGCCTACGCGCAAGTAGACGAAAGTGGACTTGAACGCAGGACTCAATGTGACTGGAAGCTGAGTGTTTAAAGTCGCCTCTCGACTTTGTTAAGCAGTATACAAAATAATTATTAAGAATAGTGTCCATCATATGTAATTATTAAACAGGTTTATAAACACGATGAACTAGATGAGGTGTTATTATTAAAATTAAATAGCGAGATGTCATTAAAACCAATATCGTTTGGTTTTTCATTCATTGGGAAATACAAAAATCTTTATTATAGATGAGGTATTGTTTACACGTATTGAAAAAATGTTCACCGGGCACGCTGAGGTCCCAGTTCGATTCCCGGTGGACATACTCGTTGTAATCTAGCCAGTTGTAAGTTCAAAAGCAAGGGAAGATTGAAAACGAGGCGAGCAACCCTACTCCAAATAAAAAACAGTAACACCGTTACTGGAACTTCAATAATTTGATGAACCCCAAAGTTCCAGTCGGAAGGCATGGAAGGATAAAAAATGGAAAACTTTGAATTCATACAATGTTGTACTGAGCAGTAAAAAGTATTCACTACCAAGATAACAGATGCTTCCGCCTAATGGTCAACACACATCCACGGATGATTATTTTCACTTCGGGCGACACAGACCATAGACCTTTGTTTTTATAACCTTAACTGTATAACTGCGTATTTACTGATCTACATCAACATGGTAATATTGTCGTAGGAAAAAGCCACAAATGTTTGTTTAAGCTCAATAATATTTAACAAATTTCTCATGTACTAGGCTAAGAGCTACACTTATCATTTGAGGGTTAACGATACCAGCTAGTTCCCGGAGCAGGACTCGAATTCGTGACCCATCGACTGAACACAGAGTGCTGAAGACGATGAAATACAGCTCTAAAGAAAGGCTTGTAACTGATGACAAACAAATGTACGATGCTTATATTGATCCCAATGAATAGAGTTGCAACAATCGCCTTAACTAATGATAATGATTTAACTTTAAACAAGATCATATTTATCGGTATGACAAGATACATCTGATGGTGGAAAACAAATTCAAAATGTATAAACTTTTGATTTTTCTGCAATTCCAGCATTCATTATTGAAGTGATTCATCTGAAAAATATCGGGTTCGAATCTATATCCGCTCACTTTAGTCTGATAGTAGCGACAGACTGTTGTCTGGGTTAACTTAGGTATTAGATAATATCTGGGGAACACAGATAGTTCCGTTGGACTGATTTAAGTCATTGATTATCCTGGTTTATGAGGAAAACACGTCTTCCTGTGGTAATCATGGCAGGTTCAGTTTGACTAGTATGTTATCTAAAATCTTGGGTTAAATAATCATGCGCACATTGAGTTGTGTTCTGGAGAAACAAACACAAAAAAATCAGGTAGGCTTTATACCGAGGTGTATTTGATAACATCTTCACCCGTCGGCAGATTCTAGAACACATACATTTACTGAGTCCAACACCTACCATATTTCTTGAGCTGAAGGCGGCATTACACCCTGTTGACCGACAGTGGTTATAGCAATGTTTGACTGTGAAGGGATTGCTGAAAATATTAGTTGCATCTATGAAGCCACTCTACTCGAATTCAGCCAGCCACGTACGACCTCATGGAGAGTTATAATCTGAATTGATGATAACTAGTGGTTTCCATTTGGGATGTCCACTGTCTCCGTTATTATATATCATAGACGTACACTAGTGGGATTAATCGCAAATGACTTTAGTTACCTAGGGATTTACCTATCACTGGGGAAGAACCTCGTCGACTTAGACTATGTGAATAACATCGTCTTGCTAGCTGAAGACACTGATAAAACACAGCCTTTTCTAGATACCTTGAGCAGAAATCTTCACTTGACTCTGTCAAACGTAAGATGACGCTACAAAATTGGAATACAGCGGCTCCTAACTTGAAGATAAGGAGTGAAGTGGTAGAGCGCGTTGACCGTTTCGCTTATCTAGGAATCTGAGTCAGCTCAAAGGGCTGATAGCTGACAAACTTGAACTGCTACACTTTTGGGCAAAAGTTATGTTGAAGCTCAGTCAGTCCCTTTAACCTGCGTAAATGCTTCATAGTCTGTCTGTCTGTCTGGATTCAACATAGAACTTGGCACCGAAGTGCACCAGTTCGAGTTGCCACGTTCCAAATAGCACACAGAGGTAGACAAGAAGATGAGTGAAGAGAATCAATAGAGTCTGACAAGTATAAGAGTGAAACAGAATGGGTAATGGTAGAAAGGAATATGAAAGATTACAGAGACTGAATACATCTGCGCTGGCCATTGACAACGATTTTGAGCCATGTCACCTATTGTCTCCAGCCATTGATTCCTAGAGTCCCGAGGGCCCCAACCCGGAGTCTGCATCTCCCTACCTGACTCAGTTTAACTGTCAAGGATTTCATGGATTGATGAGCCATGTTTTTGTTTGGCCACCACTGGCTCTTTTCCAACCTGCACCTATATCAGCTAGTAATGCCCGTCGGGGGAGGCGGTGGTTAGGCATGCGCAGCACGTGACCTAGCCATCTTAGTCTATGTAACTTTATAGCCTCGTCGATTGATTTTCCCTCTTTGCCCAACACTCTACGCCTAACGTCAACATTACTTACCTTGTGAAACCACCTAACGTGAGACAGAGATCGCAGACATCTATGATCGAAAGCAGTCAACCTTTTCATGTCTTCAACGCGTATTGGCCATGTTTCAGAGCCATAGAGAAGGACGGAGCGAACTGATGAGCAGTACACACGTCCCTTGGTTGATAACCGGATGTCACGCCTACGCCAGAGATGGTGTAAGTCAGCGAAAGCAGCTCGAGCTTTTCGGATCCGTGCTGAGATTTCATCGCCAATCAGTCCGTTGGTGCTAATACAACTTCCCAAATAGGTGAAGTGGTCAACATGTTCTATCACTTCACTCCCTATCACTAAGTTAGGGGTTGACGTCGTCCAGTCCTGTAGCAGCATCTTACATTTTGTAGGGGCGAATCGCATGCCAAACATACGAAGATTGCTGCTCAAGGTGTTCAGAAGACTCTGCATTTTGTCAGCATCCTCCCCTAACAGGACTATGTCATCTGCATATTCTAAGTCCATAAGATTATTCCCTGGTAACAAGTCGATTCCTAAGTCATTACGTTCAGTTAAGGATACTTCCATCAGCATATCTATGATGAAGTTAAACAGAAATGGGGAAAGTGGACATCCCTGTCGGACACCACTGGTTGTTACCAATTCAGATGACAATTCCCCATAAGCCCTTACACGACTACGTGAGTTTGAATAGAGTGCCTTGATTAGTGCAATGTACTTTCTTGGCACTCCCTTCACAGTCAGACATTGCCATAGTACCTTTCGATCCACGGAGTCGAAGGCCGCCTTCAAGTCAAGAAATATGACAATTGTTGGACGCCGAAAAGTGTGTCTATGTTCTAGAATCTGTCGAAGAGTGAAGATATGATCTATGCACCCTCTACCTGGTCTAAAGCCTGCTTGATTTTCCCTTGTCTGTTCCTCCCGAGTTCTGCTTAGTCTATGCATGATTACTGAGCCTAGGATTTTAGAGACTATGTTCGTTAGGCTGATCCCCCTATGATTATCACACGAGGACTTGTTTCCCTTCTTGAATATCGGTATAATAAGTGACTTACCCCAGTCTGATGGCACTGTCTCTGATTCCCAGACTTTGCCTAGTACCTCAGTTAATCTACAAACTAGTATGTCACCCCCATATTTAAACACCTCCGGAATAATTCCGTCGGGTCCTGCCGCTTTGCCTCGTTTCAAATTACTGATAGCTTTTGTGACCTCACTTACAGACGGCGGACCAGTGTCTATATCCCATTCGGGTGTGTTCTGGATGTCGGGGAGGTTCAGTGTGGCTGTAGGCAAGTTAAATTGTCCCTCAAAGTGTTCTTTCCAGGCGTCTATCCTGAGAGCTAATTAAGGAGCCATTTTTCTCAGAAATAGTCTCACTTATGATTTGCCTTCTCCCACCCGTTTCCCTGATGAGTCTAAAGAGTTGCCTAGTGTTGCCTTCATAGTCTGCCAAACGGAAAATACGTTCTGATTAACTGAGTTCCAATCGGTCACATGCAACCAACAATACGAAAATAAACGACATGGTTTCGTGAAAAAAAACTATCGTGAATCAACTAGTTTAGGAAGAAAAAAGACACGTTAATCTTACTACATAGGGAGTATACTCATTTTTTATAAGCAAAAATAAGACTATTGATTTTTAGATTGTTTCAAATAAATGGTATTTTTGTTTTATTGGATCGATAGAATCGACTTTAAATGCTGATAGGATATTCGAAATCGTGTATAAATAGCAAGTTAATTTTTCAACAATTTTTCATTTTGTCTAGTTGGTAACAACACTTCAGTTAGTACTACTCCATGAAATTAATTGACTTCGCATAATTTATATTTTCAGAGATGACTAACTTGGGCAACCTAAATTCCTGAGTGTTCGAAAGAAAAACACACCCACTCATCTATCAAAAACTATCGCTTTCTTATTTTAAAATTTTAGTCCTTTGCTTTCGCAGTAGAACACAGGACTTCGAACTTGAGCTTTGAAGTTTCATTAGTAGTGGGTGTTTATTCTTCTTACACGGTGGTGTCACTAGACTCACGCCCGATTTTCCTATTTTTATAAGGATAACTACCGTCTATGCGAGATTAAGGATCGAGTCGACCGTGGATTAAATCCCGGACCACACGCGTGATTGGCGAGCACCGTGTCTCTGAACTACCGATGCGGTGAGTCTGTGTGGCTTATCGAGTTAGCCACTCAACTTCAGACAACAGGTCCAGGTTCGAATAGCATACAATCTTCTTCAGCATGTGTATCTGATTAAGTAGTACATCAATCCTAATACAAAAATTATTCACACCTTAATATGATTATGCACAATAAATTGTACAAGAAACATTTTCAGTAAATATAACTGTGCAACAAACACTGTGTGACTTTATCAAAAAAAAATGTTATCCATAATAGAATTATACTCTACCACAATGCCTAAGTTTTATCCTTACATGTACAGGGAACATATGTTCTGATTGAGTGACTTCAAACAAACAAACAAATATCACAAAACCATATTGAGTTGATGACATATGTGCCATAAACTTACTTGTCTTGCTATCGCTTTAGCATCACATTGGTTATAAACTTTACGAATTCTATTCAATGTTAAAGTGGACAGATTACATGCATATATGCCGAAGACAAGTTTATCTTCTGAAAACAATGGAAAATGTGATTCATCCACATCTGGTCGGACAAATGCTACAATCACAATAAATGGACCAGAGAGAAAAAAACAGTAACAATTTAATACTAGTACTATCATGCGTGGTATGCACCAATGTACATATAACAAGGACAAATGTTACATTATATATATATATATATATATATATATATATATATAATTCTCAGTAACTTAGATCAAAATTATGTTAATCGTATTATACCAGAAGGGATCAACACAACAAGTATATGGTGGTAGAGAAAAAGCTTCTTAGACAGATTACAACCAATGCGGATAAAATGTGACAATCTTATGCGTGTTCTGCGCTTGTATCACCGGTTTCATTGTCTTTCATTGCTCTGAATAAAACGATGAATTATTCGTTTTATTTACAGTTTAGTTCATTATCTGATTTCTACTAAAGACATAGTCGTGCATACAACACTGGTGAGAAATTCTTTTCAGTAGCTGACACCACACTAAATATGATGCCTGAAACACGACAGGTACAAACAATTACTAAAAGTAAACGTGTTATTTAAAAAAAAATATCTTCCATTGGTTTGCTTTTGATTATGAGATACTGTCTGTCTGTTTTCAACACAGAACTTTGCACCGATGTACAGCAGTTCAAGTCGTCACACTCCATGTAGCACACAAAGCAACACAAGAAAGTACAAGAAGAGCAGAACAAAGACGGTAAAGAGGTGTGAGATGATGGAATAGTAACAACGAAGAACAATATAGTTTCACTGGAAATCATAAGTCACAGGGAGTGGATACATCTGCACCAGCCATTGAGAACGATTTTGAGCCATATCACCGATTGTTTCCAACAATTGGTTTTACCGTCCGGAAGACCCCAACCAGGAAGTCTACACCTTCCTGCGTGGCTTCAAATAACTGTTGTGAATTTCATTGATTGGTGACATGTTTTGTTTTGACCACCACTAGATAGTACTTTTCCGGCCTGACCAATCCTATGTCAGCTAACATTGCCCAAAGTCGAGGAAGGAGATGACTAGGCATACGTAACACATGCCCTAACCATCTCAGTCAATGTAGCTTCACAGCCTCATCGATTGATTTCCACTTCCTCCTTACCTAGCACCCGACGCCTCACTTCAATATTCCTCACATTATTATACCACTTAACACACACGGGAGATAGACCGCAGGCACCTATGATCAAAGACAGCTAATCTTTTCATGTCTTCCACTCTCAATGGCCAGGTCTTACAGCCATAAAGGAGGACGGAGCGGATTGATGAGCAGCACACACTCCCTTTGGTCGATAGTCAGCCGGATATCACGTCTACCCCAGAGACGGTGTAAACTGGCATATGCGAAACCAGCCCTCTGTATTCGCGTTGATATTTCGTCAGAGATCAACTCGCTGGCGCTGATTGTACTTCCCAAATAAGCGAAGCGGTCAACGTGCTCTACCACTTCACTTCCTATTTCTAATCTAGGAGTCGGTGTAGTCCAGTCCTCTAACATCATCTTGCATTTGGTGGGAGAGAATCGCATGCCAAACATTCGTAGATTGCAGCTCAAGGTGTTTAGAGATACATTGCTTATTCAGTTCATAGAGCAAAAAAGTCAATCACTATGTCAACGAATTGGTCCATACCTTTCTTACACAAGAGAGTAAGAGTATTAGTACCACCAAACTCCAGAAAGAAAAACAACATATCCTCTATTCAAGGTTATCAAATATATACTGCCTAGGATAACCAGCTTAAATGGCACAATAACAACCCACCCTCTACCTCCCTAGAATAAAATAAACAACCACCTGAGTAACAATATTTCTCCATCATACCAAAAGAAACAATCCAACTAATAATTTTCATCAAATATCCGTGTTCAAGAAATTAAAAACTAATACTACCAAGAGAAAATCTTTAAAAGATGTAGTAGTTAATGCTGACTGGGAATGTGATTTGTCAACTCCGTTGAGTCGGCTTTCAATCAGTAAGTATAGCAAGCATGAATCTGCCTGACAGGGTTTGTGTCAGACCTCAACACACGATATTTGTACGACAATAACATGAGCATGTTCACACAAATGGTCAATAGGTTATATTAATATTGTATTAATAATTGCTCCCTTGGGTTTCAAGTGGAACATAGCGCTATAACAAAACATCTCCATTTGGTTCTATTTTATGCTATCGTTTTTAACTAAGCCAACGATTGCTAATAACCCTTCATCTCCTCCTCGCACGATAACCTCCTTGTCACCCTAAGACGATCCACTCGTCATTTCACATTCGGATTCCACTCGGGCGGTGGTCCGGTAGTTGATGTCATTCAACGGTCTCTTAAGAGTAGGTCCAATCCAGCTCAATGGTTTACATTTAATACCGTGAACAATCGATACCCCATCGACATACTTGTTCACCTCATCTTTCTGGTGATAAGCCCTAAAAAGAAGGAAGGCCTGACGTGAGGCTAACAAACACCAACACCACAATTAACTGGAAATTCAAAGCTTGGTAAAACCGCAGTTTCCGTTTGGAATGCGTAAGGAATGAAGAAAACACGATATAATAATCACCGATGTCATTTGGTTGTGTTGTTTAGCTGCTTTTATTGCCATCACACAATGGATATCACGTATATACACATCTGCTTACAATACTATGAATAAGAAACTGTCAGGCTATCAAACCTAAATGAAGCGTAGATTTAAAAACAAACAAACAAACAAACCGACAAATTGGCTAGATAAATGCATAACATGAAAATTTGAATAAAACAGCTTTCGTCTGACTTCATGCCTGACTGACTGCATGACTAACTGACATGAATGTATGAATGCAAAAAATTTTACACCACCACCACCATATTTTCCTATGCATAATATATCATTTGTTACATATTTTTTTCTTTCTTTGTAAGTGGAACTAATCCCTTAATATTTTATAGAATTAAAAAATGTCTAAAGAATGAATGAATTGACGAAATAAATTATGTTGTTGTTTTCATTATTAGGACTAACTGAACAATGCAACATAAATGAAGATACTATAATTAACACTATTAATAACATTAACGTTGAATAACACCACAGAAACACAGACACCAAGTCGCTGAATTCAACCCAAAGTGGAAGCAACACCAGTGAGCGTCAGTCCGAGGTTGATATGGAGGAGACCATGTAAGTAGTAAACGATAAACAGATGTTGGGTAATCGTGTAGCGTGATACGAAATAAGGACAGGAGAAGATAGAATACAAAAGAGATGTGTTGCTGAGATCCTTTTATTCACTTAGAACTCCAGAGGCGAGTAGTATAATCAATATGATAATTATTAACGTCATTATTCGGAATATGAATTTATGGCAGGGATTTGGATTTATCTAAACGTTGGTTTCGTCATCAACCAATATCGGTTTGAAAGATGATTAAAAAAACCAAGGATTACAGGTAAGCCTGTTTCGTCCTAGCTTGGGAGTCTTTAGGGGAGTACTTCATGACCACATCAGAGAACGAACCTAGGGCTTTCAGATTATAAAACCTAGCTCACTAACTTTTCAACCACTTGGGCTGGAATTCAATGAATAATGATAAAGTGTTACCCTGAAGCTGTCCTCAGAGGTCGAGGCCAGTGGGGTACACTATGTTAAGGTGAAGTAGACACTAAACGATAGTAGAGTTTGATGATGGTGCTATATAATCAGTTGACAAAGTTAGAATTCATGAGTCAGTGAACTCCAGTCCAAGTAGCGAAATGGTCAACTAGCTTTGATTTTGTAACCTGAGGGCCCTGGCGTTCGACCAATTGGTGGGCTGGCTTCATGTGTGTGCACTGCTAAAGAGGCGTGAACTAGGACGAAAAAGAGATGATTAGTGGACAAGGAATACTGTTTTCGAGAACTTTTTCATCAGTTCCAAAAGTTATATGTCCATAATAATTAAGGAATTAGTGTTATTTAAGAGATCAATGTATTAAATATCATCCAGTCAATAAATGACAGTTCCAAATGTATCTGTAAGTGATAATATGCAGCAATACAACACTAAACTGAATATCAGTTAAATTAACAAAAAAAATGATAGGGAATTTATGAATTTATACGTTCCACGGCAGGCCACAGTAGTGATGGTGGTTGGACCGGTTTCTTTTGCACATAGAGCTCCGGTCGATTCACACGAATTGCAATGAACTCTGCTGTGTCGTATATTCGATATCTTCACGCTTTTAGTAATTTATTTCGTACGCGATAGATGGTCCCTAATACATCTTTATATAGCTACACTGGTAGATGTTCCGGAGCGCGAATAACCATGTTCTTAGTGCAACGGGCAACACAACTGGTTGAACTGACGGATACAAAAAGAGGCAGCTAGCACAGGTACTTCGCCTTTCAATTGAAGAATCACAACATTTATATAACAATAACCCGAACAAAACAGACAAATTTAATAAACTCATTAAAAGCAGTACACAGAGTGCATTACAAATGTGATGAGAGCAGGCTGATAGCCAATTGGTAGACATTAATCTATGTCAATGTCTACGTCACTAATATTGGCCGTGAGAAAATATGAACAAGGCTGATTCAACAACAATCACAGCAGACTTAACGTGGGCAAATATAATTCGCAGAGAGATGGCCTCACTTTCCCAGAAACCCGAAAACAACCAATCAGAAGACTGTGTTTGTCTGCTTAACTTTCCGAGAAACCAGAAACAACCGATCAGAAGACTGTGTTTGTCTACTTGAATAAGCTATAATAATGTACAGGAAATATATATAAATAAGTGTTGATTTCCGTAATAAAACGATCAGTTGCCGGCCCTTGTCTTCTGTTGTTACACAAGTAGTATTCAATGTAAGTAAACACCTCAAAACTTATGAAATACATAATCAGGACAATATTTCAACATGATCCTTCTTATCTGTTTGATATATCACAAGAAAAGTTCATCAACATGTGATCAGCACATTTATTTGCTTTCAGTTTTCTTTCGTTTTACCTTATACACAAAGTTGTTGAAATTGTCATCTTTAGCAGTGTAGATAAAATTTTGAAACATGTGAATGACCTTGTATCATGGTTTGATTGGTTGATCGATCCATTAGTACAACCAATCAATGGGGAGATCATATTCATTTTGAGTAAGCTGAAATAAAATGACGTTTCGGAATGATTTAGAATCACTCAAATCAATATCAGTATTCATCAAAACAGTTTACACTTTCATGCCTTAAATAAAGTATGCTGTTTTAATAGCAGACAGTTATTGGTATGAAGTGCAACTTATATATAAACAGATCACAGACAATTGACAGCCAATTTGTGAAACGACAAATTCATAAAAAAGGATTTATGCCAAACATAGGCAGACAGACACGAACACGCAAAAATCCACAGACACCGATTACAACGAATACTACTTACACGGCATTGAAGGCACAGCTTGAAAACTACCCATATAATTTGGTCCTAGCTTTGTTATTATAGCAACACGATTAGCGGTCAATGGTTCTTCAATAAAATGAAATGGACCAATTTTCCATAACAGTTTACTAGATCTACGCATAGATGCAGGTGTGCCAATGAAACCACACAATGATGATGACATGATATTACGTCCAAGTGCACTGGATGCAGACGATGCACCAATGTAAGTGACCTATATAAAGAGATATGCAGAGAGAGAGTAACTTTGGAATCTACACAGTATTCGTAAGCGAAGTATTGATACGCTTGTACTTAGGACTTGTAAAAACCCGTCAGAACAAATTTGGAAAAATTTAAAATTCCAAAACAGTGAACCTGAGTGGTGTACACTAGTCCCCTAGTCACCAGTCAAACAGTCGAAGGATCATGTCACAAATGAATGCCTGAAATAGGCTTTTCGTGTATTCAGGTTATGAATAACACATATTGCGTGAGGATTCGCAATACTATCCAGTTACCCAGACTAAACTAGGCAAACAGGCATTAAGACTGGCCAACGCGCCACACCATATTATGATTGTGCGCTCTGTTTGGTATGTATGACGAAATCAGTGAAGCAATGAATGTAGTTTGACAGGGAAACACCTTTAAATTCAAAGCTAAATAAAACAAAAACTGAGTGTTATGCACTGGTTTTCAAGGGTTTGATTTGTTACAGAACTGACTACAAGCTGATATCAATCAGGGAACTAATTGAAAAACAGGGAGCAGTGCCCACTGATCGGAATTCAAACCCAGGACCTCACGGTTACAAGATGAGCTTGTAGATCATCCATTCAACTACTAGGGTCCGATCCAATGACACATGAATCCCAACTATTGTCAAAACTAAGTAGACTGGAGAAGAAGTGGTCCAGGAGTCATAAGATAAATTATCAGTCTCACAATAATAAAAAAGTGTCATCGACAGTCTTGTTGGACAGATGGAAACTGATCATCAGTTAAAATGACGCAGACTATTTTGATTGCTTGTATCCCGCCCAATTCACAACTAATCAGAAAGTGTTTCATCATCACGATCATTAACGTCTACGTGGTAGCACACCTATTGGACATTATAACTCAACATCACTTAAGCAAATATTAGAAGTAGAAAGGCTAACTTTCCTCTACACAAAGCAAGATAAAATAAGAAAAAACGGCCATTAGTGGAATTATAATAATTACTATTTGTTCATTTCACTCTGTTGTCTGATGACTTTTTCAACAGACGTCACAACCACCCACGAGTTTTCAATACCCAAAAGAGTAGACTATATTAAATCAACAATATTTTTAAATGGAAAAATGGAAAAACTAGAAAAAAAAATCAAAATTATCCCTATTGCTTTTCACCCTTTTTAAAAGCTTACATTTTTTATAGTTGGTTTGTAAGGATTAGTTTTGTTTTTACAGGTTGATCACTGATTGATATCAGTCAGAGAACCATTGAAAACCAGGGAGTATTGGACAGCTGTTTCATCCTGGTGTGGGAATCATCAGCAGTACGCAATCCCCGAGGTTCGAACCCAAGACCTTCAGGTTACAAGGCAAGCTCGTATGCCATTCAGCCACTGGGACCCGATTCAATGGCCAGTGGATAAATTCTAACTTCTACCGCGATGGAGTTTCCTGGATATCTAGTGAGAAGTCGTGACCAGTGAGGTCCATCCACTCACGCGTGAGGATAGATGTTTCCACCAACGACATTGGTTGGGGTCGCGCTAAATCACGAACTTAACTACGAACTGTTAGTTAATAAGTCTTTCGATTTCCAAGTGCTTGTTTTACCGGGGTTGAAACTGTCGACTACTATTGGCATACCGACCCCCCGCCTCATAATTCAAACACATCGATGATCCATGAGGATGGCTTAATGTTACTTGTGTGATGTTGGTTAGCACAGACGACAACTTCTATAACTCAGTGGCTTACAGTGAATAACACTCTGATACATTTAAAGCGATGAATGTTTGGTTCGAATCTCATAGACTACACAAAAGCTCACTTGCATGAAAGTAAATCTAGATGAAGTCACTAACATGACGAAATGTTCATCTTAGATTCCTTTGTGATCATGTCAACTTCAAGGATTTTTTTGTTTATAATTGGATAACAAATGAATTTGAGCAGTAAAAATAATATTTTCATATTAGCGAGACAAAACGAAACTTACTCTACGGCTTCCAATGAAATGACCATCTAGGTATAAACTACACGAACTAGTCTTGATCATACCAGCTCGATTGAACACAACAACAACATGACGCCAAACATCTAATGGCCATTCATTAGAGCTGTTCGCTGATAAACCACACGGGAATACAGCACATGTACCAGCTGCTATTGCATTCTTCATATTTGGATCTGAATCAATTGATGCTGATTGATCCATATTGTTAGCATTGTTCACCATCATAGAACCATCAATGTCTATATCACACGATTGACCTGTAAATTCGAATAAATAAAATAAATACGCAAAAACAAAAAACAAAACAGAAATAAGTACGTTTACTGCAAAAAAACGGAATTCACTTATGAAAGACTAGTTACCTATAGATGTCAGGTGTAAACGATCATGGAAACTAAGTTAATCAGATTAATAATAATAATAAAAAACACCTCAATTGTTTGGAGGAATAAAAACACGATTATTGTAACCATTAGATTTAATTAATCTGCAAACTAAGCTGAGCGACTAAATAGTGAAGCATATTAATATGTGTAAAACTTGGGCACTGCGATAGTTAGTAATTCAATATTAGTTTGTTTATTAGATGTATCACACAACTGCAAATACATGTAATAGGAATGATTCAACACATGTCCCAGATATCTGGAAAATTCGACTACCCTTATGAAAAATAGGAAAGAATACAGAAAACTATAAAACTCAGGTTTCGAAGTCGTGTGATTATAATTGATATGATTATGAACAGTAAATTTTGTTCGAAGCTGAGGCATCCAGCAAATAATACTGTTTCGCTGTGTGATATATCTAATAGACAAACTAATGTGGAATTAAATGGTGAGATGAACAAGCAACAGGAGTAGGAAATTCTATGGAATATTTTCTGATTGTTCTATACAACTTCTTATCGTTAAGTATACACATCTGACTACCTCATTGTCCATTTTTCCGGAAATTGCAACCGTACAGTCATTGTACCTTTCTTGGCCATTTACGACCTAAGTGTAACACCAGCACCACCCTTTATATATTTTTATTCACCCTTTTATCAAATCTTGTGCGTCGGTGGCACAGTGGTTAGGACTCTCGCCGACCATGCACATGGTCCGATGTTCGATCCCCTGCCGACGCACACTTGATATCTATGGTCGGTCTTCAAAATTTGGGCTACCGATATCCATGCTGAAAATTCCATACTTGTACCAAAAATACACTGTGGAATCAAGCTGTAATCACAAAAAATCTTCCTTAGTTTTACTGCATCTTCATTAAAATTAAGTTTATTTTGTGTCTCGGTTTGCAGAAATTTGATTGGTTGCAGGTTTGCACAAGAGTTGGCATCAATCAGAGAACCACTGGAAAACCAGAGAGTATTGAACAGATGTTTCATCCCATTTCTGGACTCTTCATCAGTACGCACCAGTTAGATTCGAGTCCGGCATACCCCGGTTGCAACGCGAGTTCGTAGACCACTTTACAGGGCGGGTCGCTGACTGATGGCACCTCGTGATCAAACTCGTAACCAATGAAATCCTTGCAAACCAACACTTCTTAATTAATCAGATGCCCACTGGCGACCGGTTCTACACTGGAAGTTACCTGATGTTCTAGTTCTCAACTACTGCTGCATAGAGCAGATAGCTTAGTGGTACCCATACAAGCAAACACACAGACTTACGTTTGAATAAAGAAGGAAAGAATTATTACGAATAATAATAGCAATAATAATGCCTTTATTTCAAACAGTGCTTTTCATACAAATATGGAATTTTCAGCATGTGTATAATATTACATCTGATTTTCTCATTACATAATACACGGATAATAATTAAGCAGGACATTCATACTAAGAATGTTGTTTGGTGACAATATGAATAAAAAAGTGAAATCTAAGTGGAAATATGAACAACATTATATAAATGGAAGAAAAAATTAAAAAGTGCCATTTACTAAGTGTTTGACAGTAAGTTAGTAATTTCATGTCTTACACTTTCATCATCACACAAAATATGTTTCAAGTAAGGTGTTGTCTATTTTTCTGTAGTTGCCTCTAGTTCTACCTGATGAGATGCAAGTAGAGAGTTGTGTATAGTGAGTATGCTCAGGGTCTGACAAGATTATTATTATTGCTCCCTTGGGTTCCTAGTGGAACATACGGCTTCAACTGCACATCTCCATTTTCTTCTGTCTTCTGCTATACTTTTCGCCTGCATCCATGTTAATCCATATTCTTTCAACTCCTCTTCACACGATCTCCTCCATGTCACCCTTGGACGTCCCACACGCCGCTTCCCTTTCGGGTTCCACTCGAGGGCTTGGCGCGCGATGTCACCCAGCGGTCTCCTCAGCGAGTGTCCGATCCATCTCCACTTTCTCCTGCATATTTGTTGGGCGATTGGTTCTTGCTTTGTTTGTTCCCATAATTCCTTGTTGGTGATTCTTTCCGGCCATCTGATCTTCAGTATTGAGCGAAGACAGTTGTTAATAAAGGTCTGCAGCCTTTTGGAAATATTCTTTGTGACCCGCCAAGTTTCTGATCCGTATAGAAGAACTGACTTTACGTTTGTATTGAAAATCCGAATTTTGTTGGTGATGCTGAGTGACGAAGATTTCCAGATTGATTTCAGGTTGATGAATGTGTTTCTCGCCTTCCCGATTCTCGATTTGACATCCTCGTCCGCTCCTCCTGTAGTTGAGACAATGCTCCCTAGATAAGTGAATGAATGAAGTAACCTCTTTCAAATCCCTCCCGTTGATGGTGATTGACGTTGGATGTTGTTGCTGTTGTTGGTTGGTTATTTTCATAACCTCCGTCTTGTCTATGTTCACCTGGAGTCCTGTCTTCGCCGGCTGCTTCTTCGACCAGTTTGTCGGTTTTCGCTTGTAAGTCTTCGATTGTGTGTGACATCAAACATAAATCATCCACGCGGAAATCCAGGTCTTCTAGGTTCTTCACGTCGGTCCAGGATATTCCTGTCTTCTCGTTTCCCACTGTCTGACGCATAATCCAGTCACACCACAATTAGGAATATCATTGGTGATAATAAGCACCCTTGTCTGACTCCTGTGTTTACTCCAAACGCCTCGCTGAGTTTTCCGTTGTGGATCACTTGACATGTGCCGTTGTCGTACAGCTGTTGAATAAGGTTGATGAATATTTGGGGTACGCCATAGTACTCGAGTAATTTCCAAATTACTTCACGGTCAACGCTGTCGAAGGCCTTCTCAAAGTCTATAAAGTTGAGGTAGAGGTTTGATTGCCATTCCATGCTTTGTTCTGTGATGATGATGCGTAGAGTTGCAATTTGGTCAGTACATGATTTGCCTTTCCTGAATCCAGCTTGTTCTGGTCGGAGTTCTGTCTCCAGTGCGTCCTTTAATCTCTCCAGGATGATGCGACTCAGGATTTTACTTGGCGTCGATAGGAGCATGATTCCTCGCCAGTTCTTGCAGAGTCCTAAGTCGCCCTTCTTTGGTAGTTTCACGAGGTAACCTTTCCTCCAGTCAGTAGGCACCTTTCCCTCCTTCCAGACCTTTTGCAATAATGGAGTCAGCATGTCTGCTGTTGTCTCTGGGTCCGCTTTCAGTGCTTCAGGGGGTATTCCATCTGGTCCGGCTGCTTTTCCAGCTTTCAGAAGCTTGATTGCGTTCAAGACTTCAGCTCTCGTTGGAGGATTGGTGTCAACTTGCAGTTGTGTGCGCGCTGTTGTTGGTATTTCTGGACGGGTTGCAGGTGATGGTCGGTTCAAGAGTCCTTTGAAGTGATCCGCCCATTGTTTAATCTGTTTTTCTTCCTTGGTAATTGGGTTCCCTTGGCTGTCTTTTATAGGTTTCGCTTGTGTTGGTCTCTTCCCGGATAGAGATTTGGTTATCTGATATAGTGTCCTCAGGTCCCTTTTGCCTGCTGCCTTTTCAGCTTCAGTGGCAGGTTGTCGTAGAATCGTCTTTTGTCCTTCCTAGCACTTTTCTTCACTTCTTTGTCCAATGCTTTGTAAGTTGAGCTCATCGTCTCCTTCTCCTGTCCGTCCTTGCATTGAATCATTTTCTCTTTCACCATTCTCCTCTCTTCTATTAATTTCCAAGTGTCCGTTGAGAGCCATTCCTTGTCTTGTCTCTTCTTTCTTCCTAGAACCGTTGAACACGTTTCGTTGAGAATCGCCTTCAGAGACTTCCAATGTTCTTCCACGCATGATTCTTCAGTGATGTCGCGTAGTGTTTCCTGCTTTGCTCTGACAGTTGCAGTGAAGGTGTCTTTTGTGGTTGTGTCCTTCAGTAATTGAGTGTTGAACTTGCATTGTGGCCTATCCCCAGCTATCCTCGAGGCTTTTAGTTTCACCTTGAAAGTCCCTTGTACTAGATAGTGGTCTGAACCCACATCTGCTCCTCTCCTTGACCTTGTGTCCAGTAGGCTCCGTCTCCACTTTCTTGAAATTGAGATGAAGTCTATTTGGTTCTTGGTGTTTCCATCTGGTGAAATCCATGTCGTCTTGTGTATATCCTTGTGTTTGAACACACTACCACCAATCACCAAATCATTGAAGGCGCAGAAGTCTGAGAAGAGTTCACCATTGTCGTTCATTTCACCGAGGGCCTCACGACCCATGGTGAGTTCTCTTCCTGTGTTGTCTCCTCCCAGCTTCGCATTCATGTCGCCCATCAGGATTTTGATATCGCCATTTGGGACGTTGTCCATTATTGCTTGTAGTTGTCTGTAGAACGCCTCCTTCTTCTCTTGTTCTGAGACGTTTGTAGGCGCATAGCATTGAATGACTGTAACTTTCCTTCCTTTTGAGTTGAACCTGGCTGTCATTATCCTGGAGGAGATTGGTTCCCACTGCATGAGAGCTTTGGTTGCTGTTGGTGACATCATGATGGCCACTCCCTCGGTGTGCTCGTGGTTGTCCTCTGGGTGGCCGGAATAGATTACTGTCTCTCCAGTAGGTAGTTGGCACCTTCCAGTTCCGTTCCATCTGCTTTCGCAGATTCCCAACACTTCTATTCTGTACCTTCTCATTTCAGCGGCTATCTGGGCAGCCTTTCCAGTTTCGTACATTGTACGAACATTCCAGGTACCCATCCTTACTTTTGCTTTCATCGAAAGAAGGCACATCGGCTGACTGGCTTCCCGAAGGCTTTCACCAGCCTGCGTCATTTCACTTCCCCGATTCCAGCGAAAAGTAAGGCTATTGCTTATGTTTTTAGAATTTTTAATATATTTATTCGTTGAAGTTTCTGTAGCGATTTGGTTGTTTTACAGGGGTGGAGTTGCTAGCACCACGCCCCAACCCTCCCTCTTTACCCGGGCTTGGGACCGGCGAGAAAACTAGTAAGCTAGTAGCCTAACAAGCTAGTATCTGGCAAGATAGTATTCGCTAATTACCTGCATCAGTCCATGTGTCTATCTACAACAGCATCAACGAGTTGTTTTAACGACACGTCCCACGCCTTACTGACAGCATTTTAGTGTACTTCGCAGTGTGACAAAGTCTTTCTTAAGTAGCCCAGGAAAGATTAAGATTGGGGAACAATAAAGAACAACAGTCAGAATACAAGCATTAACAAACCTAGAAAGTTGAGACTGGGTGAGACTAGACTGTCTTAACTTCCTCACGCAGAACATTAGGCGAAGTATCCTTCTAGAAACTAACATGATGTGCTAAGACCAGGAGACAGCAGAAGAAATTTACAATCAAATGTATTTAACACTCGATTTAGTTTCAACTTCGGCACCATCTGTGATAGTAGAAAAATGCGAACGAACCAACTCATGTATGTCGCGCTTGCATCTCAAAGTAAAATTAACTATCTAACATTTGGAGGGATTTAGCTAGGGGCCATTTGTTGACAAGGTCTACTGACTTATTTCCCACAAAAAGTTATTCATTTTGGAAGAATCTGACTGAGAAACAACCGGCATGGATTATCTCACTGGAAATACATGTATGACTACGTTTTAACTAAATCTTATTTACTAGTGAGTGATGAAACACACTCTTGTATTAAAATGTCAATATGACACAAAAAATTATTTGACGAGAACGAAAACGTAGCAAAGTCGATATATATATATCGAAGAGTAAAACAGAGGCAGATGGAGAGTGAGGGCCAGCAGAGAGAGAGGAGGAAAGAGAATTTATCTACCATTATCTGAAGGCTGTTTAAACAAACAGAACAATGAAATTAATTAAAAAATAAACACTTATCGTTCCGTCTCTTTCTATTTCAACAAAAAAGTGGATGAGCTTGCAGATGAAAAGCACATTTCCATCCTTCTTTCATACCATAGATAGGCAGCAACAAGTTATCCAACTATTCCTCCTCTTACTATCACTACTCCTACCACTACCACTAGCACACTCCATAAGGCTACTTTTCTTTCGCTTAAAACGAAAAGTCTGGTAATGTTACGAAATAATTCATAAACGATGTATATCAATCCTGTAGAGAATAGTTATTAGCATAAATACACATATACACACAATCTATAAGCTCGTAACAAATATACATAGACATCTGAAGGCAGGTTCATGTACTCATGGCTGTCAGTTACACTTATTATTGTTTTAAAAAATAAGCTGTAATCAACTGTTTAAAAAATATGTATGAATAAGCCGAATGAAATATGTTTCTGTTTAGCAAACATGTATATTGAACAGTTTAATGTGCTGGTGAAGATTTGCATATTTCAGATAGATGATCGCAGTGTTGTTTTCCTTCTTTTTGCATTGCTTTACGTTTTGGGTGACTCATAAGACTTCAAGCTTTTTAAGCTTTGAAGTGTCAGTAGCGCCTGTGTTGTTTCTACCAGGGGGTAAGGGGGAGTTCTAGCCCACGCCCAACCTTCCCTCCTAACCTGATTGAATACCAGATATTTGAGGTTTAGGAGTGTGTCGGCCGGAAATCGAACCCGGACCATATGCATAGACGGTGGGTATTGTACTCCTGAACCAAAGATGCACTAGTCGATTATCAGCTCTCCGCGCTAGGTTCATGGGTAGGTATGATACTGTGTTATTTCGCGTTATCTGAAACTGTAAAGGTTTCTTTAGTTTTAAAGCTATCTTTCACTCGTGGTCTGTCTAGACAATATTCTTCTGAGCGATGAATAACTTCAAGAAGAAGTGAGAATTCCGCAATTTTCTAATGAGGTCATATGGACAAAAAGCGAACAAAATAATCACGAAATGCAACCGAGCACATTTAGCAGTTATATGACAGTGCCAACTGTCAGGTGATCCACAACCAAAAACTCAGCTAACAAGCATTCGAAGTGAATAAAGCGGTAAGACAACACAGATAACTGTCATCAATGATATTCCTAATTTTAGTGGACTGCATTATGCGGAAGGGTGTGCGAAACTAGAGGACAGGAATACGTTGGACTGGTAAGAAGACGTGGATTTCGAAGATGATGTATGTCTAATGTCATTCAAACTCGAAGAGTTTTAGGTACAAACCAACAAAACGGCAGAAGAAGAAGCAGAGACAGGATTTCAAGTGAGCATAGAGAACACAGATGCGATATAAAATAACCAACCGGCACCGATTACTAATAACGTAATAAATTTGGAAGAAGTCAATTGCTTCACTTATCTAAGAAGTATAGTTCCAACCACATGCAGTCGGCACAGATGAGGATGTCACAGCCGGAATCGGAAAAGCAAGACAGGTCTACATCACTCCGAAACCAATTTGGGAATCTCCTGCACTCCGCAAAATAAAGAAAAATATTCGGAAGTTCAACACTAAAGTTAAGTCAGTCATTTCTTCTATATGGGTAAGAAACTTGGCCAGTACGTCACGAAAAGACGTTTCCAACTAGTTGGAAACTTTTATCAACAACTGCTTTCCCTCCAGTATTGAAGATTGAATGGTCTAGCAGAAATAATTAGCAAAAATAAGACCTGGGAACGAACCAATCAACAACCCATCGACAGACATATATGTGTAAGAAAATGCAGACGGACCGGACACGCTGGGCAGACCGTCGAATAACATCGCGCTCCAGGCCCTTGAGTGCGACTCGGATGGGAAACAATTTAGGTGTGTGTCTTTGGATGATATGAGGATCGTGTGACATGACAAACTATAGAGAGTCGCAGGGGACCGCAGAAATAGGAAAAAGTAGGGAAGTGCTGTTGAAGCTCTATGTTCCACTTGAAACCCAAGCCAACAATCACAATAATGATATGAGTCTGAGGAAGCCAGGAAAACCGAAGGCAACAATTGATTATATATATATATATATAATAGTCTAGCAGATATGCATAATCAGTTATTCATATACTTTTTCGAAATAATTCCGTTTAACATCATTTCAGTGAGGATCACGTGAATGAATTAATAAACCAGTGCACGGAACTTTTTTGATGCATTTTACGAGCCTTAGTAATTTGATTGAGTCACCGGGCTTGGTGACACTTCTTTGATTGATGAAGAAACATCCTCATCAAGAAAAAATACCAAAGATCAGGGGAAAAAAAACATCAAACACAACCTTCATATATTATTTTAAAAGAACTAGAATAGTTTAAGACGGTTCTATTTTGGAGACAATATTCTGACAATATTAGTTTAAGAAGAAAATAAAAAAGAAATTTATGCACATCGATAACGCACAACCGAATAAATATAATTTGTCATTAATTATCAATTATCTTTTTTTTAAAGTGTAATCATAATATTCATAAATCGATAGCAGCCATTTTCAATTATGGTAATTTAAAACAAATAAAATGAAATATATATTCATAATAATATGAAGTGATCTTCAATAAGTAAAAATTTTAATGTACTGAAAAATCGTATCGACAAAAGGCTGATATTACTACGTGATATGGGTGAATACATGCAAGCTCATCAGGCTGAGGATTATAACACGATGTTATTTGATTGGTGGTGACCAACAGTGGAGTTTAGGATGCACATTACAGTCTAAAACTGATGCCCGTTGCACAACAATCGGCACTTGTGGATCAAATGGTCCAGTGGATAACGCTTTGAAATTTTAGAACAATGGATGCCCGGTTCGAGCCCCAATGGGGACAACACCCCCAAAAGTCCTAAATAGAAGAAAATTTGCATCCTGATGGATTCCACTGCTAGTGGCCATTTCCCGAATTCTAGCTTATTTGTGAATTCATCTAATCGTCTAAATAACACGTTTACTATCAGCAAAATATAAATAAAAATATATTTAAATAAATTACCTGGTTGTAATAAACGTTCTTGTGTTGAAACAACTAAATAATGATTCAAAGGATGAATATAAATGCGTAGAAATACTAACTGATCATTGACACTTTGAACACCACGAACAAGTGTAAGCAAATGTACAGCTTGTGGTTTCGGCTGTTGTTGTTGCTGCTGCTGTTGTTGTTGATATGATGACTGCTTCATGATATCATTATCACAGGAATTATTTGTTACATTATCGAATTGTTGTACTGATACCCAAGCAGAATATGTGAACCCATAAGACGGTGGAAATGAACGTTCACCTTGATTAAGAGGGGAGGGGAATTTCAAAGTTAAGAAAACACATTGAGTTATAAATTCGGTAGATCAAAATAAATGTAAACAAGGACCAACTAATGAATAACGGCAGGCGTAATTCAAAGTGATGACCAACTTCTCCATCAATAATCAATAAATCAACAATCCACTATCATTTCTAAGGAATGAAAAATCAATACTCATCAATTAAATCAAGTTGCCGTAATCAGCATCAATTAGTGCAGACAGTTTAAATCACTGGGAAAAATGCTTATAAACCTGATAAATTTCGGTTACGATGACATCTATATTCACAAACAACACAGATAATATCAAGATCCGTTCAATATAATATCCAAACAGTTCATATGCTCATGTTATCTCCAACTACAAATACCAACTCACATGTCTGACAAAGTGCATACGTCGGTTGAACACAGAAGAAAGGATCAGTAACTGCATATCTTATTACACTCCAAAAAACTTTCACCTGAAAAGAGGCGACTGTTCACCAATAGTTAGACAGCGGTTATGATACATTAGATGTTATAAAATTCCTTAGGATTATTAAACTTTAGGATATTTCTAGGTTACTACGTATTGCTGAAGCAATTGACAATAAACAATAAAGACAGAATTTATGCTTCCCAAAAGAAACTCTTGTTAATCTTGCCATACCACATGGTTAATACTCTTCACGTTATTTTAAGTCTGTTGTTTTTTTTTTGTTAATTTCATCATTTGAATCATTTTTTGTCTTGACAAGATAATTTTCTACGCTTAGTTGTGTACTTAAATATGCCCTTGATGGGACTATTTTTTTGACTGGTCACGAAGTGACATCAATTAAAGAATCACTGAGTACTGGACAGTTACTTCATCCTAGTCTGCAACCTCCCGGCAGTAAACACCTACGACTCCATCACTATGGATAGAACCCAGGAGTTTCATGCTGCATGACGAGCTACTTCATCAGGCAAGTTCATCCTGTAGTCAGCCGTTAATCAGGATTCGGTTCCCTCTTTCAAGTCTTGATTCGTAATCAGTCTTCAAAATCGATTACATATCCCTGGAAATCAACATTTGACATTAATTTGTTTATGGTTGGAATGCAGTTGCCAAGATCCAATGAAATAAAATGATGTCTTTTTTCATCCCGTCGAATTTGTTCCTCTTGCTTCATTCCAATTTATCATGGGAATATTGATATTGATTTATAATTATTGAATCAATGATAATCACTGCAGTGATCTAATCCACCCGGTGGCTAACATATTCATCTTTGGAATAAAGCGATTACATAATTCCTACCAATATTTAGATTTAAAACCAGTATTGTCAAGAGACGCAGTAAAAACACAAGACCTATGGCTGCTACCTCTAAAGCACCAAATGAAAATTCAATAAATAAAATAAAATAATATTGACCAGAATAAATGAATAGTTACCGATGCCTACACCCCCACCAGCATTCATATCATTGATTGATGCATTGCCTAGACTGGCTGAATTAACAGCACCGCATAAATGTGATATCGATGAGGAACCTTGTGGTGCAATCGATGGCAGGAATAAACAACCAAAGCCTTCAGTGGACATGTTGAATTCAACGAATGATGGGGAGATGGATAAATCAATATCATTATTGATTACTGAATTATTCGATTGATGATGCCCTGATGACGATGATGAATAATGCTGCTGATGATGATAATAATAATTGATACGTGAATCACGTCGAATAATCTGCTTATTAAATTCAATATGCGATGGTGTTGATATTGTTATTAAACATTTAATCTGACTTAAATTAAGCGGATTCAATCGGAATGATAGTGATTTAGAGAAGAGGATTTTCGCTTCATCTGATAGAGTAAACGATAATGATGATGATGTATCGTTTCCACTCGGATGAATTAAACTATTATCTAATTTTGATAACGTATTAGAAAGACGAAGAAATTCACTGTAGGGGAAGATGCACAGAAATAGAAGAAAATATGAAGGATGACAATAAAAGTGCAAACAAAATGTACAAAAGAGAATACCAAAACTAAACGTCAGATGAGTTTTAGAAAAGAGTTGAGTGGAACATAAAGTCTTAAGCCTCAGACTTGAGGTTTCAGAACCAGTAAGGTTGCTGGCCTCACACCCAACATTCCCTCTTTGCTGGACTAACTACTGCCTAAGCGAGGTTTAAGAGTCAGTCAACCGGGTATAGGACCGTGGACTACGTACATGGTTATCGAGCATTTTGCCGCTGAACCACTGACGCATATATATAAGAAACAAGAGACCAAAGAAGCAAGTGAGAATGGGTTGCAGAATAATAAATGGTAAAGAATTAAGTAGAGTTTATTTATTATGCAATCAATAAATCAGGGAAATAAAACTTCCACTAAAGTCATGTTAGTAAAAGAGTCTGAACAAAAAACATTTCTGAATACAAAGTCCAACCTTTCCTGTACATATTTTTCTAAAGCTTCAGCTTCATGAAGAAGATATACTAGCGAATTCCTTTCTCAACCTCCTTATCACAATTAATATATGACTCTGTATGAAATCTCTATTGATGATGATGATGATGATGATGATGATGATGATGATACTGAGTGAATAGAGGTAATAAAGTATTCCAGAATTGAGCTGTTTAGCTCTTCAACATTCTCTTTTCGACAACCATGCTAGTAGGTATTCATGAGAGTCTGTGAACAATGTTACTTAGCTCCACAACAACAAGTGAACACTGGTGATAAATGCACACAGTGAAACTGTCTGTGCATCAGTCGATAAGAGTTTTTTTCTCTCCTCTGATATTGTTGTAGTGGACAATTGTTCCGTCTTAGTTTGGGACCTTTCAGCAGTACGCACCACCGGGGTGCAGCAGGTGGTGCGTGAGGAAAGACATTCGTCGATGACATTGACTAGAAGTAGCGCGATATCGTGAATTGGCAGAAGTTGGAATTCATAGGTCATCAGATTTGGTTCCAGTGTTCGCCTTGTAACCGGAAGGTCCTAGGTCCGAACTCCCGTGAATAATCGGCAGGAAGCCTTGGACCTAGGTTTCGTGCTATTTGGCACTCGTCAGCAAGGCGTATCTGCAACCTTGAAGGAAATCATGTCTCTTCTGAGATTCGAACCCGCATCACTCAGTGCTGTAGTCAGAGACGTCACCACTGAGTTATTCGGGTTCAGAAGGGACATGAGTCCCTTCAAGTTTGCAGATGCGCCTTGCTGAAGAGTGCCAACAAATACGAAACCTAGGTCCAAGGCTTCCTGGGGATTACCTCTAACCATCAAATATCATCAAACAAAAGAGGTATTTTAGTAAATTGTGTTCCTACGAATAACAGTAATAATACGACCTACCGAAGATCATTTGGTGTCAAAGCTTGAACAGCCAAACATTCAAAAAGACTTCGAACTTGATCATGCAATGGATGATTATCATTTGATAATGGTTCACTGAACAGAGTAAGCAATTCTCGAGGCATAGATACGTTACACATTAATTGTTGATTACGTTCACTGTGAAGTAGATCAGCGATTATAGTTAATAAACAATTCTACATAAAAACAACAAAAAAGAAATGAGCAGTTATCATTTCAAGATGAATATATATATATATATATATATATATATATATATATATATATATATAATGATTCAGTTAGTTGACAACACCGCACAGTAACATATTGGAGCTTCGTAAATCAGCACTCTTTGACAAGTTAGAAAACAGACCCCACACCTGTCATAACTTCAGAATTTGATGGAATTCACGGGTTTACTATCAGCCAGGTAAAGTTTAGGAGTGTATGGGTGACAAATCATAGATGTAACTCTCACTATCAATGGAACACAACCAAAGAAAACCAGACATGTGTTCTGTCTTACTTCAGGACTACTCAGGTCCCAACGGAAATCAAATTCTTTGTCTTTCAACCACTACGACGACTACTACAAAGAAATGTATAGATAATTCCGAATTATAATAATATGAAGCTCCCAGCCTCACATATGCGGGACGATTTGTCAAAGTTACACCAGCTCTGTGTATCCCAGTGACAATTATACTTTGAATGATAAATTTTTCCTGAATACAATGTGATTCAATGGTCGACAGAACAAAACTAGAATCTTTTCTCCTCTTGATATATTACTCGTTTTAATTTGCGGGAAAATAAAATGAATATGATTATTTCTCATGCTTGCCATCAATCGATCTCAACATCATCAACTGAATAAATAATGTTAAGTAGGCAAGTATCAAACACGTATGCATAGAAACAAGTCACTAATAGTAAAATAAATAAACAAATAAATTACGATAAGGGAGGCATACTTGAAAGTCGACAATTAATTCTTCACAACACCACGACAATGATGAATAATCTTCATTGTTTATATATTCATTTAAGTTAGCAATAAGTTTCAAAAGACAAATAATAGCATCTGGATGAATAATTAGAATGTCTGCTATACTCATTTGAGCCGTATTATTCACAGGTGATTCTACAATTTCAGTAGTAGCAGTAGTAGTATGCTCGTAATTTTCAGTGTTATTAACAATCTGGTTGTCATTGAATCGCGGTAATTTACAGCATGCATTCTTATCCAATAGAATTGAACGGATGGAGTTGCTGTTTGTTATGCCAAAGAAAATGGAAAAAAAATGAGGAATACAAAACATTCCCACGAAATAAAGTATATGAAACTAAATTCATAAACTGCTTCTTTAACTAAAGTTTCAGTGACAGACAAGTAGGAGAAAAACCGATTGAGTTTCGAGTGGAACAAAGGGCTTTAAGCATAAGCTTTGAAACAACGCGAGGTGGAGCCACTAGCCTTACTCACAAGTTCCCCTCTTCAACCGGCTCACTACCGACTGGGCAGTTTAGGAGTGTGTCGACTGGGAGTCGAACTTGGACTAAATGAGTGTTTGGTAGGCATTCTAATATTTGACCAGCATTGCGCAAGTACTAACCAGGCCGAACGATGCTTAACGTTGCTTTTCGGATGAGAACCGGTGTTTTCATGGTGGAATAAGAACTGCTATTACACACATAAGTGATTCATTTAATCCATTGCTTTGTTTTCGACCAATAAGTTCCGCATCAGAGAATCCTACTCCACCTGCTTCAGACTAATCAACTGAACTCGTACTCACACACGCACACACAATAAGTATGATTCACAACTTCCTATATCAAAAATCTGATCCACATGCCTTAGTTTAAAGTGCTAACCAAATAAAACATATTGATTATTAGTTCCACGTAGTAGTAGTTCCATCAGTAGTATATGGCACCATCCAGCTATCCTCTTTGTTACGATCGCCACTTATGGTATTAGATGGTTGGAGGCAATCGCTAGGAAGCCATGGACCTAGGTTTCGTGCTAGTTGGCACTCGTCAGTAAGGTGTATCAAAATACCATTTATGGTATCACGTGTACCACGTAATGACTTAGTAATTCATTATATTTTTAGTACTGTTGATTAAGAAATAAAACATTAAAATACTACCAATAATTTCCAACCACTTATTGACTATATGTTTTAAGTTCAAGTGTAATATCTGGCTACCGCGCTTTATTTTACTACAAACTTATTAGTAATTAGATATACATTTATAGCGTTATTAGATTCTCGTAACAATCATCCTACCCATTCAACCACTGATTTTCAAGTGAATCCAAAATATTTTTCATTGTTCCAATGGGTGTATGCGAAATGTTCTCTTCAATATAGACCATAGCGATACACCAAAAATACAAAAAAACATACGATTCGAGCAAAAAATTTGCACAACGCGCCTTGAATTCCAATGGTTAACTAGCTGATGCATGTCAGTGCTTGCATAAACGTCTTATAAATCTTGCAAATAAATATTATTTATTCAAATTGCCGCCTAGCCTAGTAATCTGAAGGTCTTAGGCTCAGTTGAGCACTGCTCAATGCTGGAACAAAACAACTTACCAGTGCTTCTCCATGCCTGATGACGTTGTCTACCTAATGTCAATTAATGATACAATCCACATTGAAATACCATTTGTCACCTGTAAGAAGTTGTAAAAACAACTATAGATTTCCTTTCTTATTTCTCTTGCGTTCCGAGGAGAACATAAGATTCCAAGCTTCAAACTTTAAATTTTCCGAAGTGATGATGTGTTTCTTATTGGTTAAGGAAGCTGGCCCCACGCCTAACCTTTCCTATTTTCCGTACTTACTATTGGCTAAGCGAGCTTTAGGTACTCAACTTCTAGCTAGTGAATCACCAGTTCGAACCCCGCTACGCGTACCAAGGATGGGCCAGCCAGGGAGTTTCGCTAGTCCTCACACAATAGGTATGTCTTATTGTCAACCGCAATCGGTTGGTTGTTGAGTAACATACAAACAAATTTTAAGAGCGAAATACGGACCACGCGAGAGTTAAGCAAGAGGTTATTTGGTTTCAAAATTTAAATCAAATAATCAATGTGTAAATCAGTTTAAACGTACCGGTCATATGCATCTATTGCTAAATCATATAAGTACCTAAATATAAGACACCATTCTATAACGCGTCTCGGTAGATCAATCACGACATCTGAAGATTTATTCAACTTGGGATAACCATCTGTGTTATGGTCACCTTTCAATTTAGGTGACAGCGATGATGACGATGACGACGACGAAGAAAATGATAATAACGACTCCATTAATTTTAAATTCATAAATAAAGCATACAAATATTTCGATCGTGTACTTCTTGTATAGTGAATTGGGGAATCATTAATTCTATGTATCATTAAGTCATTTAAGCTGATGGATATTGATTGATTCAGTGAAATGAGATTCGTCGTATAACTTTGTTTATTTGAACCAAGAGATATAATTGCATCAGTTAGTGTAGTGTATTGAATCTATGTACGAAAGTAAAACAAAATAAAATTAATTAGGTGTAATTAATAAATATCAAAGCAAGAACTACAATTAAAACTGTAGTTCTTGCTTTGTTCAAATTCACTAAGGGGAATAAATGTAATAAATATCAAGTGGAATGTTCAGTCATTATTTCAAATTCAGTAATATATAAACTTAACAGACTCAGATATGATTGACATGGTAAGACTATCTGAAATAGCCTTAGATTACCCATACTACTATGAATGTAACAAAGAAAGATTGAGGCAGAAATGAAAATCCGGGTGGCGACAGGATTCAAACGAGAGGTCACTGGATGACTAGTTTTAAACTGTTTAAGGTTATACAATAAAAGTAAATTATTATTATCATTCACTCCGGAAACTACTTGGTACGGCCAAGGGACAATGAACTACGATCCTCCTGTCGAAATGCTCCCATGTGGCCGTAAGTTCATAGTCTCTACACTGCATTTACGCACTGGAGGTGCCCCTCATAAAAGTGAAAGGGTGAATATGCACGTCTGGAGCTTACAAACGGACTGGCAGACATAAAGGTTTACACCTAGATGGGAGGGAAAACCCTGATTCCAAACCAATGGTGCACATCGGCTCCAGAATCCAAACCGACAGAATAGCGCATAAACCTATGAACACACACTTCTAGATGCTTCTCCACAGCCTCGCGGATCAAACTTTAAATCGAAAGCTCGGGAAGTGGTCCTTTAAGACAATAGACTGTCTCGGTCAGTGTCTCGGTAGTATTCCAGCCTCCGCACAAACTATGTAATTTTGTGTGGCACATCTGTTGGTGTCTATCATGTACTAAGTTTGTGATTTATTAATCATAAGCAGTAGTAATAATTATTATTTGCTCACTGCATTCCGAGTGAAATATAAGGTTTCCACGGTGCATCCTCATTTCAGTCGGTTTCCTATTGTGTATTTTATTTTATTTTTATTTTATTTTTTTATTTACAGCTTGATTCCACAGTGTATTTTCGGTACAAGTATGGAATTTTCGGCATGGATATCGGTAGCCCAAATTTTGCAGGCCAACCATAGATATCAGGTGTGCGTCGGTGCGGTCTCGAACCCCGGACCATGTGCATGATCGGCGAGAGTCCTAACCACTGTGTCGCCTCCACGATTGCCATCAAACTATCATCTTCTAGTGCTGGTTTTCAGGGATTCGATTTGATTGGTTACAGGATTTAATGATACTGGTTAGATAACCACTGGAAAACCAGACGGATTTCTAGTTTAGTCCTTTCTAGTTTAGGACTCTTCATCAGTACTGCTACAGTCTGTCGAACATGATCATTATACGAAACAAATACTACGTGCACGTAATGTGTATGTACACTAAGTAATGAAACAGACAGACTCTTGATGGATCGAAGCACGTTATGAACCTCTAGTCACCTGATAGAAGTGAAATCTTCATACTGATAACTCACAGATTAAGTAAATAATAATAATAGTAATAATAATGTGGACTTGTAATCCGGTATACTAGTATAAAAAATTAAAATTTTGTAGATTGCATTAAATAATGAATTCAAATGTTCTCCATTATAACCATGAAATGGATAACCACATCTAGTCTGAGATGTTTGCATACACACATATAACCTTGGCTAAGTACATTTATTTTAACAGAAACCTTAACACTGTTGCTGTTGTTATTAGTTTACATAAAAAGCAGAAATTAGAGAAATATATGCAAAATATTAAAATTTACTACTGTTGCTAAAAAAAAAACATTATTTCCTATCCCAGTGGATTTTTATTTAAAAAGAAAACAAACCGAATACATCTGCTCACATAAAAGTTACGTGAGTTAAACCTCTTACAGATATCGACATCATATAATTATTATACAGGGGTTAGCAGTGTAACAAAAGCAAGAATATCCATTAGTCAATTATCTTCCTTCAGACGCACTAATTTACAAATTCTACCAATAATTTGTTTTGAGGTTAATGTGCATTTCCCGTAGATTGATTTCTACCGGAGCGAAATGCTCCATCTCTAGTGACATGTCGGTAGCTAGTAGGCACGCTTCGGCGCTCTCCAAGGATTAAGATGATATTATTAATGCTTGATGAAGACTAGCAGTGGAATCCATGGTTGTGCATTGTTTCGTTTTATTCAGGACTCGACAGTTGGAGATACCTGCATTCCCAAGTGAGTGATGTTGTCGGTCTAATATAATCAATCAACGGGAAGTGCAAATCACTCTAAAAACAGGGAATAACTTATACTCATTGCATAGAAGGTAACTCTCTTGAACCAGTGGCCTGGTGCATGATGTTTTGGTGTTTGAGACGATGGTTGCAGGGTTTGGATCTCAATAACAATAACATCACTCACTGGGAATGCAGGTACAGTCAGCTACCAAATCCTAAACGGGACGAAACGTGTATCTTGAATTCCAACTGATAGTGTGGCGTGATGTAGACTGATACAACGGGGCCAAAATTGAAATCAACATTTTAAGTCAATGGCTGCAGAGAGACAAGTGTTTCTTCCTTATATCTGGATTCAGTCTACGTGGTGGACATGAAGTCACCTCAGTGAACAACTTGTTTAACCTTGTGTCAGTTGCTAACCAATCGGAATAATTTGTTCTCCTCTGACTCAGCCGAACTTTAACGTGGCTAAGAATATATAAATATAATGTTTTTCCTCAATAAACGTCCGTTAGGCAGTTTCTTATCCTCTCCCGTTAGACTAGTAACCATCAGCTAAAATAACATGGATTACACTAAGTTCTACCAGACACGTTGAATCAACTTTGAAACAACTATTTATTTTAGTTGCGTCTAGATGCCTACTAATTTACATAAAGTTATATGGAGAAGAAATGTCGATGTGAAAATCTCCTGAATTCATCTAACGTAAACTTTTAAGATTATAATAATGGAGGAAAAACATTTAGTATTTTGCAAACAAGCAATTACATTTCATTATCTATTAAACGTAGTGTCGGTGGCACAGCGGTAGAATGCTCTCCAACCACGTCTCATGTGGTCCGGGGTTCGATCCCCAGCCGATGCACTCCTTGACCTCGCTAAGCCAATAATAAGGCTGGCCCGTAAAAATAAACACCACCGCTACCGAAACTTCAAGCCTCTAGCTTAAAGCCCTACGCTCCACTGGGAACGTAAAGGAATAAAAAATTTTATCAAACGTAAATTATAGGATATTTTGAGATTATTTATTAATCCTTTGGGTGCCAAGTGGAACATAAGGCTTCAGCAGCACATTTCCATCTTCCTCTGTTCTCTGTAGTCCTCTTTAATTAGCTCCACAACTGTCCTTAAGCTCTCTTCATCTCTTTACACGGTCTCCTGTATGTCACTCTGGGACCCAGACCCTACTCATCGTTTCACATTCGTGTCCCACTCGCGTGACTGCTTGGAGCACAATGTCACTTAGCATTCCTTTCAGTTTGTATCCAATCCATCTTTATTTCCTTTGGCATATTTTCTGGGCAATACGTTCTTGGCTGGTGGTTGGTTCATCCCCAGAATTCCTCGTTGCTTATCCCTTCTGGCCATTTGATATTCAGAGTGAAACGAAGGCAGCTGTTGATGAAAGTCTGCAGTCTGTTGGAAATGCTTTCCATGATGCACCAATTCTCTAACCCATATAGAATAACTGACTTAACATTTGTGTTGACAATCCGGATTTCGTTCTTTATGCTGACTGCAGCATATCTCCACACTAATCTCAGAGTAATGAATGTCTGTGCTGCTTTTCCGATCCTGTCTCTGACACCCTCATCGATGTGGTCTGTCTGTAGTTGAAACGATGACCCCCAAATAAACGGAAGAAGTGACCTTGTTCAAGTAGAAAACAATTAACAAACAGCTAATTTGTTCAAGGTGAAGGTCTCTTCATTAGAAATTTAACAGTTTCTTACACATACACACACACAAACACCAGATTTTAAAATTAACAAAACATGAATTCCTATTTTTGCGCAGCGATTACAGAGTGGATTGAATCTAAATGATTCGTGATTATTACACTCAAAAAAGATTTTCTAATCAAATCTTCACCACAACTCTGAAAGAACAGCTAAACAACAAAAAATACAGTGAACAACAGTAACTACTACTTAAATAGGTGGCTGGGTGGCAAGTAAGCTGAAATAATGATTGGCTAAATTAGAACTTTGCTCAAATTTTCATCAGGCCATGGTGTCACACACATCAAAGTAGTCTACATGAATGGTTGAAGAAAAACCGGAAATGAAATAATACCAGGGAACTAGCAAACATGGATGGGAGGGATGGAGAGAGAGAGGGAAAATAACTTAATAAGTTGTAGTAAAGAAGATGATTATCAGAAATTATCAAGTGTTTGGTTTGCAAGCATTTGCTTGGTTATAGGTTTGATCACAAGTGAATATCAGTTAAAGAACCACTGAAAAACCAAGTTGCACTAGACAGGTGTCTCGTCTTAGTTCAGGCGAGAGCACAGACTATTCAATCAATGGGACCCGATCCGATAGCCCGTGAATTCTAGCGTGTCGAGACCCCAGATATGTGGCGATATATGTAGATTCTCAGAAATATTTTCACTATAGTAAATAGTTATTACATTCACGACCCGGATGAAAAAAGTGGTTAGTTACTTTCTTTAGGTGCCTATGCAACAGCACTAGGAAAAGTATTTCCTTGACTATTAGTAGCCATATAAATCATTCGTAAGTATTATTAGTATTTTTAACACCACCAGGAAAACTGGCTAACTTCTTTAGTCATCAACTGTGGTAAGTGCTGCATAGTCACTACTGCTTTGTTGGGAGACATCACGATACAGAATAGTATATCTTAAAGGTAATGAGATCATCTTTCATGTAAAAACAAGAGTAAAAAGATAGAAAGACAAACATCTGCCTAACCTCGACAATACCATAGGATTTAAATAAATAGACTTCAACGAAGAACCTATAATAAAAGTGAGGCAGTTTAAGTTACAATGCTTCACCATACACACATAAGGATAGAAAAATAAAGTGCTAAGACACCTTCAAAAAAGGAATTCTACAGGCGAAAGAGTAATTGCATGGAAAATAATGAAGATATAATCGGTCTGGGACACTACAAAGAGTGAATACATGCACCTGTGTCGTTAGGAAACAATTTTAAACCATGTCATGAACACAGTTCTTATCCATTGGTTCTCAGTGTCCGTAACACCGCACAACCGGGTAGTCTACATCTTCCCTACATGGCTGACTAAAAACAACAGTCAAAAACTTGATAGATTGATGTCATGTTTCAGATTTGACCATCCCCGCCTCCAAGACTTTTCTAACCTATTCCTAGAGCAGCTAACACTGTCGACGGAGAAGAATCTGGTAGTATAGTGTACATTATATATGGAATATAACTAGATTAAACACAAATTATCATATTATGTGGAAAAAGAGGGATAGGGGGAATCACAGTTAGATTAATGAAAAAATAATAACAATAAGTCAACGTCCTAAGGCTAAAAATTCCTTCAACTTATTATAAATATGCTCTAAATTATAGAATCTCTCTGTGTCTATATATTTTCTTTCTTCAAAATCATCTCACAGCCTTTTATTTCACATATTCGACCCACAGTTTTCTTTTCAGACAGCAGCAACAGTCTGTTAGGCTGTCAGGCGTTTGTGTACGTATGAGTAGGAGATTATACAGCCATTTGAAGATGACTTCGTCGATAAGATTTTGAAAAAACATTTTCTTCTCAAAATTTATACCGCAAAAATAAAATAACTTTGGCTAGACAAACCCCATTGGCATACACGCACCGGGAGATAGAGAGAGTGAGAGGAGAAGAATATGATGCATGGATCAGTTTTAATCGAAAACCATCTCAAATCAACAATACTTCAACCGGAAAATAAAGGAAAATAAGTTTTAAATCAATATATGTGTATGCATGCGCATATTATGCGATGCCTTTATCCTTATTTTCAGGAAACAAACAAAAACAAAAAGTGTGCATCCAATTCCATTTATAATACATACACACCGTCAGGATTTTATATGAGTACACTGTTCACATATCTGCGGAAACACCGAAAAATCGACCGTCGCGTTCACTTAGGAAAACCTTCTTTGCAGCTGAACTACGATTAACCTTCTCCACGAAACCTATGATTCGTATGAACGTGAAGCATAAGCTACAACTGCTGGCCTCATCAATGTGTATCTACCAATTCATCTGCTCGTGTGGAGCTAGGTAGATCGGCCGTACCCAGCGTTCGCTATCCAGACGTATCACCGAACACTTACTAGCATGGTTTTACAAAAGAGAAAAACGATGCCCTCGCAGCTCTATCTCAAAACATCTGATAGATTCCGGACACCAAGCTGCACCCCAAACAAACTTCAAAGTCGTCTACAGAGTAAGAAGTAGTCTTCCTAAAGGTGTACGAATCAGACTTCTTCAAACTGCAGAAGCAATGGCAATTCACTTGCTAAGCCCTGAAATCTGCATACAGAAGTTCGTTCACTCACTACACTTACAATAGACGTTATCTGTCTTAATACCCGACGGGTAAATTCTATTTCTTTCTGTCTCTTAATTAGTATTATTTTGCCTTTGCAATTGTAATATTTCACATTTTCAATTTTGATGTTCTCTACCCTCACCCGATTTAATTTCTACACCTCACTACCACTGTGACTGACTTGACCAACGTTCAATTTCTAGTCATTTATGTTAAGTCATCCAATTTATTTGCTCAAATTAAGTAATAATTTAAATGGCATTATTCTCTACCCCACCTCTACTTAGTTTCTACCTGTAATTACCTCTGTTGCTATCCTGACCAAAGCTGAAACATTTTAGTCAATTATATTACGTCATACAACTTACTAACTCAATCTTACTTTAGTTGCTGCCCAATTAACCTTGTTTCTATATTAAATCATTGTTGTATTACCTGATTAATTATCTAAACTTGACAAATCTCATGTACACATACAAAAATAATTGTATATAAATGCGATTGTACAGCTGTGTGAATCAGTTCGCCGAAAAGAGTCTCTTCGCTGAACGTCTTTTTCTTATCAGTATATACACATACTGACAAATCATAGGGCATTTATAAATTATATATATATATATATATATATATATATATATATAAATTTACGCACATATATTGTACAAATACAACTTCACTTTACCTCAGCAACAAAATAATGTGCATTAGCCGGTTCAAATTTCATAGCAATGCCTAGCGTAGAGAAGATAGACTTGATTAATAGAAATAATTGTGGATATGTTAAACTTGATAGAAATGCTTTACGTGATAGATGCGATCGATATTCTTCTTGTCTTTCTTCAGTATACTGACTATTAGATTGTGAGGCGGCGATTGCGTGTTTTGGTGATGGGGTTGCTGATGATCCCGTGGAATGATGAGACGATTGATTCATTGATGATAAAGGTGTATGCATTGGAATTGAATCATTTATATAATTCGAATTTAAATTATTATTATTATCATTGTCATTGCCTGGAAATAAGTTTAAGCATCCTTCTAGATATATTAATTCTTGCATTACATAAACAAATCCATTCAGTTTACGGAATACAGCTCTGCATCGATGTGATTCACGTAGAATTCGACAAAATGAACAAAGTATCTACAAAAAAAGAAAAAACATGGTAAGTGAGAAAAAGCTACCGAGTAAGAAATATGCATTTTTCTCTAAGAAGAAAATTCTCCTTACCAGTGAAATGAATATTCAGAGTGGTTTAAACATATATATATATACATATATATATGCGCTAGCTAATTGAAGATTAATCAGCCGGAACGGATTTTCTCGTATAACAGACTGTGTATGAGCCCATACTCATTACATGACCGCTTATGACACGATTCAGTTACACGGAGTGATTCTCATCATTTTGGTTAGATAAGCATTCACATTCTCAAGTGTCAGTTTGCAGAAATTTGATCGATTTCAATTCTAAACCCGGAGTGATACCAGTTAGAAAAAACTATGGAAAACTAAGGAGTACTGGACAGTTGTTTCGCCCTAGCCTGGGAAACTTCAAGAATACACTTGGTCGGAATCCAATAATAAGTGAATTTTCAGCCTCTGTTAGTTTACCTTTATTTTTTACACTTTTCTGGATTGTATCGAGTCTCTCAAATGACTGCAGCATATTACGTACTGTCGAATTCGTAATCGACACTCTTTGAATAGTGTTTAGTGTGAATAGTTAGATAAGTAAGCGTAATTCATCACAAATGTTTAAAATACAATTGAATGTGTGCACAATGTGTCTCTGATTTGAAAATATTGGGTATTAATAAATAAATAAGTGATAACTAACAAATATGTGAATTTAATTGAGCTACTCAGCTCAAATTTATTTGAAATTTAAACTAGCCTTCAACCGATAGACTAGTATTGATGTAATGTATGATAATTTAACGCTAAAATGAGTATCAAAGAATTCATAATACCAATCAGATACTGGTAAAATTTGTCCTTGAAAACGCATTATGTAATGTAAGGTGTAGACTAGAAGGGGGTGATCAATTAGAAATCAGAAAAGAGTCCCAGTGGCTTAATGATATATGAGCTCGCCTTGTAACCAGAAGGTCCTGGGTTCGAACTCCTTTGGTGAATGCGAGCTGATCAAGAGTCCCGAACTGAGGTAAAACAGTTGTCCAGTACTCCCAAGTTTTCCAATGGTTCTCTAACCGATGTCAATTAATGATAAAATCCTCGAGCCAATTAGAAACGATGCAGAAGTTGGGATGACGTAATAAATGTGACAAAATGACAAATCAGTATAATTGTGTAGAGTGGACAAGAACTAGTGGAATGACGATAAAGTGTTTTTGTAAAATCTGTATGAAAACGCAATCTTATTAATGAACACTAATAGGACGATAATAAAATAGGGATGGTGAGAATAATATATGGAATCTGAAACCGGACCTCTGAATTCGAAAGCACCATACACATTCACTCTCCCTAACGTGGCCACAGTAACGTTCTCACTAAAATTTTGCTTCGTTTTATTACGTAAGTTTACTATTATTACTGTTATTATTTTATTATAATTATTATTCTCATGATACTAGCGTGTACTACAGACTTTCATTTCACCTTCAATCACTCAAGACTGGAAGACGTGACCCACCACTTGGGAATCAAGCGCCTAGACAAATGAACCACAACTCCATATATTCCAAATAAATACTGACTGTTACTATGGGAATACGTAAGAGGTATAAATACACCTAACTGTCTTAATTTCTATATGACGAGAAGTTCTAAAAAAGATAACTTAACACCATGTATACATTTTTAAGATTATAATAAGTCCTCCAGCTTTGTTTTCTCTATATTTAAACGTAGAATAATACACTTTTTCTTCATTCGTTGCGTGATTTGTAAAATGAAGCAAAACAAAAAATACATTCACTTATGCATACCAATTTTTACATCGTAATTTACTCGAAATTATACTGTTTCAACTCAGTCACACACGATTTATTTGATAAACAGAGCCAATTTGAAAAACAACCTCGTGATATAAGTGCTTGGTTAAAATTAAATGATAAGACACTATCTTTTTCGAGAAGGTTAATTTTGCTACCCGGGTGGATGCTCACTCAGTCCTTAAGCCAATGAGCTATACATGCCCACCTGTATGCGCATAAGTTACAGTAAACCAGAAAAAAGGTTTAAGGAATACCTAACTTTAAAATCCGTTTAAATTCCAGTTCACCTTAGAAAGATTAAGTAATAAGGAGGGGGAGAGGGGGGGAACATTACTTCTGGTCAGTACAAGCAAGATGCCTCATTATTAGTCGATACACGTGAATATAAAGTCCTATTATATTAGCAAGAAATTAATATTGATCTCGCTAGTAAAACAAATGCTTATTGAAAAGTAAGGAAAAAAATCCTTTCAGCTATCAAAAATAAGAGTGTGTACTGCTCTGCTGTTCCTTTTATCCTACATAACGACTAAAAAAATAGCCACCAAAAGTAGAAGAAATGCAGAGAATAAAATGTTTTTGACCGTATGTGCCCCTATTTATTCGCTCGTGTTATGTCGAAGTCTGTCTGTCTGTTTTCAACACAGAACTTTGCACCGATGTGCAGCAGTTCAAGTCGTCACACTCCATGTAGCACACAAAGCAACACAAAACAGTACAAGAAAAGCAGAACGAAGACGGTAAAGAGGTGTGAGATGATGGAATAGTAACAACGAAGAACAATATAGTTTCACTGGAAATCATAAGTCACAGGGAGTGGATACATCTGCACCAGCCATTGAGAACGATTTTGAGCCATATCACCGATTGTTTCCAAAAATTGGTTTTACCGTCCGGAAGACCCCAACCAGGAAGTCTACACCTTCCTGCGTGGCTTCAAATAACTGTTGTGAATTTCATAGATTGGTGACATGTTTTGTTTTGACCACCACTAGATAGCACTTTTCCGGCCTCACCAATCCTATGTCAGCTAACATTGCCCGTAGTCGAGGAAGGCGATGACTAGGCATACGTAACACATGTCCTAACCATCTCAGTCAATGTAGCTTCACAGCCTCGTCGATTGATTTCCCCTTCCTCCTTACCTAGCACTCGACGCCTCACTTCAATATTCCTCACATTATTATACCACTTAACACACACGGGAGAAAGAGCGCAGGCACCTATGATCAAAGACAGCTAGCTAGTCTTTTCATGTCTTCCACTCTCAATGGCCAGGTCTTACAGCCATAAAGGAGGACGGAGCGGATTGATGAGCAGCACACACTCCCTTTGGTCGATAGTCAGCCGGATATCACGTCTACCCCAGAGACGGTGTAAACTGGCATATGCGAAACCAGCCCTCTGTATTCGTGTTGAGACTTCGTCAGAGATCAACTCGCTGGAGCTGATGGTACTTCCCAAATAAGTGAAGCGGTCAACGTGCTCTACCAGTTCAATCCCAATTTCTAAACTAGGGATCAGTGTAGTCCAGTCCTGTAACATCATCCTACATTTGACGGGAGCGAATCGCATGCCAAACATTCGTAGATTGCAGCTCAAGGTGTTCAGAAGACTCTGCATTTTGTCAGCGTCCTCATCGTCTGCATATTCTAAGTCAACGAGATTATTCCCTGAGTCTCTGAAGTGAGTTACGGTTAAGTCCATTAGTATATCCTTTTTTTCAATTAATGCCTTAATGGGGATCATTCATGAACAATTTGGATGACAATATGTTTAGAATCTTTTACCATCTTATTTTATGGAACCATCAGTAAATCGCACCACACCGAGGTAACGATTAGGCACGTTAGGCGTCATTATGCTGCAACATAAACAACAAATGGGTGATGCTTGACGGCGAAATTACAATCTAGTTCATGAGAGGATTCGAACCAGCGACTACAGGACTACTGAAAAACTCATCATTACACTGAAATCAACTAGTACTATTTATACACATTTAATAGAGTGATTTCATTATGCTTTCTTTCAAAAAATGAACTGGATTGGAATGAATATTTTTGAATATAGCGTAAGGCAATTGAAAAATATCTCTTCTCCAAAATAAACAAGACTACAACCAATAGCTTGCTTTAAGAAACAACACGATGGCTGAGGTTAGAATTCATGAGCCATTGGATTCCGACTCAGTGGTTGGATGTTTGTAATTCGTATGATCCTGCGCATAATCCTTGGTATGGAGTTGTGACTGAAGAGACCTCTAAACAGCTAACCACCAGTCTCCCTGGGTCTCAATAGTTCTTTGTCTGAAATTATTCAATCAATGAAACATATCCCTTAAAATTAATACACTTAGAAATTCTACAAAAAGAGTTTCTTTAAGCCCGAACTCACACAAAGGAGGCAAAGAAAATAGTATGTTAGAAGGACTTACATCAATTTTTAAATCAGCATAAGCATGATGCATATTTTCTAACAGATAGGGCATTAACTCTTCACCACCATTACTAAGCATTAATTCTTCATAGATGGTTAATGCAGAAGATCGCCATGGTAGAATATATTCATTTACTTCAGTAGTTAGTATACGATTCAATAGGCAACTGGTAGCGCCTAATCGAATAAGTACATCACCATTCTGTGCATGTGAAGTAATTGTACATTGTAAAAATTCCAATAAACAATGACCTATCTCTTTAAGTGTCGTAAATGAACCTGTTGGCGACATACAACAGAAAAGCAAAGAAAAGACAAAAGAATACAGAAAGAAAGAAATTTTCAAATAAATACAACAGATTTGTTAACATAATACGCACGATATCTACTAATAAAATAATAATAATAAATAGAATTTTATTTTATCAGTACTAATTAGGGCGATAAACAAACAATGAATAATTAGTTAGTGTAAGAACAATACTTTGCCAACTGTTGTTATTGTCATCTTTATTATTATTATTATTGTCAATCGATGCTAGCTGCACGAAAGATATACCGAAGTATTTAGCTTCATACAATGAAATCTCATTTTCATTTCTCTGCATCCCTAGTTGGAAAGTACGGCTTCAAGCTTCACTGAAGTTTCAGCAACAGTGGTAATGTCTTCTCTTTACACGGTTGTTGATTGCTAGCCACATGCGTAACTTCCCTGCTTTTCCCCTAGGGCTCACCATCCCCTAATAAAATCCATGCGAGGTTTAGGTGTACGTCAATCGGGAAGTAAACCCGGACGACCTAACTAAGTGGTTGGCGAGCATACTTCTAATAAACCACTGATGCAACTTATGCAATGAAATAGTACAAGACAACTACACAAATATAAATGCATATATATATATATATATATATATATATATATATATATATATATATACAGTCTATTTGTCTGTATGTTTGCGATGTTTAAGCGGATTAAAAATCCCCATTGAGTTATACAAAAGAGAAGACTTTCAGCCAAGTTACTCCTTTCGGCGATATATTTCTCAAGGTGTACAGTCGTACATATATGCAGTAAATTCTCTTGCCAACAAAAGGAATATTTCCAAAGAAGTATCATTAGAATTTTAAATTTTATCCTGAAATGCCTGATCGAATTTGAACGCCAAGCTGACCTGCAAGCCAACTTTAAAGTCACCTACAGAACATGTGGGAATCTTGCTAAAAGAGTACAAATCAAACCTCTCCAAACAGGAGAAGCGATGGCGATTCGCATGTTAAATCCTGAACTCTGAATAAAAAAGTTTGTTCAGTCACTAAGTGTACTGTGGACCTGATCTGTTTTAACACTGGATAATTAATTTTGTTTTTTCTGTTTCTTATTTGTATCAATTTCTCACCACCCGCCCCAACCCTATATTAAATTTCCACTCATTTTAAACCACTATTATTAACTTCACTGTCAATCAATTTTAGTTAGATCCCACCCAATCCCATCAATTTACTTATTTAATTCCAATTTTATTTTAGTTTCTACTCGATTAGAGCTTTCAATATAAACCTAATTTGTTACCTAAAATCTACATTTCTAATGAAACTTATTTGGAAGTATTCCTTTTGTTGCTAAGATAATTTACTTTATATACGTGATTGTACAGCTAGAGAATGATATCGCCCAGTGGAGTAACTCTTCGCTGAGCATCTTGCCTGTATTTCTCATATACCAGACCGGTGAACCATAAAATAATTGTTTGATGAAAGGTATTCATAGTAGTCAGTTGAGTCGGTTGAAGCAGAGTGCAAACCTTGGGGTATCCTGGGTGCTTATATCGACAAGCCATATTTCTACCTGTTTGTACACTGCCTTTTACGACCACAAAGTAAACAGGATTCATTAGGCTCTGTTAACACACGTCCGACTCGACTGTTAAGTAAAGCATTGAGTGTTTTCGATTTCATATGTTGCGCTGTTATACTCTAATTGATTTCAAGGTAGATTTCGTCACAAACTGCCATAGTTTTTTTTTTCACCCACTTAATGCATTCCAAATCACATCCAAATGCTTTCCTTTATATTATTACGCAATCGTTTTTTTTTAAACCTGTTTGTTTCTCATCAATTAGTGTGCAATTTTTTTCGTTAACCCAACTATTACTTCTACCAAAATATCTCGAATATTTCAAGTGTTGGTCTGCAGGGATTGGATTTGAGTGGTTACAGGATTTCATCATGAGCTAACAACTGTTGGAGAACCATTGTAAAACCTGAGAGTACTGGGCATCAATTTCATCCTAGTTTGACACCACTAGCCAATGTTTCACGCCCGACCTGGCTCAACTCAACGGTCACAACTTCCTATTAAAACCCAAGTAACTACCTCCCTGAGTTAGACCAGTCACTAGTAGGCATAAGATTAATATTGAAGCATTGGTTTTCAGCAATTTGATTGGATCTCACAAGGAGCTGACATCGGCTTATGATAAACAGTACTTCCAATTTCATGTTATTTGTAGCTGATTATACCATCAGCTTTCACCAGTTGTTGTTTCTCCAAACTGCGATCCGTACGCCACACTTCTGTTCAATAAAGAAGGCATGTCAGTATTTCGTTAATATTTTAGGCTATCTGCGTTTGAGAGAAAAGAAGCCTAGAAACAAAAACATGTGCACATTTCACACTGCCAATATTCATTCTTATGGCTTTAACAAAGATGATCAGGGTAACAGATTGTATCTGTATTCGATCAAGCAGAGGAAAGAGACTTTGAGTGAAAAAATTATTGGATCTAAAATCTATCCACTTAAAACAATGGGCCACATTATCACCTGACTGACTGACTGGTTTCAACATAAAAATTCGCACCGATGTACAGCAGTTCGAGTTGTCACACTCCCCATGCAGCATAGCACACGAATCCAGAGAAGAGAGTAAAGCGAGATTCAGAAGAGCGATAGATAATAAACAGAAATGTGAATGAGGGAAAAACAATTATAATATTGGGAAGAACAATAGAGTTTTATTGGATGATACGACAGATCACAAAGAGTGAATGCATCTGCGCCAGACATTGATAACGACGACTTCGAGCAATCTCACCAGTTGTCTCCAGCCTTGCCTTCATTTATTCTTACCATCTCGAGGACCCCAACCAGCCAACTAGGAAGTCTAAGCCTCCAGATGTGGCTGGCTGGCTTAAACTAACTGTTATAGATTCCATTGACTGATGAAGCCATGTTTTGGTTTGACCACCACCAGCTAACTCTTTTCCAACCTGATGCATCCTATGTCAGTTAGCTAACATTGCGGATTGTTGAGGAAGGCGATGGGTGGCTAAGCATGCGTCACACATGTCCTAACCATCTCAATCGATGTAACTTCACAACCTCGTCTATTGATTTCCTCTCCCTCCTTACCTGGGACTCGACCGACGCCTAACCTCAAATATTACTCACCAGCCAATTATATCACCATCTGACACGGTAGATAAGATGTAGGCACCTATGATCAAAGAAAGCTAGCCAGCTTCTTTATGTCTTCCACTTTCAATGGCCATGTCTCGCTCACAGCCATAGAGGAGGACAGATCGGACTGTTGAGCAGTACACACGCCCTTCAGTTGATAGCCAGCCGGATATCACGTCTATGCCAGAGATGGTTTAAGTTGGTGTATGACAAACGAGCTTTTTGTATTGGTGCTGAGGTTTCTCCAACGATCAAGTCGTTGGGGCTTGCTGATGCAACCTTCCTTGAAATAATTGAAGTGTTCGACACTCTCCACCACCCACTTCACTCCCTATCTTTAAGCTAGGAGTCATACCATCACTATGTAACAATATCACTTAGTTCAACAACAGTAATTATTTTCACTCCCTCACACTCCCATACATCTCACAATTTATATTTTCTGTTGACTGTTGCTGCTTACTTCTGCTAATTAACGTTCTTAACTTTTTATACGGTCACTTATTTTTATTCTTCTTATAGACTTACAACATGTCGATATAAGAATAAAACTTGTGCACTGTGGTAGAGTATAATTCCATTATGGGTAAATTTTGTTTTGATAAAGTCTCTCAGTGTTATACAGTAATGTTTACTGATGACGTTTCGAGCACAATTTATTGCTCATAATCATATCAAGGTAATCACACGACTTCCTAACTTCATTTATATAGTTCCATTATTTTTCTCTTGATTTTCACTTGATTTGATTGGTAATAGTATTTTCCATATTTCAGGTATGAGTGATGACTCATTCCTATTGCACGTGTTGGGTGTAGACTCGATGAACAAGGATTCAGTAATCAACCTCTCTCTCCACCTATCTAGATTACTTTTTAGAATTTTAACCCTATCCCACCCTATTGTGTGGTTGTGTGTTAATGCATGCATTGCAATTGCTGAGCTTTTTTCTAAATTACTTATCTTCTCGGGTCAACCATTCTTACCTTAGCTAAATTCGTATGTTCTGACAGACTGACTACTCCCTGACCTACTAGTTTGACCTATGTAGTTGACCTTACAGTCATGCAGAATATTTTGTAAATTATGTTATTTTGTCTAATTGGGTCAACTGCGTCCTTTAACCTTTAAATAAGAGAGAATACAAGTCATTCACAGTTATATCATATAAAGAGGGACATATGAAAACCTACGTAGGATTCTTATTAAAGCAGGAACTCACTCAGGGACAAGCTCTGTAGGACAAAAAATAATATAATTTACAAAATACTCTGCATGACTGTAAGGTCAACTACATAGGTCAAACTAGTAGGTCAGGGGTAGTCAGTCTGTCAGAACATACGAATTTAGCTAAGGTAAGAATGGTTGACCCCGAGAAGATAAGTAATTTAGAAAAAAGCTCAGCAATTGCAATGCATGCATTAACACACAACCACACAATAGGGTGGGAGAGGGTTAAAATTCTAAAAAGTAATCTAGGTAGGTGGAGAGAGAGTTTGATTACTGAATCCTTGTTCATCGAGTCTACACCCAACACGTGCAATAGGAATGAGTCATCACTCATACCTGAAATATGGAAAATACTACTACCAATCAAATCAAGTGAAAATCAAGAGAAAAACAATGGAACTATATAAATGAAGTTAGGAAGTCGTGTGATTACCTTGATATGATTATGAGCAATAAATTGTGCTCGAAACGTCATCAGTAAACATTACTGTATAACACTGAGAGACTTTATCAAAACAAAATTTACCCATAATGGAATAACAACACGTCACCACGTGATTAGTATAATTGTAACGTAAAGAAAAACTATATAAACATACTGGTGTGAAATCACTGGTGAGGAACTAATTGCTGCTTTTTCTGGATGTGTAAAAGGGAATTTTTATTGTTTGGATTATAATAGTCTTCATCAGTTAACAAAGATAGCATCCGCCATCCTGCTTTATATATAAGTTAATTCGCGTTGACACTGCATACTACTTACTAGCCAATAGATGATACGGTGATATCGTCATTGACACTTCAATCCATTGGACTAGAATTCGCATCATGTGTACTCGGATGCTATTAACTAATCTACTCAGAGATTATAAAACTGCTTATTGTTTAAACATTGTCATAGTAAATCGACCAGCTGATATTGGCATGGAAACGCCTTATCAACGGTAACGCCTATATCATTCGTTGCAAGGATGCAAGTGAGATAAATTCCAAATCATTTAACACATATACCGTACAGTTCATATCCTGTATTTCCAAATTTAAGCGAATACCGCCTGCCTACACAAGAATCAGCTAGTCATTGGATCAATAATAGTAAAGGTGATAAGTCGATCATCACTTTATATTACCACTGTTGTGACAGATTAGTTATTGTAAGAAGAATTAACGTAATTTGATAACAAAAACACCCAGTTAAATATCGCTGATTGATTTTTTGAACTTCATGTTGCTCTACGACTTACCATTATCATTATTATTGAAACCATTGAATAATATTTGCTGCTAAAAATCAATACCCTTTTTGTACTAGACATTGGGAACTTAGTAGTGGCTTTAGTCGAATACGCGTATTCCGTAATAATTTATCATAAAGCGCAAACTACACTAAAAACCCATAATAAATTTTGCAACAAATACTCTTTTTGAGATATTCAAGGCAACCGCAAGTAACTGTTCTCCTGCCTGATTTAGTCGACCCCAGTGGACACAACTTCTCACTAGAACTCCAGGTGACTTTCTATGTAGAACGAGTCGCTAATGAGCACCACAATAATTATGAGGTGTAGGCTTGCAGCTGTTTGATTGGCTACAGATTTGATCACGAGCTGGCCTCAGTTAGAGAACTAGTGAAAAACCAAGGAATCCTGAACACCTCTTTCTCCCCCAGTGGGCGCGTACTGCTCAGAACTCACAAATTAGGACGAAACAGCCGTAACCAATCAAACCCCTGCAAACCAGCACACTTAATGCAATGCTCTCCTCATAACTACCCTGAAATTGTTAACATCAATAGTGATAATTCATTTTTCTGTCCACTCCTTGCATCTCGGTTGCGCTTCAAGTTTTGAAGTTGCAGCAAAGGCAGTGTTGTTTTTACTAAATGGAGTTGATAGCCTCATGTTCAGTCTTGCCTGTTCTTCAGCCTCAGGATTGGCTCGTAAACTATGCAAGGTTGAGAAATGCATCCGTCGAGAATCTGAACAAGTTAAACAATAGCGTCCAGGTGTGAGAACACATCAGTGATCGTGAACGCATACTATTTGTGGAATAACGGGACCTACTATTATTATTTATGATTTTTTTAGAATTCTTTTTCGATTATACTTTGATTCCACATAGTACTTTTGGTACAAGTATGGAGTTTTCAGCATGTGATATCGGTAGCCCAAATTTTGCAGGCCGACTATTGATATCAGGTGTGCGTCAGCCAGTGATCGAACCCCAGACTATGTGCACAGTCGGCGAGCGTCCTAACCTCTGTGCCACCGACGCACTACTATGAACGCCGTGAACGAATCGAGATTCAAATTTTAACCCGATCTCGTTTCCAAGTACTGTTTGGATAATGGGTTCACATCTCGCTAGCGTTAGGATTCGGATCAAAATTGGGGTTAGGTTAAAGACAGTGTTCATAATAATTATCTGCATTTTGCAGTAGATTGACGGTATTTCTGTGTAAAACACACTGGTCGCCTCAAGGTCAGTCGTGCGTTCGCATTGCCTGGATTCACTAACCTTGCCAGGAATTAAACCCGGACCATCTGCTTGACTGAGGAGCATATTGACATTGGGCCACCGATGCACGTACTAGCAAATCAAACAATAATAGACCTTAGCAAGTTTAAACAATTGATCAGTTCAGTGTGATTAGTGACCGTGTACAAATGACTACTATTCATTTTGATTTTCCCACAAAATACAGTTATTATTATTATTATAAATTAAATGCCTAATATAGTGCACTGAAAAAAGTGAGTACAAAGCGAACGGAAAGGTGATGACACAAGCATCCGAGATACTATTTTTGTATGCTAGTGATTACCACTGGAGTTCACAACGTGTGTGTTTTGTGCTGTTTAATGCGAATCACAGCTCAAGGGGTGATAGCATCTCTATCTAGTCAAACGTTGAAAGACCTTCCCCGCCTAAGCTCCTGAATTAAAATAATGACGATTTTGTGAAACTGATATCAGTCGCAGGTTATTTATTTGCACTTACTAAATGTTGAATTTACTCAAAGAATAGACTTAGTAATCTTTGTCCACGGGGAGCGCAGGTGGAAGGGATGTGTAATATTCGCATAGATGTCTCTATCCAGTCTAGAGTTTAATTTTAAAGTTGTTGCAATCATAAATATCGAAGTATACGTCTAGTACAATCAGCTCACGTGACACACTAAACTAGTCGATTTCTCCGCCAACATTAACAACAACAATTGAAAATCATAAGTTTTATTTTAAAAAAATACTAGTGGGGAAACACACTAATATTTTTAATGAATATGTATAACAAATTTAAAAAAAAACACTTACATGATGTACTAGAAACTGTCGATGGATTATTCAATTTGAACATAGTTTCAATGAAACAGTTTAACAGATCCACGGTCAACTCCAACAAGCCAACATCGTGGAATACATCTTTGAAAACTGGACTAATTTGTAAAAGTCGAATAAAATACCGATAGGCGATAACTAATGAAGGTGATAAACTAAAAAAAGAGAAGAAGAATAAGAGAGCAGTGTAGAGTGGTATTGGTAATTTTCAACTGTTTTTTCTACTCAATAGAATTAGTTAGTCACTGTTGATTTATACACTTTATGAAAAGATATCTTGATAAGTAAATTTGCACAACTACTTGAGTGCTATTTGTCTGGCAATCATTAAGTGTGAAATTTACGATACATATTTCATCCCACTTGGTATTTGTCGGTAGTACTTTTACACAATTCAATGTTAGCCGATACGGCATCTCACGCAAGGTAGCTTTATGCACTATTTCACACTTCCCTATTCTCGTTTTTTTACATTCCAAGTTAAAAAAAATAGAGCTTCAAACTTTGGTGTTTCAGTAGCTGTGGTAATGTTTAGTCTTTACAGAATGGGCATGATAGCCTGGCGCCAAACCTTTCCTTTCTTCCAAACTTACCATCGGCTGGTAAGCAAGGAGAGATTTAGGCCTATGTCGACTGGGAATCCAACCTAATTCTCTTGCCTGGCTAGTGAGTGGTTCCACGATTCAACAACTGCCGACACAAATATATACAGCATAATTAGAGATTAAGTAAGCTGGAGTATGTTTAATCATGTAAATTGGTGACTAAAAGCAAAGCACACAAAATATCTTATAATAGTACTGAATAATTAACGAAATGTGTTGAAAACAAGACAAAAACGACTATGACAATCATCCAGATTCATAGTATTTACTTGTGTGTGTGTAGTTTTTCACAGTTGACTTAGTTACTATTCAAAATCAACTGAAAAACCACTGAAAATTAAAGTGTGCTGGACAGTTATTTTCTTTTTCTATGATATGACAGAAGCAAGTGGAGACGTGTAGTTGAAGCCCTATGTTACACTAGGAACCCAAGGTAACAATAATAATAATAATAAACTAATAAATAAATTAAACAGGAAATATGTACCAATTTAATTGGTGGATGGTGAGTAGCAGTGGAATCCAGGATGCGCATTTCGCCCTGTTTGGGACTCGTCATCCGGATGCATCTGCATTCCGCAGTGACCAATGATGTTTCCACCGAGGCTCAAACGCAGTGCCCATAGTTTCAAACGCCTGGTGGATAACGCTTTGGCAAACAGGGTTGAAGAAGAATTAGATTTCGTCGAGAAATGCCTAAGGGAAAATGGATACCCTAAAGGATTTGTACAGAAGTATAGCAGAGAAAAAGTTGAGAAAGAAAAGCATCCAACTGCAGAAAAGAAAAAAGTGTTTATTTGTCTACCATACAAAGGAGATGCAGAGTCACAAAAGATTGAAAGGTGCAATAAACAGAAGCTTCCCGGCAGCAAAACTCATAACAGTATACAGCACCACTCCTTCTTTAACCACTCAAAACTAGATAAATACCCTGCTGATGTCACCTGCAACTGTGTTTATGAATTCACGTGCGCTCGCGGGAGCAAGTACATTGGAAGGACAGAAAGAAGGGTTTCTATCCGGTTTTCTGAACATATTCCCAAAAACCTGTGCCCGAAAGGAAGCAAATATTCCCAGAGTGCAATTACCAGACACATTGTGGATACCGGACATTTCGTAGACATTTCTAAGTCCTTCAAAATATTAAATAGACAAAGGACAGCAAATTTACTACGATATGCCGAAGCAATCGCAATCAAACGACTTAAACTAGACTTATGCATACAGAAAGAGAGTGTGATTAACCTCTCACTCCCTTGGTAACAGAATTTTGATTTTGATTAGTCATCTAATTCAGTGATCTCAACTCACTGAACAAATCTTAATCTCATAAACTGTAACCGCTTTTATCTTTTGAGTTGCTATGTGAACCTACAAGCGAACACTGTTCTGTTAATCAATTTTTCTGTTTTCTGTCTTACCCACTCCCCCTCTTTTCAACTTTAAAAGCGTATAAATTGATGAAAACTTAAACTAAAAAATTGTAATGAATTCATTCTGGATGCGTCAATTTTATAGTTTCTCTTCTCTACCACCACTCAAACATTAAAGTATGTTATTATCATCTATAAAACCATTGTAATTTCAGGTAGTCTGCAGCTGATGAGAACCTGTGAAGTACAATGATTTCATTTTATACTACAAATTTCGTCTTCCTTTCTTTATCGAAATTTATCAAGGGAATCAAATGTATAAATATGTACCAATTTGTTTACAAGATTATGGAGTAGACAGTGTGTTGAATCTCTTTCATACACTGTAAATGATGGTAGTAACCATCTGCTTGAGCCTTGAAGTTTCAGTAGCAGTGTGTTATTCTCTTTTTTACGAGGAGGGGTTGCTAGCCCCACGCTCAACCCTCCCTCTTTACCCGGCTTACTACTGGCCAAGTTAGGCTAAGGAGTACGCCGGTCGGGAGTGGAACCCCGGACCAGGTGTGTGGTTGAAGAGTATTCTACCATTCAACCACCGACGCACATACACACATACATGTACACACTATTTCCACTATTCGATTACATAGTCTTATGATATGACCTATTGTCTTTCGGTATTTGAAAATAATAATTTTGCTTTTATTTCTACTGATTTCGATGACCTCAACACATTACTATGCAGCAAATTACTCATTCATTACCAACATATCCAACGCTAGTCTTTCTTATTTCACTAACTCATTCTTCAAAGTATCCAGACACTACTGAATTAGCCCGAACCTTCTGTGCTTAAAATATGCAAGAGTAACTTCTGAGCACAGTTTATCTTTTGTTTTTAACTTGCCTGTTAACCGTCTCACCATGTTATCGTTTTAATTACTCTAGTACAATTATTGAAAATGCTGTAGACTCTCAAAGTAGGACGAAACAGGTGTCCAGTGCTCCCTGGTTTTCAATGATTCTCTAATTGACATTGATTCGTAGCGAAATTTAAACTGAAAGTGTTCGACCTCTGTGTTGACATGTCGCTTCGACGATGCCTTGTGATAAACATAATGTTTAACTCAGTTTAAAGGGAGGGGTACTGAACAGTTTTAAACAAGAGGGAGCATGAGTCCACTGAATTCCGCAGCTAATTGTGGAAATTGCAGAAAATAAGAATTTGCGAAAACCAAATTTCACTTCCAGCTAGGTAAGCAAATCATTTGTTCATTTTGGAATTTTAATCAGTATATATATATATATATATATATATATATATATATATATATATATATATATATATATATATATATATATATATATATATATATATATATATATATATATATATATATATATATGTTATTCATTAGTCATTAAGCTTGAATTGAATAGGCAGACAGACTGATTACGTGAATGAACAGTTGTTCAGCAAGATTTATTCATTTTTCTCACCTACTCGCTTCTCTCTTTTGTACATTTTACAGAAAAACGAAGTATAATCTATGCAACCATATCTGACTGATTTTCTCCGTTGGTTTTACTAACTGATATATATATATATATATATATATATATATCTGTTCTAATGAAACATACATATATGTATATTCTAGTATCGATTCCACTTGAAGACAATTAATAACACGACCTACATGTATCATCTATAGTATGCTTAAACTTTCAACTGTCGAACAGTATAATATTTATCATTCACATACACAGAGGTTATGAGCTGGCTCACAGACTAGAATAATTTGAAATAGATCATTAAGTTGACAAAATAGTTATATGGTTAACTGGTAATCAACACACCGCTTCAACTTTATCAATTCTGAAAATGCCTTGGATAACAACGTTGACTGTAAAGTAATACTCTGGCAACCACTTGAATACTACACATTGCAGTCCCAGATAAACTTATCAGCATAATTCAGCATCTTTATGGAGATCCAGAATGTCAAATTATTCACAACACAAAGCTCACTGAAGCATTTGAAGTGAAGATAAGAGCAAGACAACGTCCTATCTACTCTGTTACCGATGTCCTTCCTAACTGTTATGGAATGGATTATGCGGTGGGGTGCGGGAGACTGAGAAGATAAGTAAAAATTGAACTGACAAAAAACACCCTAAAAGATATAGATTTCGCAGACGAAACGCAAATTGGAAAAGACAGATAAAGCATCCGAGGGTATGTAACAGGAAGAAGATTATGAGAAGGGAAGAAAAAAGCTTGTGGGTAGTCATGGCATGAATTGAAAGTGATGGAGGAAGAAGAAGAAGAACTGAGTGGATTAGAGAGGTGTCGCTGAAGCCTTATTTCTCACAGGAACCTTAAGGAACAAATTACATACATACATGTATATACTTACTTGAATAGTTTCATTTGGACAACAATACTGCTAATTTCTTTCATAAATACATAATGCAATTTGTTAACCAATAGTTCAAGTAAATTAAAATAAGCCTCCTAAAATAGAGAAAAGAGTGATAAGATACAGTCAAAACGAATGCTGCAATGCAAAGGTAAACATTTTTTAAACAACTACTTTTAATGATTTTCTTGGGGGGTTAACGTTAATTGACTATGAACTTCTCATGATGCTAATGAAACATACCCATTACGGATAGATGAAATGCAAAGGTCACAACTTTTTAACTATTTACAGCTCCAGGATATCATAATTATGTAATACAACCACTATATAAATTGATGTTTGATGCTTAGATGGGATTGATTGGAAGTTCTGAACTTAGGTTTTGTGATTATTGGCACTCGTCAACCAAGGGCTTATCTGAAATTACTATCTCCTATGATATTAAAACTAATATTAATCACAACTGATAGCTGCTTCCTTTGACGCAGTGGTCAGGCTTGTATATTAAAACTTCATTGGCTCGAACGAACGTCCTACCAGGCCCTACAGTGTAACATAAGCCGTTTGGATAGTAATCAGACTAAAAGCAGTTACCATCACACTCTGTGTGGGGTCTGTAGGCGAAGTCGTACTGCTAGGGAATACGAATGTAACGGTATTAAGGTGTTTCCCGCAAACGACCAACCTGCCTTCATACTCTGGGCTGCTTGAGGTTTTAGAAAAGACTGTAACCGACGGTGACAACTGACAGCCTCAAACATCACTTTAAACACATCGCGTGTGACAAACCTCGGGCAGTTGACCTTTGGACTCTGCAGTTACAAGACACTAATTCCTTTCATGCTTCAAGTATCCCAAGAGGAAATCAATTTTCAAATTATGGGTGGGCAAGAAGTAACAACTAACATCCACATACAGCCTTCATACTTATCACCTACCTTCATCTTCTTGCTTCCCAGTTACCGCTAATACTGTTCCACAGGTAGGTTCTCTACCTGCTTTAAACTCTTCGACAATTAGTTACGACGTTACCGGGAAGAGCTCCACTGGTAGTATTTTAAAGTCACCATGCTAAATTCATATTAGAATGACGAATATCAGGACTCTTTACCAGATTACAGAACAACACTGTACTCTGGTATCTCGAGTCACTGATGTATGTTGTTTCAGTAACACTCCCACAAGACCTCTACTAGTCAAAGTAGCGAATCTGCAACGTTCACCGTGAAAGTGTCAGGAGATTCTTCGCCTAACAAGGACTCTTAGGTTTAAGGGAATGGGTGTGGAGTGGCGAGAAAATCCCTAATTGGTTAGTTTCCAATGGACAGTCGTGTATGCTCTGTCTGACTGAACGGATCGATTAGAAGAAAGAAAAAATAAGAAAGATAGTGATAACCCTCCGAAACCTCTGCATACACATAAACCAAATGCAGTTTGAACGAAGTAAAGGTTGAGTCTTACCAAAAGTCGTCTAGTTCGCTCCTAAAAACAGAACGCTAAGATAACCATTCTAGCAACGGATCTCAATGGCTAAGTGGAGTTGTGCCAGTCACAAAAGTATATTAGCAGTACTTATGGAGTCATACGCGGACGAACCGATAAAAGTGATTGTCGTCTACAACTGTATTCAGATAACCATCTCTTCCTGGTAAGCGGCAAATATATGCGTTCTAGGTGAAGGCATTAAATATGTCTGATAATCCATTGTTACTGAAAAGTTAAGCACTGGTAAAAACTATCATGCTTCATCTCTTATTTATTGAGTAATACAGTTTCCTATTTACTTTTGTCGAAATTCTCTTGACTGTAATATTTATTCATCACACCACCTTAATGATCGATTCGTATGTGAGCTAAAATTCATAGAGTATATATATATATATATATATATATATATATATATATATATATATATATATATATATATATATATATATATATGTTAGTGCGTCAGTGGCACTATGCAGGTTGGGGGTTCGATCCCCGGCCGACCCACTCCTTGACCTCGTTAAGACACTGGTAAAGATGGAATGTTGGGCATGAGGCTAGCAACCCCATCCTGTAAAAATAAATACCCCTACTACCAAAACTTCAAGCCTCTAGCTTGAAGCACTATGTTCCGCTGGGGACGTAAAGAAATCTCTTAACACTACTACTGATTATGCTTAAAACACGAATTTGTGCAGAAAACAAAATCAGGAAGGGTAGATTCTTCACACCGGTGTAACTAATAGGTTCTGACTAGTGGTGCGAACACTCCAAATATAATTACAAATTTACTTAATGAATTTCAATCTACAATCTCACTCAACACTTCTTAGATTTAGATAACCTGTTAGTATGACTATCGCTTAACACAACAGGCAGGTTTCAAAAGTAACTTATAGCTTACACCGGTGAATAATTAGTAGTGTCGCTGACAAACACAAGAATATACTCTACATTAAGGTGCGTTGATTTATTTCATCCATTAGATATAGTGAATAATTCAGGTAGAAATCATCACCAAAAATAAACAATAAAATAAGTATCTAACCTGTACTTCGTATGGTTTTTCAAATATCTTCTTAGCAAAGATAACCAGAGTGTTTTGTTGCTCCAAAATAAAATAATTTGATAAGTCTTGCAGAAAAATCGACTGGACTGTTTTTAATATCAGTAAGCTAAGATGAGCTGTTGAACAACTATTGAACAATGATTGTAGTACATCAAATGCATGCATGTTTCGTACGCTTTTTCTAGCTACAATAAAATTACAAAACACAATACACTCTTGTATATATATTGGAATTAATAGAATAATTTAGACAAATAGGTATATATATATATATATAGAAACTAGAACATGCTTGAGTTGGCAGACTGACGCTGGATAATTCGAACTAACAGTCTTTGAACCCTACCACCTGAGTTACGAGATTAAACTATTTACCAGGTCATAATTTCAATGGAGTCACTATGGGTGAAGTAAGTAGATCGTACGTTAATGTTTGTTTATCATCGTAATCATCACAGTCGTTAACATATTATTCACTTATATGACAGCTGAACATCAACCCGTGGTGACAGAAGTATACTGAATATATACAGCAAAAGGAATCCTGACTTGCAAGCAGTAAAAAATTTGGTTGTGGACTGATTTGAAAAAGTGACAGACTCTCAGACTTATCTCATTACCAATTGAGTAAATATTGTAATTTTTATTATTTTGCAACATAAATCATAAAGAAAGTTCAATACAGATGTTAATAAGCATTAAAACCAATAACTGATTTCTTTAATAATATTGGTTAAAAATGTTACTTCTCAAAACTGATTTATATTTTGTGCAATACTTGGACGAAAACTGAAGAAAACTGTAAACATGAGTATGACTTAAGGAAACTGATTAGTGGTTATATCAGATTCAGACAGTTTCCGAATCATCTCTTGTGATGCAAACTTTTAAGACGTACAAGAAGATGGATGGCCACATGTCTCAGTGTCAACATTCGATAGACAATGAATGAAGCTTTATTTATTATTTATTTATTTAAACGCATAAAAACTCGGTACAATATGGCACCAAGAAGGATGCGCCACTCAATAATAATAAAACAACATAGCTCAAAAGAAAAAAAGAGAAAAATATATATATATAAGTAGAGAACGGAAAAAGAACTTCATCTGGAAGGAAAACAGTCATGCTTAACAAGTTCAAACAGTATTCGTCAACTATCATCGGGAAGGGAAGAAAGAAGGAAACTGCAACACGTGTAATAGCACGCGACAAGTTTCATTGATTGTTTGTTGCTTTATTCAATTCATTGTGTGAGGGCTGAGATACTGCTCGGGAGCCCAGACCGAAGTAGGTGGTTTTATTAAGGGACCACCCCCCGAGCCTTTGACTTGGAGTCTAATCCGCAAGGCAGCGGAGTAGCGTCAGGAGCTGTATTCCCATGGTTTCCGGTGACCCATATGGGTTTATACGCCATTTGATCCGATTGGATACTGGAGCCCATGTACCCCATAGTAACTGCTTTTAGTTTAACCGCTATCCAAACAACCTTCCTGACATGGTAGGACCTGCAGGCACAGACTCCCAGTCATTTTAGCATGTTGGGTCATTACGGTATTCAAACCCGACCACCACGACAAGGTAGCAGTTATCGGCCGGGTGAATGAAGCTTAGTGTTGATAATACAATTATACAACCATACACCATTAGGTGTCGGTGGCACAGAGGTAGAATGCTCGCCAACCACGCATGTGGTCTGGTTTTCGATCACGGGCCGACTCACTCCTTGACCTCGCTAAGCCAACAATAAGACTTGTGAAGAGGAAATGTTGGTCATGATCCCAGCAACCCCATCCCGTAAAAACTAAACACCACTGCTACCGAAACTTCAAGTCTCTAACTTGAAACCTTATGTTCCACTGGGAGCGTAAAGGAGTAAAACAATTCCAAATCACTAGTATACATAATGAAATCGTCCGAAAATTCCACAGAGGCAGGGAATGCTGAGTCTACACTAAAATCCAACATTAGTAGGTCATTATTTTATAAAAGTACTTACTGTAATATACGATTGTAAAATTTAAAGTGAACTAAGTAAGATGAAGCGAATTTACCTACATCCCCTTTTTATTTGTATTCACAAAATATTTCTTCTAAAAAATTCCATTTCAATAAGTAGTAAATCATAAACAACAGATCGCTTTATAAGTGTTCAATTAACCTGTTTATTATAATGCCGTAAAAATTCAGTTGCCTACGACAGATTTTTCATGTCCCATACTATGGATTCGAACTCATTTTGTGCCAACAGATGATACTACCCAATTTCTCAGGTCGGATTAAATATTGAGGGATTTGAAGTCGCACTCACTTGGCTGAAAATAAATCCGAAAGCCTATGGGCTATACAACCACTAAATTGAGTAGAACACGTTTGGATAAATAAGAAGACTACACTACCATTTAACCACTGGTAATACTAACTGGCCGTTTAAACTTAAACATGTAAAGCCAAATTTACACCCATGATCCACTAGTAGAAAGTCATACAGAAACAACCCAAAAAGTTAGGCAGGATGCGAGTTACGATATACTTATTAACAAAATAAAATGAATTTTCAAGAAAGTAAACAGAACTCACCTTGTGTTTTAGGCATATGCATACGAAATCCTGGGATTTTATGAATTTGCTCACCAGCCCCTGCTTTAGGACGAAGTTCCACTGGTCCACAAATAGCTAAATTACCAACAAGTCCTACAAGTGTTTGTAAGGAATTCTCAGATTCAGCAGTACAACTTTCTTCAATCCTAAGCAAATCAAGCGTAAAAAATTATGGAAAACTAGTCAGCATTAAAGTCCCGTCCTATATACAAAGACAAGGTGAGTCTGAGTATAAATGCATTCTTGTTGAACATTAAGCTTTCCATGACCCAAGTTGCTTGGTCACGTGATAGGAATAAAACAGAATATGTAACAGCACAACTCGAAGACATAGTCACTGTTAGGTAGGCATCAATAAAGACAAATATGGAACTTCTTTGACAACCAATGATGCATTTTTAAGGCGTATATGCCCTACAGTAGTAAATCAGTGTAGTTTGATTGGGCCGTTGTAATGATATGATTTCCATTTTACTCTTGTTTTTATCTAGTGTTTACATTCCCTCGTAGATAAAGATAAAGTTTAAACCCATAACGTATAGACTGAAAGTTGAGTGGATACACTAATAAGACTGGAGAGAACAGCAACTCACTCAGACAACGTCCTTATTTTTATGTAAAAGATTACCATATAGAAGAGTTTGATGACTTTAGACAAGAAAATAATACGTATAACTCAGTATTATCAAATAAGCAAAAACTACGCATAATAATAGGTGAAATATCTTGTTTCATTTAGTCATTACAATCTACTTATTATCCTGATATGATGTGTCAGCTACCATATTTACGCATTAACATGGTGTTTATTTAAGAAATTAAATTCCAGGAATATAAACATAAAGTCACATAAGACTGCTTAACAGATACCTGTAATGATAGTTCACTATAAAACAGCAGGACGGATATTATGAAAGAAGACTCACATCACCTTGTTATATAAATAACTACTACCTTTGATGACTGTACACATGACAGAATGCATGAAAGATAATGATATAACAAGGTAGTAAAACTTAAATTGATCCATATTCAAGCAGAATCCATTCTGAAGAAAGCTGAATTATGATTATAAAAAACACTAAATTCACAACCTTTGATAAGCTACTCTAAAGATCTTCAATTAATGCACTATACATTATAAAAGCTAGAAAGAGTACCAGAATATCATGGAAAAAGACGACAGCACAAATGAACTATATCTTTTATTTATAGAAAACCATTACGAAGTAAGATGGAATTCGGTAGGTATGTTTGATAACTAATTTGTCTTGCAAATATCCAAATAGGAAAGATAACTTATTCAACGCTAAGGTGATTGCTTATACACACACGCAACAATACTTGTTCATACGTAACGAAATGCTACTATAAAACAGTTTAGATTCTCTACATCTCGATTAGTTACACATCCTGGATTTGCTTATAAAATCCCGAATACTTGACAAAAAACAACTTTCACGGGTGATGACAGCTAGCGAATTAAGTTCATCCACCTATTGGTATTTTAGTTTCCTTGATCATAAAATTTTGACTAACCTTCTGCTACTGAAGTAATGTTAGATAGTAGTGCTGGGGCTGAAAAATCCCTCGTTGACTGGATCGCAGCCCATCTGAACGGGTCCGTTAAAAGAAGAAAGGACGGAATTACTCGTCATTGTCTTTTCATAGTCTCCACTTACGCCCCAACAGACTGCAGTTCGGATGAATTAAAGTGTGATTTATACCAGAAACTGTCTAGGTTCCTGAGAAAAGCAAAACGCTCAGATACAGTCGTTTTAGCAAGTGACTTCAATGCCCAAGTAGGTAAGTTATGCCAGACTGAGAAGTATGTAGGTGGTACGTACGGAGTTCCCTATCAACTAACAGAAAATAGTGATCGTCTTCTACAGTTCTGCTCATCTGTTCCTAGTCAGCATTAACTTTAGGTACAAAGAAAGACACTGTGTAACCTGGCGACCTCCATCACCAAATCAACGCTGGACCACATGGCAATAGGCTATCGTTGGCGAGGGTCAGTAGAAGACTGCCGCTCCTTGTGGGACACGGGGGTAGACTTCGATCATGCCCTGGTTCGCGCACACTTATGCTTACGACTAAACGGACATAAGAAATTGCTAGCAGCGAAGCAGTAACGTCCCCATCTAGATTGAGACTCTGAGTCCCTATTTAAGGAGGAAATAGCGAAACGAGTATCTGAGGTTGACAGCAGGAATTCCCCCTGAGGTACCCTGGCACAATATACAGTTAGCTGTAAAAGCTGTTAATAAGCTACAACCAAAAGTTAGTAAGAGCCAGTGGATTTCTACTAACTCATCCGAACTGACTGACGCAAGAATACTGATTCCGGCGAGCGCCGAATATAATGAGAAGCGAAAGCTGCTCAAACGCAAATAACACGAAGTAACCATAACAACGTGAACAGTGGTGGGCAACAAAAGCGAAAGAGATGGAAAAGGCATCGGCGATTGATAATGCCAGACAACCATTTAAGCTTATCAGGGAAGCAGGTAGGAAACGGCAAAGGATGAGTGAAACAATCTCTGAGAAAAATGGCTCCATAATGAACTCTCAGGATAGACGACTGCAACGCTGGAAAGAACACTGTGAGGAGCAGTTTAATTGGCCTACAGCCACGCCCAACCTACCGAGCATCCAACACCTCCCTGAATGGAATATAGACACACGTCCACTGTCCCTAACTGAGGTTATATAGCTGTCACTAGTCTGAAATGAGGCAAAACTGCTGGATCCGATAGAATGACTCCAGAGGTGTTTAAGGATGGCGGAGACAGTTTACTGTCTAATATAGTATTTAAAGTTCTAGGCTCAATAAATCATGCGTAGATTATGCGGTGCTCGGTGAAAACAAACAAACAAACCATGTAGGCTTTAGACCAGGAAGAGGGTACTGATCATATGTTCACCCTTCGACAGATTCTGGAACATAGGCATACTTGCTGGCGTCCAACAATCGTCATATATCTTGATCTAAAGACAGCATTCGAGAGGTACTGTGTCTATGTCTAGCTGTGAAGGGAATGCAGAGAAAATACAACCCACTGTTCAAGACACTACTCGAATTCATGCAGCCAGGTAAGAGCTTACAGAGGGTTATCATCTGAAGTGGTGACAACTAGTGGTGTCCGTCAGGTATGTCCACTGTCTCCACAGATATACTAATGGAATCAACCCTAACTGACTTCTGCGACTCGGGGATTGACTTGTTACCAAGGTATAATCGTACTGACCTGGAATATGCAGATAGATGAGGGCGCTGACATAATGCACACTCTTCTGAATCTTCGAATGTTTAGCATGCAAATCGCTTTGGCTGTCAAATGTAAGATGATGCTACAGGAGTGAACTGGACTACATTGACTCCTAGCTTAAAGATAGGGAGTGAAGTGGGTGGTGGAGAGTGTCGAACACTTCAATTATTTCGAGGAAGGTTGCATCAGCAAGCCCCAACGACTTGATCATTGGAGAAACCTCAGCACCAATACAAAAAGCTCGTTTGTCATACACCAACTTAAACCATCTCTGGCATAGACGTGATATCCGGCTGGCTATCAACTGAAGGGCGTGTGTACTGCTCAACAGTCCGATCTGTCCTCCTCTATGGCTGTGAGCGAGACATGGCCATTGAAAGTGGAAGACATAAAGAAGCTGGCTAGCTTTCTTTGATCATAGGTGCCTACATCTTATCTACCGTGTCAGATGGTGATATAATTGGCTGGTGAGTAATATTTGAGGTTAGGCGTCGGTCGAGTCCCAGGTAAGGAGGGAGAGGAAATCAATAGACGAGGTTGTGAAGTTACATCGATTGAGATGGTTAGGACATGTGTGACGCATGCTTAGCCACCCATCGCCTTCCTCAACAATCCGCAATGTTAGCTAACTGACATAGGATGCATCAGGTTGGAAAAGAGTTAGCTGGTGGTGGTCAAACCAAAACATGGCTTCATCAGTCAATGGAATCTATAACAGTTAGTTTAAGCCAGCCAGCCACATCTGGAGGCTTAGACTTCCTAGTTGGCTGGTTGGGGTCCTCGAGATGGTAAGAATAAATGAAGGCAAGGCTGGAGACAACTGGTGAGATTGCTCGAAGTCGTCGTTATCAATGTCTGGCGCAGATGCATTCACTCTTTGTGATCTGTCGTATCATCCAATAAAACTCTATTGTTCTTCCCAATATTATAATTGTTTTTCCCTCATTCACATTTCTGTTTATTATCTATCGCTCTTCTGAATCTCGCTTTACTCTCTTCTCTGGATTCGTGTGCTATGCTGCATGGGGAGTGTGACAACTCGAACTGCTGTACATCGGTGCGAATTTTTATGTTGAAACCAGTCAGTCAGTCATATCATGAGATCTAGTATATTATAAATTTATTATTTATGCATACAAATTGACAGCTTCAAATTTAAATTTACGGAGAAGTATCCACTTGTAGCAAGTAGTTTCAGTTTTCCGAAGTATTTTGTACCCTCCATAAAAGTGTGACTTTCAAACCGAAGTGAAATAGAAAAGCAACTGCGAAATTTGTGAAGATTACAATGGCTCTTTGAAGTTAGAACCCGTAAACCCCTATTACTTAGTGAGTCAACTTATCATTCACACTCTTTAAACTAAATAACTTACTTAAGACAGAAATCGATTAGTACAAAGTATCCATTGTTGGTGCGGAAATCGTCCAGAAGAGTTTGATCATCAACAGATGATTCACGGACTATATGAAGTAGTGAAACAAAACTATTAACTAAATCTTTATAATTCGATTTGCTCTCTGATAAACTCTTGAGGCAATGACGAACACATTCTGAGTCTGAAATTACAGCAAAACAAAGTTTTAATTCAGAGACTTGCATGTAACTAAACTGCAGAAATAGTAATGCCATATAGCAATAAAATAACCATAAAAAGTAGTAACGATGAATTTTATACAAATACATATCATATTTTATTTCAGGAACACTACGTGTCATAATTTTACGCAACTTCTATAAAAGCTTATTGGATTGCAGTCAGCTTACATGAAACCTCAAGATACTGATACGTTTCGTAAAATATTTTCTTCAGACAATGATAACTCCGAGGATAAAAAAAATTAGCAGCTTCATTACAGTACCATAAACAGTCGTTTCGAAAGCATGTTCGTTGCCTGAACTCAATTACCAGGAACCATTTATTCATGTGTTAGGACGAACCACAACTATTGTGTGAAGCTTAATGCTACTATCCAGTTGCCCAGGCTGATGCAGATGGGGGCAGGAATTCAATCTAAGACCCGGTGGCCGAAATCCGAATCCTCAATCCAATAAGCTACTCTTTCGATACTGTAAGTAATGCACGCAATACAAAGCCGTAACTACAACTGCACAAAATATTTGACAATATTTTAGTCAGCTGTTCTTGATATCAGGAACTTCAAAAGGGAGTGAATTTTACACGCTCTTGTTTAGTTTCGGCTTTTGTTGTGTTATACGCTCCAAAAGTCTACAAATTAACTTCAAATCAGTTTATCCTGATCGAAGTTATTTTACATTTTAGACTTGAGTCTATTAAATTATAGGAGATTGTGTTCTTATAACTATATATATATATATATATATATATATATATATATATATATATATATATATATTTGTGCACTCACTGGCTTTTTATCACTGATATATAAAGGTTATATACATATAAAGTCATATTTAAATTGTTTTTCCCCAGTTCGCTCTAAAAAGCATGCCTGTCAAAAGAAACCGCTGCGGAAGGGTTATCTGCCAATTCCCAGTGGATGAGGGAATGCAGTGTGATAACTGCAAGAGATGGTTTCATAGCATGTGCACAAACCTAACTCCTGCAGCATACAAACGCTGCTGCAAACCTCTAACAAACTGGATGTGCAATGACTGTTGTAGTACAACTTAATTCCGTATAACAGAAGCCATTGCCACTCTCAGTGGAGTTCTAAAGCTCATGGACTGCGAGGGTCTTCAACCACAGGAGAAGACCGATTATTGCTCAGACAACGATGACGTGACTAGCGTCATCGACAAAACAGCACATGTCCCCCAGTGCGTCTCTGTCAATTAATGAGTGCCCTTCAGCATAGAAGAACACCCACCATATTCCAGACACCCACGCTGCCCCCACGAAACTGGATAAGCCCTTCAGTGACAGTAACGGAAAGACTGCCTTGAAGAGGCGTTACAGGGGTCGAAAACCTGCAGCTCAACTCGCCCAGTGACTGATGAATCAAGCCTCATTCACACCGGTGAATAGCAGGCAGATAAATCGTACTACGATTAGCGAGGAGGGCGCCAATGAATGTCATAATGTAGTCTCTTGCAATAAGCGAGATAAGGATAACACATCGGCTACGCTGCCCACGAAGGACAGAAAGACACTTACGCCGTAGAGCAAGAATCCCACAGCAAGCAAACCTGACCTCTCTGACAGGTCGCTCATTCTCCACTGGCCCCCGACCCCAAGGCCAGATTTGAGCATGACATTAACTTGGTTAAGCCCCTCTTAGACAAGATACTGCCACAAACAGTATCAAGAATTACTATACACAGCGTATATAGAATCGGCCAAAAGTGTGGCCCTACAGTAAGTCAGCCTGTACGTTACCTCGAAGTCGTACTAAACTCGAAAGAAGAGAGAGATGCTATTCTAAGCAACTCTTAAAGGATCAGGCATATATGTCCGCGCCGACTTAAGCCTACCAGACTGTATCAAAAGACAGTCTGCGGCCCTAGAACCAAGCGAATGACGCCGAAACGACGAAAAGAACCCTAAGATTAAGGGTTTTCGAGTTGTCGGAGTTCGCAGTTTAATGATACCGAAACCTCTGTGGGTAGGCCGGGGAAGCACCAAACTGAATTGACAGTTTGTTACACAAACGCCTGCAGCCTGTTGAACAAACGGACTGAGCTGGTTAACATGATAGTCTCCGGGAACTCGGATGTAATTATCATCACAGAGAAATGGCTCACACCCGATGTCACTGACAACGAAGTTAACCTGCCAAACTACGGAGGGCATAGGGTAGACCGATTAAATCGCAAAGGGGGTGGCGTGGTCATCTACCTCAAGAAATGCTTAACCGTGCGTAGCATCAAAGCACTCGCACACAAAAGTGAGTCGTGCGAACTTCTACGCTGCAGACTTAAATGCATAGGCGAAGATATTGACCTCATTGCTATGTACCGCAGTCCTGATTGTAGCGCAGATAACTTCCTAGTAGAGAAGCTAGGCTCCTGGACTTCGAAATGTCGAAGTCTCGTAGTCGGTGACTTCAACGCCAACAGTTGACCGCACGAGCCTAACAACTCCATCTTCAGTCAACTCCTTTGATCATAAACTGCTGGAATCTAGTATATCGCTAGCTCTAGTCCAACATATCATTAAGCCCACGCACTATGAGTCACGAAAGCATGTGGACAGACCTGGAGCAGGGTGAAAAAGTTGTCAGAAAACCGAAGGCAATGGAGGTGCACAGCTGAAGCCCTATGTTCCTCTAAGAACTAAAGGATACAATAATAATAATATAATACTATGACTCACAGCGCTCCTCCTCAACTGTGGCCATAGTGTTCTCCCACGGCGGGGATGTGGATCTCATACAACATCTTCCTTCTTTAGGAAGAAGTGATCATGCTGTGCTCACTTTCAAGTTCACAGCAACGGCAGCAAGGGCCGAAACCCTAGCTCGACTAAACGTTTGGAAAGCCGATATAAATGCGATCGTCTCAGCAGTCAACCCAGTAAACTGGTATATCAACCCAGAGTCCCAAGTAGAAGCCGCGTGGAACCAATTTAAACATTTTTACGCCCAAGTAACTGAACCTTTCATCCCTTGGTTTGTCCCAAAGGGTCGGAAACATTGCCCCCCCCTTGGATAAACCAGGAGATTCGTAAGTTACTCAGACGCAAACACCTGTTTGCCACACTTGAGACTCTTGAGACCAGGAAATTACATAACACTGCCAGAAATAAAGCTCTTGCAGAAATTAGCCAATCAAGGATGAAGTTCGGGGCACACCTGCCTCAAAATGCAAAGGCACAACCTGAGAAAATTTTCTCGTACTTGAATTTGAGGAGTGAAACATCCAGTGGTGTCCCGAATCTGATTATTGACAATGATACAGTCGAAGAAGATCAAGAAAAAGCAGGAGCAATAGCAAACTACTTCTCCTAAGTCTTCACTCAGCAGTCATCACTGCCTACAGGATCAGCTCTGGCTGCATCAGAAGAACATGGGATAGATTCCGTTGACATCGACCAAGGCATCGTGCTCAACTGCTTAATGAAACTAGATGCAGGGAAATCAATGGGTCCTGATAATCTTCATCCAAGGCTTCTCAAGGAGCTATCAGCCCACATAGCCCCTTGACCACGAACTTCAAGCTACCTCTCCTAAATGGAGTGTTACCGCGTGATTGAAAAGACGCCACAGTAACCCCCATCCACAAAGAAGGGTCAAGACAAAGCCCTTCAAATTACAGGCCTATCAGTCTCACAAGCACTTTAATCAACACACTGGAAAGAATTATCAAGAAAAGCATCATGGCTTATCTGGAAAATAGCAGCTTGTTATCTAAGGCACAGCATGGCTTCCGGAGGAACCTCTCATGCCTGTCAAATCTCCTCACTGCAAGAGAAAGCTGGGTCAAATCAAAGGACAACAGAAGACCCGTTGACATCTTCCTGATAGACTTCAGTAAAGCCTTTGATAATGTACCTCACAAAAGACTACTCATGAAATTGGAAAGTCTTGGTATCAAAGGCAGATTACTAAACTGGTTCAGGGAATTCCTCATAGATAGGAGGCAGAGGGTTAGGATCAACTCAAAACTCTCCTCTTGGACAGCAGTAAGTAGCGGAGTGCCACAAGGCACGGTACTCGGACCTCTCCTATCTATTTTGTTATCTCTGCTCACCGACTCCCCTATGGTCCTATACGCAGATGACTTAAAAATTTGGAGAGAGCTGAAGAACAACAGTGATACGTCCGCGTTGCAAGAGGACCTCAACAAACTGTCAGAGTGGTCCATAGAATGGATGCTCCCGATAAATGTGGCAAAATGTGCAACCATGCGCATTGGACAAGCAAGCACAAGCTCCTACGAACTAGAGGGAATAACACTTCCATCAGTTCAGACTTACTTGGACTTAGGTGTCATAGTTAGCCACGACTTAAAAACTACAGCACACTGTCGCGCGGTGGCTGCACGTAGTTTCAGGTCCTTATGGGCAATTCTCAGAGCCTTTACTAGAATCACCAGATATATGTTCACCTCCTTATATACATCTCTGGTGAGGTCAAGACTGGAAAACTGCATCCAGACCGCCATTCCTTGTCTAAAAGGGGACTCACACATTCTAGAAAGGGTTCAAAGGAACGCAACACGTATGGTTCATGGCATGACCAACTTATCATACGAGGAAGGACTAGACAGTTTAAATTTCTTCTCCCTGTCGTACCGTAGGCAGAGACGATATTCAATCACAATGTTTAAAATTTTAAATAATGACTACGGACCTGACCTATTCTCTCTTTTCCTTCCCACCAGGTCGGAACACCTTAGAGGACATAGCAGGAGAGTTCAAAAGCCAAGAAGAAATCATATTGCTGTTGAGTACTGGCTCTCGCATCGAGTCATAAACTCTTGGAACCGACTCCCGGAAGAAGTGGTGTCTGCAACCTCAACTGATTCGTTCAAGAAGGGTTTGGACAACCACAGAAATTTACTAGAAAAGGATTAGCATAGGCTGCAAGCCTCCTATCCTCAATCAATAAATCTGAATCTGAAATTTCCAAAAACCTAATGCAGGAGTAGAATTTGGGCATTGGGTTAAAAAAGTCCTAAAGTAAGACTTGGTCTCACAGACCAAGCAATAATTATTACAACTTACCATGTATGCTCTTTATTACAATAGGAGTAAGAGAATTTTGGGCTATGGTAGACAATACAACAGTGGTTGTCATACGCCAACTAGAATTGTGAGGGGGACACCAGTCAGTTAACGCGTTAAAAAGATGACATAAGGCATCTTTACGAGCCAGTTCTTCAGCTACTACCGGATACAAGCACAGCCGTTGGAGGAGCTGAATAAGACCAAAATCAACTGATTACAAGGAGGTGAAAGCGATAAAAATCGTCAGAAAAACACGAAGAAATAATTGAACAGAACTGCAATCAATATAATATTGAAAAACAAGTGAGAAAAGTGATGTGCGATTGGTAAGAAGAATGTTGAAATCTGGGTTTTTGATCAACTTAGATTCATGGTCGAGTAAAAACTGTAGACGACAAAAAATAAACAGTGCTTATGCCCTCACCATTGAAACCAACTTTCGATAGCGTCATTATCTGTCATTACCTTGACGTTTTTAATGTTTCGAAGGTGGGATACAGGTTGCCTATGCATTACTGTAATCATAAATTAGAAGCTTCATGCATCCAGAAGTTTTAATTTAGATTCCCACAATTTGCCGTTACTAATCCTATTTGCCTACTATTGGGCACTAGAACGTACACAGTTTGGCATCTGTAGTAGAATTTATCAGGTGTCTGACTCAATGTAGCACTAAGACACTTATTACTGTCTGTAACGTTGATCTTACTATCGCAATCATTAATTGGTATTCCTGAAAAAAGAGGTAAGGCCTACAAACATCAGTAATCAGACCTACGTATCCTTTCGACAATTTCCGACTTTACTAACTAAATGTAGCTCTACTGAAAGAAAGTATGCTCCAGATTTTTATTAACACGACAAATTAGACATAACTGGTCACTTCTCTTTATCACAATGACGAAAAAATGCTGATCACTGCAAATGAGATTTATTCTCATATATAATTACTAGGAGCTATTCCCTTCTATGGATTTCCAACGAAAGAGGAGAGTGGTAACCGATTAGAACGTTATTGACTAAATAACTAACAGGCACATGTATCACATAATGAATGCACCAAATATACGGCTGAATGAGACTGGAAATGTTTATAAGTAAATGCAAAGAATATTAACCAGAAGCCTGCAACTTACTTCTCGGAACTTAGTCTGAAATATACATCCTGAAGAATATTTCGAAGGAAGGTCCAGGAATATGTATAGACACTTGACAAGTGTGGATGGTAGTGAAGCAGCTGCCATACATTCAATCAAACTAGTATGGCCCGTACTCATTAAATGAAGGGCGTTAAGCAAACAAGACCCCTTATTTGTTATCACAGCGTGCTCAGAATCAGTAACCTCCAGACAGTCACCGATGTTCTCGTCTGGCTCTAAAAATTGAGCAACCATCAAACTTCCTTCCTCTAAAACCATAAATTTTTAAAGATCTCTATACCTGACGATTTATTTGCTGCTCTGGACTTGATTTCCTTCACAAACAGCTGAGATACACGTGCACAAAACAGGTGTATATCAGGAAATTTATCGACAAATTCAACAGGTTGTGCGTCAGAAAATACCTAAAACACTATTAAAGTAGGACATATAAATAACCTTGCAGAAATATGGAAGAGTATTGTATAAAATGGTATCCTTATCGTCATTATTCTGTGACTGCATATATTGATTAAATAGTGTTATAAGCCTGCGACAGTCAAAAGATACTGGCAAGTTGCTTTCCCTGTTGACACTTCTACTTAAGTGTCTTCTCATGAAATTCATGGTCACAGACTACAGTTAAATGCCGCAACGTCCGACCATATGTGAATAGTGGATGACCTTCATTTATTGAATAAGGCGCCTAAAACTACAATATCTTCAGATTGTTAAATGTAGTTGTTTCTAACTGAATCAAAATAATTTCCATAGTGGCAGAAAATCCATGGTCGGTTCCATCAGACGCGCTCTTTCTCTTTGCACAGCTTCATCATTTCTCAGCACACTATTCGACCTTACTCCTGGGACAATGAAAACTTGTATAGGTTTCAGATTTAGATAATAAGGATAGCAGGCTCTTCAGACCTGTGTTAATCCCTGCAATATATACCTCTGCAGAAACCTAGTTTTCTTTTGAAGGCTCTCACCGATGGAGCTGATACTGCTTCACTAGGTAATGAGTTCCACTCTTTGAAGGAATACAAATTCCTAACTAACTTTATTAGTCCTTGGTTTGATCACCTATTTGTCGTGGTCTTATGAATGTTTCCTAGATGGGGGAAAGGTTAGGAAAGTCAAATCCTAAATGCCCCTCTGAAATACGGTATGAGAAAATAAGGTTCCCTCCCCTAATAACCTCATTTCACTACTAATCCAAGGTGGCTTATGTGGTAGCTTTCTGGGCGTAGACCAAGGAAAAAAGTCCAAGTGACACAATCTAGTTTATTGCTAAATCCCAGCCAGCCTCCTTCGACATTCTCATTTGTATCAAGTGACCAGTCAGGTAAGTATCCCGCCTGTCAAACTGGTGGTATATTCGCTTAGCAAATGTTTGGACGGGCAGATGTTGACTGATGTATTAAAGAATAAATACTAAATGTAAAATTAATGACTACGTAACCATTGCTAACTAGCAGCGAGAAGCACGTAACGTCATCTCGTCATGCTTCTGGTGTCAGAAATAAGTCTAAAATAAATGGATCATTTTCAGGGTCGTATCGTGTTGGTGCATGTTTATCCTGCAAAGCTGCACATTCGGGTACTATCAGTGTAAGTTCCTTGATGAAACAGGTACACAGGCTAGTTGATATTAATTCCCTTTAATTCATATGTGGAGCATTAAAGTCACCAACTATTGAACACCTATTTCAACAACTTGGTACCCTTAGGTGATTTAGTACGAAGCTGTCAGCTTGTCTTACAGGACTTCAGTAAACTGCCGCAATCGTTTCATTCCCCTTGTTCCAGTCGATGACAAATCGCGGCACCAATATTCCCCGCTGCTGTGTGCTTCTTAGAATGCTGGTCCAATTCCTAATTTTTCACAGATGTACCATACCACCCTACCCACTAATTAGCCTGTCTGACTACATGAAGGTGTAACTAGGTGTGATTGGAATTGCATATATCCACTGACAACCCAGCTGATTATTTACAGTTTGTAAAGGAGTTTGAGATCATGTTGAGTGGTTTTTTATTAAATGATGAAATGAAGTTAATGCATTTGATGAGTTACTGCACTGTATGATGGTATGAAGATATCGAGCCAAAGTTTGTCGATATCCTGAAACTAGTAAAAGATAGCGTCAATCTATCTATGAGCAAGTTCGCCAGTCTATTACATCTCACCCCTAGAATAGAGCAGTCTGAGAACAAACCGCAATCATTCATGACGAAAGGGTCTCAGAGAAGTTGGTAGTCGAGAAGGCTCTATGGTGTCCAGTATTGCATACAGACTTAATGAGTGTAACGGCTTTCGTGGTACATCCTCAACAGATAAGTTACAAGATGCAAGACAAACACGGTTGTGTTTTACACGTGTGCAAGAGGTGCATACAAAGGTGAACTGTGAACCAGTGAGCAAGTTCAGTGATAAGCTAAATGTAAACTCCAGGCTTGACTCCGAATTGTGTGACGATAACGGTGCGGTGAAGAAGCCTGTAGTTGCAGCTGGTAAGCCATTGTTGAATAGAGTGTCACAGAATAGAGTTACTGCTTCAGGGTGCAGTTCTGACTCCACAAGTTTACAAGGTATTACTAGTCAGAGTGAGGATATTAAACCTTTAATGATTTGTGAGGACGAACCGAAATTGTCTACTTCTGTTATTAAAGAGTTTGAAAATGATGAAATTGACGATAAAGTGAATATTCGTGATAATGATCATGATACTTCACAGTTGTATTTGGTTGATCATGATGAGATGAGGGATATGCCTACTACTGCTAAGTTGAACAAAGGTTCTTTACAACTTGATCGTGATGTAGAATTGAATGCAGATGCAGTTGCAGAAGTTATGGATACTTGTGAGACCGTCAGTGTAATTGATCAGCGTGTAGCCCATCTATCATCAGATGATAGTGCTAAAAAAGAACTATTAGTAAAGGACAGCAGTGGTGGTAGTCTTGCAGTTAGACAAACTTCTAAAAGCCGTACAAGGACAGCTTCTAATCCACCGCTAAGTTCATCAACTGGTATCAGTCAATCGTCGTTGGTGTTGTCATCGACAATGAGAGAGACACCCATCAACTCAAGTATCTTGTGCAATGACTATGATAGTATTGGTGCATTTGAAAAGACGAAAGATATTGCTCAGTTTAGTGAGGATAAGCCAAGTGTGTATATTATTATTATTGTATCCTTTAGTTCCTAGAGGAACATAGGGCTTCAGCTGCGCACCTCCATTGCCTTCGGTTTTCTGACAACTTTTTCACCCTGCTCCAGGTCTGTCCACATGCTTTCATCTCCTCCTCGCATGACCTCCTCCAAGTCACCCTTGCACTGACGACCAACTCGCCGCCTCCCTTTCAGGTTCCACTCGAGGGCTTGTCTATCGATGTCACTTGATGGTTTCCTCAGCGTATGGCCAATCCATCTCCATTTCTTCCTGCCTATTTGTTTCACAATCGGTTCCTGGTTGGTTCGCTCATTTCCAGAGATCCCTGTTGCTGATCTTTTCTGGCCGGCCATCTGATCTTGAGCGAAGTATTGAGCGAAGACAACTGTTAATGAAGGTCTGAAGTTTTTTGACATGCTCCTTATGAGACGCTGGCCAAGTCTCTGATCCGTATAGTAGCACTGACTGACTTCACATTGGAGTTGAAGATCCGGATCCTATTTTTATTCTGAGTGATGTTGAACTCCACACAGACTTAAGAGTAATGAAAGCTTGTCTTGCTTTTCCGATTCTGGCTTTGATATCCTCGTCAGTTCCGCCTGTAGTTGAAACGATGCCTCCCAGGTAGGTGGGTAGGTGAAGGAGGCTGTTTCTTTCAGGTTCTTCCCACTTATGCTGATTGTTGTCTGTTGTTGTTGTTGCTGTTGATGTTGGCTAGGAATCTTCATCACCTCTGTTTTATCTATGTTCACTTGAAGTCCTATCTTTGATGCTTCTTCTGCAAACTTGTTACTTTTCACTTGCATATCTTCTAGTTTGTCGGAAATCAGACATATATCATCGGCGAAGTCCAGATCCTCCAAGTTTTTTGTGTGAGTCCATTTTACGCCTGTTTCCTCATTGCCCGCCGTTGTCTGTCGCATTATCCAATCTACTGCAATCAGGAAAATCATTAGTGATAGTAGACAGCCTTGCCTCACTCCCTTCCTTACTTCGAAGGCTTCCGTCGGTTTCCCGTTGTGGATTACTTGGCATGCAGAATTCTCATATAACTGTTGGATGAGATGTATAATTGTCGATGGGACCCCGTAGTAGCGAAGTAGTTGCCAAATGACCTCTCGATCGACGCTGTCGAAGGCCTTTTCAAAGTCGATGAAGTTGAGATAGAGAGGTGACTGCCATTCCAAGCTTTGTTCAATGATGATCCGTAGAGTGGCGATTTGATCAATACAACTTTTGCCCGAAAGGTGCCTAGTTGTTTGGTAGAGTGTGGCGAGGTCTCCTTTGCCTGCAGCTGGTTCTGCTTCGTTTGCCATGGTTTCATAATATTTTCTTTTGTCTTCCCTGGCACTCTTCTTCACTCTTTTGCTCAGTGTATTGTAGCTTGCATTCAGCTCCTGTTTTTGTTGCTCGTCAGTGCACTGGATGATCTTTTGTTTCACTGTCCTTCTCTCTTCTATTAGTTTCCAAGTGTCCGTAGTGAGCCACTACTTGCCCTGTCTCTTCTTTCTGCCTAGAACTTCCATGCAGGTTTGACTCCACACCGTTTTCAAGTTGTTCCAGTGCTTTTCGACGCTGACCTTTTCGCTGGTGTTGATTTGTGTCTCGGCTTGGTACTTTATCCTTGCAATGAAGATGTCCTTTGTACGAGAGGGTAATTGTTAAATTGACTTGCATGAATAAAGGCTTTTCAAGTTCCAACTTTCCATTTGAATGCTATTATCTTTGGTGTAAATTACTCTGTTTCTACACTTGGTTGATGAGGTATGTCGTGTGTTTATTGGTCATCTATATTCTACGATACAATGACATGGGCGTGTTGCCGTTCAGATTTGAGGATATAGCTCATAGAAGGAAGTCAGCAAATGAACTCTGCGACGATTTTCCAACCTAGGGCGTCAACCTGAGAAGGGTTGTAGGCGTACTGCTGTAAGTCCTACAATTCTTCAAAGGGTAGCGCATCAATGAGCAGTCCAATGTGCTTGGTGTGTGATTTTGTACATATGTTCATGTTGTATATACTGAATTGATATCATCTGTCATCTAGCTGTTGTTAATTCTGTTTGTGTCCGGACGACTTCCACTTGGATCATCAACCTGAGAAGGAATGCAGGCGTACTGCTGTAAGTCCTGCAGTTCTTCAAGGGTAGTTTGTCGTGTCAGAATCCACAACATTTGATGTGTTGATTGTACATATGTTGGTGTTAAATAATTGTGTGAGTTCCAATTATTGTAATTGTTGGTTAAACTTGTTTGCGTCCGGACATTCCACAACTTACAATTGTCAACGTGAGAAGGGTTGCAGGCGTACTGGTGTAAGTCCTGCGATTCTTCAAAGGAATTCCACCA